TGCATCTATCTTATGACAAATGAAACTTCAAGATGGGTAGCTTGAGCTGCAGTTCCGTTGATTTGACTGCCATGAAATGGCAGAAAGCGAATCGTTCTCCTGGGGGCCACCTAATTAGACCTTAAGCTTTCGGACTCAATCAGCGTGTAAGCAATTGCCAATACGTGATTTGCCAAAACAAAAAACTTTCACACACGCGCCCCTATCAGCGTGGGCGCCGAGAATAGGGGCGTGGCAGATCACAGCTGCGTAATCGATTTTCAAGTGTGAAAAGCAGGGTCCTACTTTTCTATCCCAAAGCTATTTGCGGCTATTTTTTAATCTACACTCGAACGCCTTTCTGGCATGCGGCCGTATTTGCACAACGTGATGAGATTTTGCGGTCCATGCCCCACATACCCTAACTCAACTCAACTTTCTGGCCGCCCGGAGAACTCTATTTACATTTTTTTTGTTGGCATATCGATCTTTGGCCAAAATCTTTGACTCCCTTTATGGCTCGAACTCGGGTTTGGTGGTTTCTCTTAACGCCCGAAAGCAGACAACAGCAACTGCCTCCTAAGCTCGAGTAATTTTTTGCTGCCCCGTTGATTCTTGTTCTTGCTTTCTATTTTCATTTTTTTTTTGCTTTTTTGAGAGTTTTTGTTTGCTGGGGTGATGCGGATGGGTCTACAACACGCAACAGCTGCCAGCAGCCGGCGGAAGGCGGAAAACTTTTCTCTCTGCCAGCCAACAAACAGCAGGCGACTGGGAAAATGCAAAGAAACCCAAACAAGTATCGGAAAACCAATTTGGAAAAAGTATAAGCCTGGAAGTTAAGGATTATTATCAATATCAGATGGACTTCCAGCAATGAGAATATTATGATGTGATTATTATTACGAAAAGTCTATACAACTAAATTTCGTCTACCTTAAGGTTTTAAAACTCTAGAATGCCTCAATATAATTTGATAATAAGGTTCTTAAAATGTATCTTTTTGATATCAACTGTAATTTAATTGTTTACAGGTATATTGCTTTCCTGCCTTGATATAAGAATATTTAATATGGATTTCTAGACCTTTATCACTTTGGGTTTTTCCTAAAGCTGTTGATGATGATTATTATTTCTGAACGATCTTTTGTGAGCCTTGACGGCAAGTTCAAAAATTTAATGATTAGCCAGTGCTTTTATAGCATTGTTCATTTTCACTCTAGGTATATTGTTTATGAGAATAGAACCTTTTTGTTTTAATATAATTTATATAAATTTTCAGAAAATAAAGACTAAAGAGTTTCCTTGGCTGAAATTTTCTTAAAGAGCAATAAGCTGTTGGCCATGACAGAACTTTTTCGGAGACGTAAGTATAATTGACCCCGTTCCCTTCAGTTTTTCCCCCCTGTGTCACATGCTAACCTAGCTTTATTGCCATATTTTTTGGGGGATTTTCTATTAGGACATTGCATATACTCGTACATCAAGGCAATGGCAAAGGCAAAGTTTAGTCTAATGCTCTTAACGCTCATGTCTAACCTCCTTCCCACTCTTTAGGGCATCATTTCTTTGCAGCTGCGGTGTGGATTTGTCGCCTGTCTGTTTGCCATCGTCTTAGCCCACTGCCCCGCCCACCGATCCCGCCCATCATCTCACAATTCCCTACTTAACACATCCACTAACGACAGACGTCGCGCAACTTTCGACATGTCTCCCGAGTTGTAAGGCGCTGAGAGTAGTTCCATGTCCGAGAGAGAGTGCCTAGTTTTCCCCGCTCCTCTGTCATCACACTGAACTTAAAACATTATTTTCCATACTAATGTATCACCAATCAAAATATCACATAAATTAATTACATATTTTAGATAAGAATGATCCTGAAATTATTATGTTCTTAACGATTTTTATATTTATCTCAAAGATTGACTCGTTGCTATGGCATTATTAAAAAAATAAATTAAAAAAGAATATTTTAATAGTGCAAATTTGAAGCATTAAAATAATTTCATAAAAATCTCTAATCCATTTTACAACCTCTAAACATATTTAAAATTATTCTTTTAAAATATGTCAAACATTTCAGTGTACATACTTTAACAGTTTTCATTCATTTTATTCCTCACTCTTTTTTTATAAAAAAAAACTTGTAATTTTCGTTCAGTGCACTTTCCCAGTTGTCTGACAGATGATACATAATTTGATATAAATGCATTTTAATATGCAACTGCTGCTCATTGGGACTGCCGCCCTTGCTGCGGTGAATTTATGTTTTTGCCGTAAATCAAATGAATAATTTAAGCTCTCTGCATGGCCAGTGTCTGTCACTTAAAAATGTCAGGGCTGCCATCAAAAATTTCCGTCGTTCGTCGTTCATTTTTTCCATATCTGATTTATATCAGCCGCAGCGGGGTGGCCGTAGCCGGGAAAAATGGGCAATGTAAGCTTTGCGTAATTGCATTAAATGGCATGGAACCGAATCCATCATACAACAGAACAAGAAATGGCCTGCCAGAAAGAGAAGGGGTGGTTGGAGAGGGACGGCATAAAATGGGTAAGCAAAAACAAGAAAGAAAATGAGATTTTAAAAGACCGAAGATGAAAATACCCTTCTAAAATTCCCCCAAAATTCAATCACACTTTTGAACACTTTTTTATAAACAACTTTTAAGGTTGTAATATATTATTTAACGTAATAATTGAAAAGGTCTCTTGAAACAGTATGCTTTTAATAAAAAAATGTATTTTTCCAATTAAATTATTTAATTTATTCAATTCAAGAAATATTTGCATTATTTTTGGCAACTGCCAAGTTTCTTGTAAATGTGTATAAAAGTTACCTTACCCTTTGCCAGTGGATAAATATTCTCTTCGTGTTCAACATCAGCGCACAAAATTCCAATTTATTTTAATTGATTTATTAATGATTGAAATGTTGCATAAATGTAGCAATATAAATGTATATTTCGGCTACGCCGAATCTCATTTTGACAGACCCTCGGCACTTTTTATCTGTTTCGATGTCTGATGAGTGAAATCAATTTTCAAGATGAGCCGAGGGCTCAGACATAAAACAATGCAAATTACAAATTACCAAAAAGATCAATAGAAAACTAAAATAACAATGATGTGTAAGGAAAAGAAAACATCAACAGTCATGTGTTTGTTCATCCAATTATTTCGCATATACATTTTAGTGTTAAAAAGTTTTTCATTTTCTTTTTGAGAAACTATTTGCATACAAGCCTTTTGGAGAGGTTTTTCTCAATTAAAAAGCCTTCAAAGGATAAGAAATGTAAGCCTGAGGACAAACACAAGGGTAAAAAGAGAAAAGTCCTATCCAATTGCTACTTTTTCCACCACCCTTTGCTCTTAGATTGCACATTTGCGGATTGGCCTCAAGATTGGGCATAATTATGCAATTTCCTCTTTAACGCTCAGCCAGACAGACACAAAAAGAGTTAAATTCAATAAAATTTACATTTAACCACAAAAACACCGCGACTTCGCCAAACTCGAGAAGTCGAGTCGAGTCGCGTCGAGGAACCAAAGTAGGCAAAAGTTAAGATGAAAGTCGAACAAAGAGATGGTAAAGCAGCAGAGACTTATGTAAATTGAAATTCAAGAGCAGAAAAACCAAAAACAACAAAGTCAGGCGGGGAAAAAAGCGGGAAAAACAAGAGCATCAACAGCTGAAAAACCGACTGAAAAGACAAAAAGAAATTTTCATTCATTTCGAATTACGCTGTATGAGTGTCAAAATGGCGGTGGCATATTCCCTACCCTGGCATAATTGAAGGCTTAAGGGGGGAGGTTGTTGTTGTTTTTTTCTTGTATTTTTGTGGAGGGGGGAGTGGGGGTGGGCGCCTGGAGGTCACCCGACAATTGGCCGGGCTTTTGTCACTTGTCGCTTCTGCTGGCGGTGCAGACCGAAAATTCAATTTCATGCCGCGTGACACAAAGACAAAGCCAAAGCCAGAGCCACCAAAGGCAGACATTTTCCCGGGAAAAATGAGGGCGGGAAAAGCAGCGCTGCAGTCGGGAAGACGACGAAAAGTTGACATTCAAAAATGTGCACACTTCGCTCAAAAGAATTTCAAATTAGCCACTTTTGCTTAACAATTGGCGCAGGCAGCAAATTAAAAGGCAGCCAAGTGGGAGTGGCACCGCAAAATAAATGCAAAAACCGAGAAAGTCGAGAGTTCAGGTGGTCACAGAGCATCTGGCGACAATTTAAAGTCAAGTGCCGCGTTTCCCAAGTATTGAGCGCAAAAAAAAAAAACAGAAAATAATAATTGCCGCACAAAATGCACTCGAAATCGCAGACAAGTGGGCAAAATGGTGCCTGCCGTTGGGGGTCTTAAGTGGTCTGAGGCAAACTCCCAACTTCGATCTGGCATTAGCGTCATTTACACATCTGTGTGCGCCGCGAACTGCGCTTAGTTAACAATGCTCCACAGCTCCACTGCTCCGCCATCGTTTGCCGTACTAAGTGGCTAAATTTCCATGGAAAAGCGAAGTAACCGCAGGAAAAACCCCAATCGAAGCCAAAACGCTAATGGTCACAGTCAAGTCGAGTGCCCGACCTTGGTCATATGGAAATTTAAGCCGCCACATGAATATCAGTATCACACAAGTCCAAGAACACCACAGATTACAAATTTTGGGTGCAGAAAAAAATATTTATACATTTATTTATGTTACCCAACTTTGTATAAATCTGTACTCTAAAAATATATTAATTATTATTAATATAATTACAAATAATATATTGTAATTGTTATACAGATCTCGTAAATCTGACGATAAAAGTATATTAATTCTAATTATTTAAAAACAAAAAAAAACTGTTGCTGAATATCATTAAGACAATAGAGAAATCCAAGGCATTGAATCTGGTCAAGCAGTTAAGAGAATATTTGTATTTAATAATAAATCAAAAATTTTCAAAAATTATTTACAAGTCGCTTCACTCTGAAGATAAAAGTAGATATATTTATTAAAACTTTTTTAAAAGCGAATAAAATAATATGTGTGATTTTAATAAAGCCCATATACCACCACCAAATGTTATAAGAAAAGCCCTAAGGCATTGGATCATCGGACTCGGATGGAGTGGTGACCTCCACATCCTTGGTAGCCAAAGACTGCTGCTGCTGCTTCAGCTCCTGCCGACACAAGTGGATTTTGAAGGTGGTCTCGCATTTGTTACTGCCCCGGATCATGTGGCACTGACGTTCTGGCCAGATGTCCGGATTACTGGCATCCGAGAGCAATCCATAGAAATCGCGCTCCACAAAGACACCATCGTGCATGAGACCCATTTGCTCATACAAACAATGAGTGAAACACTGGATCGATTCCGAGGGATCCGAAAAGTCCTCCTGCTGGAGTTTGTGCAAATCCCGTAGAGAGATATCCGTTTGATCGCCACAAAGTCGGATCATATCCTCCGTAAACGGTTTGGGAGATTCATCAGCCACAGTAAGTCCCAAATTAATATTTACCTTGGCAAAACGGGACTGAAAATAAAAATGTTTGAATATAGAAAATCATTTTCCTAAATATCATGTTCAAACTCACTTCGCTCAGAGCCAAAAATTGCAGAACTACCAGCACTAAACCTCGATTCATTTTGTATTTTCAAATGATTCCATTGAGTTCTCACCCAAAATTCACTGCTTTTATAGGCCTCATCTTTCGATCATTAGTGGGTCTGCAAAACATTTTAATTGCAAATATCAATTCAATGAGCCGAACAGAATTCGCGGTATTTCGGTGGCCAACAACCTGAACAAGTTGAGGAGCAGTTTGAATAACGCAAAAGAAACAAACCAAGCCACGCAGAACCCAAATCGAAGCCGAATGCCAATTGGCATAACGAAAGTATCTTGAAAACTGCTTCAACAAATTCCGAGTGCCAGGCAAGTTCTCCTCTCGCCCGAAAACCCAAAAAAATACACAAGTTGCAAAACAAATTTTTAAAAACAAAACAAGAAGAAATCGACAAGGAAGTTCAGATGTTGCAAGCCGAAGGCTAAATACTTTAAATTAACAAATAAATTAGGGGCTCTACTCTAAACTACAGGAATCTAGAGAGATTAAGAAATTTAGTATATTTAATATAATCCATTTTTATTTACATGGCTTTGCCCAAAAATCTAAATAAATTTAATCTAAAAATGTTGTAGTTGAGTAAAATGAAGTAAAAAGTAAATGAAGCTTTTTTTTATTAATATTTTTAAGTCTTTCAAGGAATGACAATCTAATGACTTCGGGGTACCACGAATTTAATCTCCAAATCAACATACTCTTCTCAAAACTAAAATACTAATAACCAAAGTACAGTCAACAACTTTGGATATTCATACTCGAGTGTGTGTGTGGCTGTGTGTGTTTGGGTGTTTTGGGCACTTCCGTTTGGCTGTTGCGCCATTTCGACTGCGACTATTTCCGCTGGTCGCATTAACTGCAGGCGCATAACTTTTCCAATTTGCTTTCGGCAATTATTGATATAAGCCAGCAAAAGCAAAAGCAACAGCAACAGCAACTTCAACGAGCTTCTGTCTGCCACTTCAGTCGACCGGCCGTCTTCCCTCCCTTTCGCTTGTCATCTATCCGTCTCTTTCGGGTGCAGCCTTTCCCGCTTATTGGCCATCTCTTTCCAACACCCAATCACGTTTGCACTGGTCCAAGCATATTTTCCTGCATTCTTGCGCATATTTGTGCAACATTCCAAAAATTCTTGAACAAAGTTTCGTTATTATAGCCGTTTTGCCGACTCTTGGGCTCTCGCAACTCGAAGGCTGCCACTTTGATTACTTTTGCAGTTGCCTTTAGATGCAATTAGTTGGTTCATTAGAAAAACAACAACTCCTCCGCCCGATAGGAATTCACACACTTAATTAGCAGCCTCGTGGAGAAGGAGAACCCAACTCTTAACTCTCACTGATTGCAGTCGGCTGCACTCGGGAAAAGCAATTTCCTTATATGTCCTTAGGTCCACAAAAGTTGCTAGTTTGACTGATGACTATCAAAAATACAAATTTCAAGGTAGAAATCTTTAATGTATCCAATTACTATTAATATTTCTGATTTATGTACATATGGTTTTACTTATGATAACTTTTTTATAATTCAAAACACTTTTGAACTATTCTTTAGTATAGTATTATCTTCATAAACTTATTAATTTGCTTTTTTCCCACTTACTTTAAATAGCTTTCAGGTTGAAAATTCTTTCGAGTGCAGGCGAAAGCTTGTATCTTTGTATCTTGAAGACACCCGAACTGCTGCAACTATGCAAATCGGTCAGCAAACTCGAGCTGAGTGATTTGGTCAACTCTTTTGGCCCTCTGGGCTAGGATTCGCCAACTCCCTGTTAAAGAATTTAGCATGCAAGTGGTCATGTGACCCGAGGCTGTGAGCCAGCTCTGTTGCATATTTGTTGCATAATGCCAACTTATGCACTGGCACATTGTTGACCAGTTGTCCGGAATCTCTTCACTCTCTCTCTATATATCCTATATCCAACATCTGATATGCTGTATATCCCGAATGCTCCGACCCTCGGCTTACGTTATTTGCCGCTGTATCCACTGCCAAAGCGTTTTGGGTTGAAAAATCTACAAATCGCATGCCGCAAACAAAAGCAAATGCCAGCACAGGGATGTGGATAGTTGGATGGATGGATGGAAGGATGGAAGGATGAATGGATGGATGACTGAACGTTTAGAGGGATTGATGGTTAGAGGGCTGGCATACCGGCATTATTCCACGTCACTGGCCAGTGCACATTTCAAATTGGAAAGGAACGCTGCAAATACTGGGAGGAACTTGGCTAAAATTCTCAGGGAAACTCTCATTCAATGCGAAATAAATAAGTAAATAGTTGAGATGCCCTCGCCGCTGTGACAATTCGGCCTTCTTTCTTTTACCCCAACATCATACCTCCTGCTCTCTTTGCGGTTTAATTTTCCCATCCTGTCGGCATGCAAATCACATACAATCAGAATGAAGTAAACGTGGGCCAAAGGCAAATATGACATTTCAGTCAGCCAAGTAAATAAATGTTAGGCGGCACAAATGGAACGTGCCAAAGCCGCTGGAAGAGTACGAGACCTCAGACACTAGACCCCGGAGTTACCTTCCATCTTCATCTCCATATGGCCCCCAGGATCCCCGTTTATCCTTGCCTTTTGCACCTGTCAGTCCTCCGCAAACAACTGTGAGCAGTCATTTCCCAGCCCGAGAAATGTGAAGCTCTTCGGATGGATTTTTATGCTTGCGAGTGTCTGGTTAAACAAGAGTGACCTGTTTTCGAGATTTAATATTGAGAATAGGCAAAAGGACATTTTCTGCAAAATTGGTTTGGAAGTTTTTAGAGATATGTTTGCCTAATTGAAGTGGCAAAAAGCAAATAATATTAAGTGTGTGAATGTGTGTGGTACAAATTTAAGTAATCATTTAAAGTTTTTTAAACTACCTTGAATAACATTTTAATTGAGTTGTCAAAGGGAAAAAAAAAGAAAACAAGTCTTAAATTAAACAAGAAAAATAGTACACAAATCTTCTCGTTTTTTTTCCGTATGAGGATACTTTTGAACTTAAAATCCTCACTTTGAATACTTTCAATTACGTCATTGAGTTGGCTTCTGGTTAAGCTTTTTATCATTGTAATAATTTTGTTTCTATTTATTATTAAATAACAGTGATAATAAATTGAATAGTAATAAATGAATATTCGACTCTTGAATTTAAAATTGTATATTTAATATTTAAATTAAACATTAAATTATAATATCAAATGCAACACTAAATAATTTGTGGAAAATTGAAAATTGAAAGTACCATTTTGCTACAATTTTTTAGGCTTACGACTTGTATGTTCCAGACATTGTAAGGTTTTGTATGCAGTCCTTTAGACTTCCAACATATCTCTTCTTCAGCAGTACATCCTCCCATCCTTAGAGTACATCCTCCCATCCTTAGAGTCATCTTCTACTACTTCGTTTTCCTTTCTTTTTAGCCTACAAATAATTGTATTAAAATGGGAATTTTTTCAATTTGAGAGTTTGGCCTGACAGGACTCGACTCGACTCGAGTCGACGCTACTCCGAGTCTAGCGGACATGTGACAGTCGAGACAGTAGGGAATGAAGTTGTGGCACGCATTGTCTGGAGACTGCAAGGAAAGGGGCCAGTGACATTTTAGCCACCAACCTAGCCATGTGGGACTTGCTTCGCCAGTTTTTCCGCCCCGCTTTTCCCAGTTTGCAGCGAATTGTTTGATAATGACACTGACATGATGCTGCACTGACAACTAGGCAAGAAACTGGCTGCAGCCGCAGGAGTTCTGTAGTCCTGAAGTCCTGCAGTCCACCCAACCACCAAGCCACCCACTTTCGCATCCTGTCTGGCCCACGGAATTATATACGAAAATTAGTTGAAGCGGCGCGCCGCTGGCAAATTTTGTATGTGAGCTTTTCCTTTTGCCTGATCTCATTTCGTGTTTCCTTTCTTATTTTTTTGCAGGACGTTTTTTCGTTGATTTGCTTTTCGGTTTTGGGCCTTATTTTTGGGGGCCAGTGCAAGCGGCGCTCTAAATTAAGTTTTAAGCAACATGTCTGCAAAAATCATGCCCCAGGATACTCGTACTCGTCCTTATTCTCCCCATTCCAACATTCTGGCTGCTGTCGCTGGCAGTCGCAACGTTTTATTCTCGACTTGCCTCCTTTTTTCTTGTATTTCTATTTGAAGAATGGAAATTGTGTTTTGTGTGTGTTTGCTGCAGTAGTGGTCTTCCTTGTCCTTCGTGCAGTTCCTTGAGGAGCTGCAGGACTATTTTTTCGTATTTATTTTTATTTGCCGTATTTCGCTGGCCGCGCTATTTACACTGGCGCAGTCAACAGTCGCCGTCGTCGGCATTTGCTTTTCCTGTGCCTATTTATATATAAAAGATACACACTCACACACACACACACATATATATATATATATATTTGCAGGGATTGTACTTCTTCTTGGCTCGGAATTTGTATTTGTGTATTTGTCTTTTAGTTTATTGTGCGGCAGCTAGGCAACTTTGCCTTTTGTATTTGCGCTCCATTGAGGCAAGGAATTCAATTTTAAAATCCCCCAAACCCAAACCAGTAAACGAATCAGGGACTTGTGGTCCTGGCTGCATTTGATTACAGCTCCAGCTACCCGGCCGTGCCGTGGGCTTCGTTTTAAATGATCGGCGGTTCCTGGGGCACGGCTTAGCTAATTAAACGTGGCGTATACTTGATGTGCGCCTAGTCGAGTATACGCCACGTTGAGCAAACAAGAAGCGGACGCCGGAGCTTAGACAACCGACTTAACAGGGGATAAGCCAGCAGCCGGCAAACACTTGGCTCCCAATTAATTAAAAGCCACCAAACAAGCAGCTAAATATTGGGTCCTTAAACGAAAAAGGCTGGAAACAAAGACGGACAACTTGGAAAATCCGATTTTATTGCCAGTAATGTGCAGCGGAAGCTTGGAAAAATCCTACATATTGCTGACCGTTGTGCGAAAATCGCGGATCAGCTGAATCATGGCCACTGTGCAGCCCACTGTGCCAAAGATGAGACCAATCAGTATGAGCAGTATATCGCGCATCAGCTTCCACATCAGTCGACCATATCCTACGCCATAGTTGAGAAATAAATCGATCAAGGCCGGGCAAAGAAGGTTCAAGTTACTCAGCGAAAAAGCTCCTTCCAATTCCGTGAGGGCCGCTAGGTTGGGCACCCCCACAGCCACTGCACCTGCAGAAGAATGTTATAAAATGTTTTCAAATTATTTATATCTTAAATTATATACTAACCTGTCAGCAACAAAAAGGTTAAACGCACTATATACTCAAACAAGGTTTGATGCTTGCTTCTCTCAGTGGAATTGCCATAGTCGCTAAATACTACAGTGATCACCACAAAACCATTAAGCGGATAGCTGAGAAAAATTCCCAGAGCTATGAAAACTTTTATGATCTGTGAAAGGCTAAGAGAGGGAAAAAATATATAAAGAATAAAGTTATAGAAAAATATTTTATACAATTTAAATTAACTTTGTTGACTTATTTATAAAACACAAGAAGGCAAATGGTTCAATAGATAAAGATATCTGGCATAAAACATAAGCCAAAACCATTAATGAAGAAAGTAGGTATATAGTTATATAACTTACATACACTTAACAAAAAAATATTTCTTAATAATAAAATAAAGGTTGTTGACTTTTGAAAGACATTAAATGAATGAAACTTATAATTACCAATTTTTTAAACTTACACTTCGTTCTTGGGAATATTGAGGGTGATACTGGCCTGGACATTTTCGCCAAACCGCCAATATCCCATTATACCAAAGAACATGTTAGAGAGCAGGATGAAAAAGACCGCCAGGTTTAGGACTCCAAAGATTCCCAGATAGCTCTGCGGATGAGCCATATGGGCCTCAACGACCAGCATCTAAGTATTACCCTCTTACTAAAATTATAACAATTTTTTAAGAATTTATTTAACTTACAGAACCCACGGCTGTCAGGGAAAAGGCGGCAATGGCAAAGAATTCAATCCATTGGGCAGGAGGCGTGGCCAATTCACGATCATTTATAACGGGCAGACCGCTAAACAAATAGTACATGATCAGGGAAAAACCTGCATAAAGCAGGAAATTGGAAACCAAATTCAAGGGCACAAGGTACTTTAGCCTGCGGATCATGAAAAGCGGCAGAAGTAGCAAACTGGCGCCAAGAACATAATACCGCTCATTGTACTTATCACCATAATAGTCGCCGATCTCCTTGAAGTTCTTGGCCACGAAAACCAGGTAAACGGTGCACAAGAGAAACTGTCCGAAGACCAGAACGCATGAGGTCAGGAATCCGGCTGCTCGACCGAAGCCCTGCACCCACTTTGGACCCTCCTCGTAGGCAATTCTAACCGCCTCCGGCATGGAAACCTGCGGAACCTGTCGCCTACGGCAGCACTCCGTCATTCCAGATATCTAAGGGATATCTGCAGATATTTAAAACGGCAATCAAGGGTGCCGAGGTAGCCACTTACAGACCAGCAAGTGGATGGAGTACGTCAGCAGGATCATCAGCAGGACGGACATCACAGCACCCACCACGAATCCCGAGCAGCGGAATGCCAGCGGCATGGCCAGGATTCCCGTTCCAATCACACATTTTAGCAGGGAAATAAACGCATCGCAGTTGCTGGGTTTTGAATTTGAAGAGTAAATGTTTAAGTTATATTTAAACTAAAAATGTACAATTTCTAATTTAGCATTCAGAAATAAATAAAACATTTTATCAGGAATCTAAACTTAAGGTAAATAAATACATTTTACAAGTTATAATCAACTAAATAACTATTAAATATATTTTGTTTTACATATTTTTGTGAAAAATAAATACTACCCCTCGAGTTTTAAGAAAAGTTTGCTTCTTTTCATTATTATGAGATTTTTCCTGAATAACATACATTTTTCTTTAACCAAATTCTTTTAAATAACATTTGTTTTTTAATGTACATTCATCAAACTATTGAGGGTGACACAGAAAAAATCTTTTTGAAATAAAAGAGCTTTATACACCGATGGTGACCAAATAAAAATCAATCAAAATTAAATGATTTGTTTCCTTTCCTTGGTAAGGTATAATAATACTCACGTCAATGGCACCTCCACGCTTCGCTTCTCGTAGGGATTGTAGATGTAGAATGAGGTCATGGACTGGCTGCAATGTACCCAAGGATTACCGTCGAGGAAAGGATCAACGTACTTGCAGGTCTCAACTCACACTATGGTCAGCGGCTCATTGTGATTGCCAGGGTCGTCCCGTTTTCGGGCCTGATCCTGCTGCTTTGGCTCCATTGCCAGATTTTAGCGGCGTCCAGCAGGAGCGGCCTCATCAGCGACAATGGCGTCCACAAACAAAGGGCTACAAGAAAAACAAAGGCAACGAAAATTGTCTCGCACTTTTGACAAAAATTCCAAATTAGTATAGTTCATTGCGTAGCCCCATTTTCCATATACATTTCCTTTTCCGTTTCTGCATTTTAGCTGTGCAGCTGCGCACATTCAATTCACTTACGCTGCAACTTAAATTGCCGCAGCCCAATCAAAATGGTTGCACATGCGCGCCCATTATCATAATAAGCGCAACTTATGGCCCGATTCGCGGTCCTGCAGCGCATAAAGTTCCTTAACTAACGGCAGATTGGTCCTGCGGTCGTAGGACGAAGGTTCCTGAGGAAAAGAGGGAGTAAAACTTGCGGTCCTGGTGACAGTTTTCCATGGCTTACTACGGTTAGCCTTTGTTATGATGAAAACAGCAAGCTAATTAATAACTTCTGTTTGGGAATTTCACTGTGTTTACCAAATGTTTGTGTTTCTACCAAAAAAAAACAGTATTATCAGATGACAAGAACTACACAATTTTCTTAAAAGAAGTTCTTATAATATTTTTAAATATTTTTCAATAATATACAATTTAACAAAAGTGACTTTTATAATTGGTTGAAACTTACATCAGAGATAAGATCTCTGGAAGCTCCTTCTTCACAAAATATAAATAAGATCTCTGAAAGCCAGCGTCTAAAGGAAATCCCAATTAGCCTTTCCAAGCGTATTCCCCCTTGGCCAGGCTTCACTGTAGCCCTTCGGCTGATGGTAATCTCCTGCTGCCTCGCCTTTGCCTCCTGGCTGAATATCCTGCGATTCTCGCCGGAGGACGATTGTCATGCCAGAATGCGCACTTCCGCGTCCGCATTTAGTTGGTTGTTGTGTCTCTGGGTGAGTTTAACAGTAAATTGAATTAAAATTTATTGTGCAAATTGCAGAATTCCGAAATCGCGCTGCGCTGCACACAGCGAACTCTTGCCGAGACAGCGGCGCAAATCCAATACAAATAAAATTAAGTAAAAATGCACGGAGCTCGGGCTGTAAAGGGGCAACCAGGGGGATATAAATATATATGTGTATATATATATGTATGTAGAGCGCCTCTGTGTTGGCACAGAAATATGCAAATGCGATATTGTCGCTGGGCGACATTTACAACAATTACAATAACAACGAAGGCACCTAACTGCGTGCGACATGTGACACGATATTCAAATAAAGGCGGACGGGGGCGGGGCCATTTATAGCATATATTTTGCATAAAGGGAAATATGCAGCAGGAGCTGTAACTGCTGGAAAAGCTGGTTGGGAAACGAAGAAGAAAGAAAAACGGGAAACGAGCGAAAGCAGAGCGCAGCGCAGAAATCAAATAAAACAAATTTGGAATTTTACAGCAGACAAGGAACCGAGCGGCAGCATCGAAGGAACCAAAGAACTGCTTATGTGCGACAATGTCCTGCTCCTGTTACCCATCCTTCGTCCTTAGTTTCCCTTTCGCCCTGGATTCTGGATCCCGGATCCTGCCTCCACATCCACATGTTCCTTAAACTGTCAGCAATGTGCGAGTGCGAGTGCGAGTGCGACTACTGCCAGTGTGTATGTTATGGAAACAAACAGACTGACATTCAATTTAAATTCCTATACAAATAATTGCATGGCATTGGCGTGGGTCAGAGGGGTGCAATAAAGGGATCGTTTTGCATTCGGGTTTGGGTTTGTAGAGGGGGTTAGCCGTGATTGCTGCCGCCTGCTAACGATAGATTGCAACTCCCGGATAAACCCCTTACCTGAACTAAGCTCGATTTTTCACAATATTTATGCACAAAGCGGAACCAGGACACTGGGGATCCAAACATCCAAGTGACTGAGCGTATTGATGTTATTGCTGGTGGCAAAAATTAACTCTATCCTACACGGGTAGAAATCTTATTAAGATTGGTCGCTGAATAAATATTAATGCATTTAAAAAATTGTTTTTTAGATTGACAATATTTTTTGCTTGATACTATTTAGGAGAAACTCTAGTTGTCACTCATGAAAAAAGGAACAAAAATTTTTTGAATGATAACAACTTTTTTAGAGCTTTAATTCACGCTGCGATTAAATTAATCATTTGCCATTAATCTTAACCAGTCGCTAATCATTTTATGTAATCTACAGATTATGTTTTCTATACTTTTATATATGTATAATTATATTTAATAATATTATACCTTTAAAATTGGGTTAAATTTTTAGTTAATCATATTACTTACATTTTGATAAACAATATTTTGTCGACTTCTATGATAGGCACATAACAAACACTCTTGAATGATCTATTAATTACACAAAAGACTACTCAATAAGTATTTATTTAGTTTTAAGTATTCTTAAATCTGCCTATTTAACTCGTGTTCTTTTATTAAATAATCTTAAATCATGTAAATTCCCCTGATTACTATGAAACTGCGCCTATATTCTTTTAAAAATGTGAGAGTAAAATCATAATATTGGAGCTCCCTTGATTTGCCTTGCTCAATGTCAATGGCCAGACTCGACTTGGGTTCTGATGTAGCAGAAAGTCATCTGGCAAATAATTATAAATTCCCGGCGCTACTTGTCTGCCTGGCTGCTCGCTGGATTTTATACCCCGCGCCATTATCCGTGGCTCATCATCAGCTAAACCGAAAATAAATGCCATTTCGAGCGAATTTCGCAATGCAGCGCACGCACAGGACGACAAGCCAGGACCACGGCCACAAGGATGTGCTGGCTTTTGTCCGTGCCAATTGCCGCCCACCTGAATTACCTCAAGTGATGGGATAGGTACTATTTGTAACAGCTAAAATAAAATAAACTACACTATTTAATCTTTAAAAGAAAGTGCTCCGAAAGCATAATACAAAGCATAATTTGGGTTGCTTCTCAAAAAAACTTTCTGGAACTTGCAATCACTTTTAATAATGATATACAAAATGCTTCAAGGCAAATCATAACTCTGTACGCAGCTTAGTTGTACTCTGTAATTTCTTGATGTTACTAACTTAAGGTACTTAGGTACGGAAATTTTGTCATCTCTAATAATATTAGCTTTAGAGAAAATCGTAACTTTCTACGCAGATAAGTTGTATTTTGTAATTTATATTATATTAATTTTACCCACCCAAAGTGGTACCGGTGTTAGGTACTTACAAATAAAGCAGCCAGAAATTTTGTCATCACCAATAAAAAATGTAAATTATTTTACGTTGATTTTATCCTCCTTAAGAGATACTGAATCAAGGTACCTACAAATGTACCCAGATAAAGCAGCCAGAAATTGTGTCATCACTGCTGCCCTTACTCCGAACTCACCTGTCGTGGGGGTGGCATCCGAAAACATTATCGCCGCGCTTATCGCGTCGTCATCATCGGCGTTATCAACAGCTTAGCGTCGCCGCAGAAACTTTGCAAATGCGCCACGTTCCCTTGCAGCGACTGCCACGCCCCCTAGCCCGCTCCACCGCTTCACCGCCCCCCGTTCACCATTCCGTGCGCCTCAATAATTTTGATCAGATTTTCTGACGCGCTTGTCCGACGCTGGTGTCGTGCTTCCTACAATATTTTTGCATTTATAATGCAATTCATCGTTCATTTTTCATACTTGCACAAAGTGGATTTTTATTAGATTCCCTTTATTCTCCGCTCTACTCTGCTATTTTTTTCTAGCTTCTTTTGTTTTTGCCCCTCGGTTGCTTTGTGAACTTTGTTTTTGCTATGCGTAGCCTGCACTTTGCCCGGTTTTAATGTGGTCTGGCCATATGGAGCGTTGGGCAGCTTGAAATTTCAATATCATCGAACTGGGGATGAGCAACAGAAACCAATAAATTTTCAAAAACGATGATAAGAATGCACTCGCATGGGAAACTATTGACAGGGAAATTATAGAGGGGAGATAGGGAGAAACTACACATTTGCTAAATTTAAATTATAGTTTTCTTCCAAGCTTTTCGAATAGAATTCGTTAGGAGGAGATTCGAATTTTGTGATCAATATATCAAGTTATGAATAATAAAAAAAACTGTTTAATAACCAAAATATATAATTAAAAAAACAAACAAATTGGCTTATTTTAAAAGGACAAAAACGATCGATTTAACTGATCAAAATTTGTAAATAATTTTTCATTTTTGACGAGCTCTCCCACACGAACAATTTTTACAATTATATAAATCGATATTAAAAGGTGAAACCAAGATTAATTGACTGTAAAATGATATGTTAATTAGCTAAATTGGTTGACCAAAATTAAAGCTATCAGGACTATCTAAACTTAACTAATTTTTGTAATATTATTATTTACATTCAATAAATTTAATCAATTGTTTTTAGGTTATTTTAAACGTAGCATCCCCATTACACTTTCATTCCTTCGAAAGGAATTTACACGCTCTCCGCTTTTAATAACTGCAAAAGTTCAAAATGCGTGGCTTCATTTATTATGCATATTTTCCGCACAATTTGTCAATGCTGTTCGCTGGTTGTACGAGGCCGTCGAGGAAAAACTATTTGGAAAACAAACGCAAAACAGCACGCCACTCCACTCCACTCCACACACATTTCGAATTTTCTATTAAATAAACTGTCAGTCATTGACGTTGGTGCGTTGCCGACGTGCAGATGCGAAAGTCATACCCGATGATGTTCCAAATAATTGCACTTGCGAGTGGTGGGGTCGGTTCGTACTATTTGTTCATAGAACATAGCTTTCTTTGGGATGAGAAATATTAACGGCATTTTTAGTGAGCGGCACGCAGACAAAGGATAAGAATAGCGGCCATGCCACCGCAGCATACAGCATATTAGTTGCCCGTCTGGGTCGTAATTGAATGTTACACGTAAAATATTGCAAGGAAAGTGAGTTGGGTTCATTACGGGGTCACACAACGTGAGCTGCGGAGCCACATACCGCATTTTCAACGCGTTGACAATGAGTGGCAGAAAAAATATCAGGAACAAGGAGGTTCTAGGAAACCCGTTGAATTTTATTTCAATTTTTTAGCACATTGAAGGCAACAAACAAACCAATAGCAAATTCGCATTATTGTGGTATCGCCTTTATGATAAGTTGAAAATAGGCTTTACAAGAAAACTTAGCTTTTGGTTAAACTAAATTTCCCAAAAAATAAATACATTTTATAATTTTAAATTTGATTAATTTTACACATGAAATATTAGTTCTTTTGTTTTCGAAATCTAATTTCTTTAAGAAAAATTGTTTCCTTAAAAGAGCTGGTTTAAAATCACTTTTCTGCAAATTAATTTTTTGAAAATTCGTACTTCGCTAAAATTACATGAAAACCATGATATCTCTTATAAAAGTTATGGCTTCATAAATTGTAAAATCGTTCTGTAAACTGAAAATAATTGTTTTTAAAGTTGGTTTTTATTTGAATCTGCTACCGTTACTTCTAGGCTTAGTATATTTATTGGTATATTGAAAGTGAAGTGTCTCTACTAGCAAAGTTTTTAACCCCGGTGTGTGTCTCCTCTAGTGTCTTTTGGAGTTTTTCACATACTTTTATACATTTAGAGCACTTTCAGCGACGGTCACACTCTTAATTATGTTTACATTTGTCCAATTTGGCGCGTTTTAATTTTTTGTATTACTTTTAAACTTAAGAGACCAACGAATAAGATGCCGGAGGCGGATCAGGATCTGGCCAAGACTCGGCGCTTCCTGAAGGAGCGCCTGCAGCGGGACTACACCACACTGAGGGGCTACGCGGAAGAGCGCTCGAACGTGCGCCAACTGCTGCAACGCACAGCGGAAATGGGTGAATCTAATTCCCTGCTGCTCATTGGACCACGAGGATCCGGGAAGACCACGGTATGCATGCAGGATCTAGTGGAGACTCCTGGCTGTTAATCCCCTTTACACCAATCCCTATCCACCAGCTCATCAACGCCGTGCTGACGGATCTGCTGGCCAACAAATCGTTCATGGATAACACTCTAATTGTCCACCTGGACGGGAATCTGCACACAGATGACCGCGTGGCCCTCAAATCCATTACGGTGCAAATGCAGCTGGAGAATGCCGCAAATGGACGTGTATTCGGCTCCTTTGCCGAGAATCTGGCCTTCCTGCTGCAGTGCCTCAAGGCGGGTGGCAAGCAATCGAAGAGCGTGGTCTTTATACTCGAGGAATTCGACCTGTTCTGCGCCCACCACAACCAGACGCTCCTGTACAACCTCTTCGATGTCTCCCAATCCGCCCAGGCGCCCATCTGTGTGCTGGGCGTCACCTGCCGCCTGGATGTGATTGAATTGCTGGAGAAGCGCGTCAAGTCGCGCTTTTCGCACCGGCAGGTCTTCTTGTTTCCCAGCTCGGAACGCTTCGAGGACTATGTGGCACTGTGCCGGGAGCTGTTGTCCCTGCCCAGCGGCTCTGCCCTCCAGGAGGCGGCCAACCGCATTGGTGGCCTGCAAAAGATCCGGTCGGAGGCGCTCTGCTTTGCGCGCAATCACTTCGACCCCAATGAGTACTCCTTCTCGCCCAGAGTTCGTGAGACTTGGAACAAGCAGGTGGCCAAGGTACTGGCCAGCCAACAGGCACAGCGCACCCTGCAGACGCTCTATGACTTCGACATCAGCGACGCCTTCCTCAAGGGCTACCTGTTTCGCCTGGTGGCCCAGCTAAATTCCCAAACCCCTTACATAACCGCCGAAAAAATGGCCGCTTTGGGCTCGCAGTTCGAAGGCGACGACAAGATCGAGCTGCTCTGCGGGCTTTCCGTTCTGGAACTGTGCCTCATCATTGCCATCAAGCACCACTCGGAGATCTACGATCGCGACCCCTTCAACTTTGAGATCATCTTTGCCCGCTTCTCCAAGTTCGCCAAGGTGTCCACCACAATGCAGGGCGTGGAGCGATCGATTGTGCTCAAGGCCTTTGAACATCTGCGCATCGGAGAGCTGATCATGCCGCTTTCCGGCGGAGCAGGTGGCGGCGTGGGCAAGGTCCAAAAAGAGTTCGAGATGCACAAGTTGGCCCTGACCTATGGGCAGATCCAGCAGGCGGTGCAGCGATACCAGGCGCTGCCCACCGAGGTGGCCCAGTGGGCGCAGAGCTCACTGATCTAGCACTTTGTCATTCCCTTAATTGAATTCATAACTCCTTTAATTGAATACATTAATTCCTTTGTTTATTTATTTATTATTTTTAGCAAAGTTGGAACTTAATTGGTTTAAATATCGAAGAAGATAGAGCTGTTTACAAGAATACCTTATTTACTTACAAATTTTAATTATAATAAAGTTGAAACCTAATTGGTTTACATATCAAACTTAAATCAAGATGATTTGTTCCAAGGCAATAAATCATAATCATATAAACTTATAAATATAAGAAAAGATTGACCCGTGAAATGTCCTCATAATCTTCATATCACTAAACTGTGATATCAGACTAAATATCACAAAGCAGTCTTAAATTTTTAAATTTCATACCTTCATCGCTTATATTTATTTAATACTTTAATAAAGCTTAAACTAAACTGGTTTTGAATATCAGACTAAAAACAAGATTCCAAAAAAAAATCTTTTATAGTTCTGAATTTTTCTTGTTATACTTTTATACATATTTATCGCCCTTAAAATGTTTACCACTGTTTTATAACAATTAGTATTTAATATGAAACATTTCACTTAATTTCAATATAACCCATCTTGTTAATGAGTTTTTTTTTTATCCTTTTGCTATTTTTACTATGATAAAATGGTTTTCAAAACGAAAATACCAAATAAATTGTATATGCATTTAGGTCACCTAAGTACACTTTTTATCAATTCCAAACTAAATCGATCGATAATGCAAATTCCTGGAAGCACCCGCATTCTAAGAAAACCCAAAATGAGGGTGGATCTCGATATATAAAGGCCCTAATTTGTGAGGCAGCAGACAGGTCAGGTGTGAACGGCATCAGCATGAGATTCCTTACCATTCCGGCAATTTCGCTCCTGGTGGCTTTGGTGGCCATCAGCCAGGCGGATGACAGTCCAGGATTCTTCCTGAAGATCACCAAGAACGTGCCGCGACTGGGAAAACGAGGCGAGAACTTTGTTATGAAGAACTTGAAGACCATTCCCCGAATAGGACGAAGTGGGCAGGTGAGTTTAAGCCGAAAGCATTCGACAATGACTTTTGTTAATCCACAAACTAATTGCAGACCTCTGTGACTCCACTGTTGGCCTGGCTCTGGGATCTGGACACGTCTCCCAGCAAGCGACGACTGCCCTCCGGGGGGGATGCGGTGGCAAAGGAGCAGGAACTCAATGTGGTGCAGCCCGTCAACTCCAATACGCTGCTGGAGTTGCTCGATAACAATGCCATCCCCAGTGAGCAGGTGAAGTTCGTCCACTGGCGGGACTTTGATCGTGCCCTCCAGGCGGACGCCGATCTGTATGCCAAGGTCATCCAGCTGGGCCGTCGTCCGGATCAGCACCTCAAGCAGTCCCTCAGCTTCGGCAGCTTTGTGCCCATCTTCGGCGATGATCAAAACCCGGCCTTCATGATGTACAAGAACAACGAGGATCAGGAGCTGTACGGTGGCGGTGGCAATCGCTACGATCGCAACTTCCTGAAGTACAACACCCTGTGAGGGGCGGAGCAGCAAGTCTTCGCCCAAATTGACAACAAAAGCTATTTAGTCGTGGAATCCAACAGGTTTTTATACTCCAAAATCTAAGAAGTATGAAACTGTATTCAAAACTTTATAAACATATTACTGCTTTGCTAGTAGCAAATATATATTCCGAATCTTTAATAGGTTCATGCAATCACATTAAATGGAGTACCATTATACATACGTTTAAGGTCTTTTTGCTTTTCATTTTTTTTTTAATGTAAACTTAAATGTTTGATAATAACTTTGGTCAATTTAACTTTTCATAAAATGTACCAAACCTAAATTTTGAAAACTTAGAAAGCAGATTTAGTATCTGAAAAATGTACCCTTAATCGTTTTGAAATTTTCAGATCAGCTTTTTGTACTAGGCTTTAAGTAGTTGAAAACTATCTGCTTTTATATGTTTTTTTTTTTTAATTGCACTTTCAAAATTATATTTTACATAATTATAAAGGAACTTGGCGTTCATTAGAATGTTAAAATAATTAAATGGGAAATTGATGTTTAATAAGAGAAATTTAAACACAGAAAAAATTATTTTAAAAATATATTTCTTCTAAAGTTTTCAGAGTAGCTAATTTAAAAACCTGCATTTTACCAATTAAAAACTCCTTTAATCTGCTGTAAAATGTTTGTTCTTAACTTCAATTTGATTTTGATTTAAATTCATACTTTCTTAATTTTAAAATAATTATCGCGTTTCTGGGGATGACAAGAAAAAACGAAGAGGGATCATTACTGGATGGGATGGACTGGAGCGGAGCGGAGCGGAGCCTTTCGTTATCGTCATCCCGGAAGGAATGGGAGCAGCACATTAACGGCGCTTCTTTGACCAGGTCCACTCCATTGTAATACTGCACTCGGGGGAAGTCAACAACCCAACAACCCAACGGCTTTCGCCTCATTTCGCTCTCTTTTTCGTTTGCAAGCGGATGAGTCAGTGGAGCGATCTGGGCCTTATCAAATTTATGGGGCCCGCTGATGTGTTAGGAATTTCCAGCGATCGCATTCTTCTGCTCCCTTTTACCGACTTTTACCGGTTAATTGAATAAAGCGATCTCCCCGCGAATTGAATACACAAACAGGATCATGGCGCCGTCGCATCTTAGAATTTGATGTGTTTATTTTGTTTAATTAGCAGACCGCTGTTATATTTAAGCGACATGCTGTTGTTGACCAGCATTCGCAAACAATTTAGTAATCCCCGCGGCCCATAAACAATCATAAGTTACAAGCCGGGCTCAGAGACTCTGCGACTCACCAACAGACGCGATGACGACGCAAACTTGACTTTGAAATATTTGCAATGCCCCGCCGATGTTCGCCTCAATGCTCGTTGTTATTGTTTCTGGCCTTTTCGATTGTTTACTCTGTTTTTCAATTTCTATTTCCAGTGCAAGCGTAGAACAAGTTTGCTGGGGAGGCCCCAGCGGCTTAGCCAAAAAAAACTCGTTAGGGGGTTTTTAAAACATTTCCCGATGATACCTTGCTTTATTAGTTTTTTGCTAAAATTTAGTTTAGGTAAAATTTGTAAGCAATTCTGCCAGGGGCACAACATTAAATGCCCGTTGAGTAAAGGCTTAAATAAAAAAAAACGTTCTACTATTTCTGTACATTTAAATATATTTTGCTAAAAAATAAACATGTATTTATTTATCAAATTTGTAATTCCTTAAAGTTGAAGTCAACAGCGTAATTCTATGAAATAAAATGTGAATCCTAATATTTTCGATTGAAACTTTTTTTGTTTTGTGAGATTTTTGTGAAATCTTGTTATGCTTTACTTCTTTGTCTGTATTTAAAAAAATTGAAATATCTTATAATGTTAAATCTTTAAAATGAAATATAAATCTTTACTTAAGCCACGAATAGGGGTTCCCGGTATTTTGATGGGGATGTGGTCTAAGCCTCTGCTCTCTCTTGGCCTCTCCCGCTCTGCCTCTCGCTTTCGCTCCGTCGCTCTCTCTTCGGCGCTCTCCCGCCCGCCAAAGCCACTCTCCACTCCGCTCAGAGCTTAAATACGTGTGCCGCTTCAGCGGCGTCCGAAGACGATTCACAGACTTCGCCGCGATCGGTTGAGTTTTTGATAGATATTGTTTTTCGCTCTGTTTCCGTTTCGCTTGGAATTCGCCGTTTTCGTGATCGAATAGTAGGCAAGCGCCTCCAAATCCGCTCCCCCGCCTTTCGCCCAGAAACCGAAGTGTGAAACAAGCTTTTGCGTTCCAAGCTGAGACGAACGCACACACGTACGCCCAAATTATTAAAAAAAATAAAAAAAACTAACAACAACGATAATACAAATTGGCCACGCTAGTTGTTTGGGTTAAATCAATTAAGTGCGTCGGACAGAAGAAAGTCCACTGCGCCGATCGAAGTGATAATCCATCAAAAGCGCTTTTATTGGGCCCTAAAAACAGAAAAAGAAAGTCGCCGCACAAAGGTTACACAACCAAAGCGTGCAATTGACCCACGGATCACGGATCAGAGATCAACGATTACGGATCACGTATATTCCCCCCTCTGAACTTTTTTCGGCTAGTGTGGAGCAACTATGACGACTGCGGCGAAAGTAATCTTGGCGTGCTGCCTGCTGGGCGCCTTCCATATGCAAATCACCTCGTCATCGGCCATTCCCATTTGGGAGTTTTTGACCCGCAACGAGAAGGTAAGAGAAATTGCGCATACGCCGCGTGTGCCAGCTGCAGGTTGCGCATACGCCGTGTGTACGACTCACACTTACATACGGCAATTGTCCTTGGCATTGCGCATCTGTCGAGCTTGTGTTAAGTCTGTTGAATGTGTTCAATTTGTTGAATCTGTCGAATCTAGCGCAGCGCTGAATACTTGATCAGCCGAGCATAATCATTATTAACAGCGATATTTGATATTGATATGGTGATGTTGTGATAACTTCAATGAGTTCGCATATTAACGGCGCTTTGCCCGCTTCTGTTTTTTTTTTCGCGGTTTCACTCTGCTTCACCCTGCCAGCAGACCATCGAAAAAACAAAAGGAATGAATATGAAAATGAATATGAATGGTTGACATGACTTGGACCATTGTCAGCGAGCGGTATTCGCTGGCTTATTTGCATAACTGTACCGCGTCGATTGGCATCGTAACCAACATAACACAATAAATACTCGAGCTAAAAAAAACTGAAGAAGAACGGTCCTTGGCATAAATAGACGCCGATCTTGACATTGGGCGTTATCAGAGTCGCGTCAAGTCTGGCGAGGATTATGGTGCCTAGGAATACCGGTCTATTTCGAGCACAATCTCGAGACGAGTCGTCACAAGTGTTGCCAAAATATCGGCAATCTGGTTTCACAACCGATGAAGCGAAAAGGTTATGCTTGTGGAGGCTCAGATCTCAGATCTAGCCACGATTAGTCAGCCAATCCCCCAAAAAAACAAAAACTGAAATCAGCCGAGCGCGAAGCAAACATTAATTTCCATTTATGAAATAACAACAGTTTCAATTTACATTCGCAAGTGCTGTAAATTGCCAGCGAAAAACAAAAAACTAAAAGCTTTTCACTTTTCTGCACAAATGTTTGTGCAACAAAGCGTGACAACGTTGCGGCAATTTTCTCCTCAGTTTTTGTTTATTTTGTGTTTTTTGGTTAATGAACTCCACCGCCAAAGTGTTTTTTGTTTCGCTTATTAATTAGCCGATGGACTTTAATTTATATATAGCAATTTGCCCGTCATTAGATCTTTTTGCCCGCTTTTGCTTTTGCTTTTGCTATAGCTTTTGCTGGCAGCGCATCAATCTGAGCCGCTATTTTTGACCGCTAAGCACGCGAACTGCGCCTTAAAAATCCCCCAGATCGAGACAATAGAGCCCAGAATATAATATGTAACCCGATCCAGCCAGAAGTGATTGAAAGCCACATCCGGCACCCCCACACGAGTCTGCTGAAATGGGAAAATAATTTCTAAAAAAAAAAAGGTAATTAAGTGCCGAAAAATAGAAACGCAATTTGCGTCTGGCTCTGGGATATTGATGATGTTCGTATTGTATGTACTATAGTATCAACGATTGGCAATTAATGTAAATTTCTAATGATCACTTATTTATAGAAGATGCTTCAGCTTCCTGTTTTCAGGTGATTTAATACCGCTTCCCCTAAGTGAGCGCAGCTATTTAAGCGCTTTCGTTTTTCGATTGCAAAAATAAACAACAGCTCAGCAATTTTGTTGTTGCCCTTTATGTTTTTTTTATGGATGCAAACGCGTTTAGCCGGTTTGCGGTTCGAACTTCAATAAATAAATTATGTTCGCATTACTTTTTTTGGCGTATTTTACGTAAAGTATGTTGGGATACACTACTATAAACAGTAATCGCAATGGAAACCCTCATCGGAACCCTTTTTTCCCAGACGATGCCCAATCGAACCGGAGTCATTACGGCGTCGCTTTTTATTTTGTTATTTTGTATGTTATGAAATGTTTCATTTTCGTGGCGCGTTTTTTGTTGATTTCTTTTGTTGGCAATTTAGATGTTTCATAATGTAACCCGCGCATATCAACAGGTTATTGAACTGCTGATCCGGAGATGGTATGCGGTATGGTATGAAGGTATCGGAGACTAAAGTTACGCCCATATTTGTGGTTCGGGAAGCGACCACACGAGACAGCTCTTAATGGCCCCATCTTTTGAGTGAGTCTCGCTTTTCGGGGGTTTCTCACATTGATTGACTACTATATATTTCCCATATCCCATGAGGAAGTCGAAGTTAAGATAGTGTTTTGGGCCAAGATCAGGGTGTCGAACTAGACTTTCATTAAGTGCAATCGATGTCAGCTTAGTCACTTAGCTGGAAGGCTAATGAATTACAGCCTGTCCCCGACGATCTCGAATCTACATATCTTTATAAATACGAGAGCTTATGTATATTATATAAGCACATTAAGTACGTGACTTTGACAACTCCCGCAAAGGCTTTTTGAAATTTTTGCCCACTAAGCCATAAATAATTTAGATATACCATATATATATATATATATTTATTTTGTCAATTCTGGCTAATTATTTAATTGTGCCAGGGCCTGGACCGTAAAATCTTGACAGAGTTATTCGAATCAGATAAAGTGTGCTTACATTTTGTGTATAAAGACAGTGCGCGTCATAACTGTGGGTCTGGTAGGGAACAAAAGAATCAAAACGAGCGGGACAAATTGGTTAAACAAATCGTTTTGCTTTACAAAATATTTAAATAAAAGCACACATGCAAGAGGGGTGGGGTGCGATAATATCAATTGCATTTTACAGTTTGCACACGTTTGTGGGTAACGGTAATTGGTAATGTGAGCCAACAACTCGCCAACTGGCCAACTTTGGCCCGAACCGAACCGAACCGAACTGATCCGATGCATTATGCAAACGGCGTAAAATTGTAAAACCCCCAAGTTGAGCCAATGCAAATGAAGCTCTTCGTCTTCGCTTTTCGAGTTGTTCAAGTTGATGGAAGCAGATCAAGGGTGTCTGTTTCTAGAAGGAGACACTGGATCCTCCCCGACTTGGCCCACTTTCCTACCCACTTTCTTTGTTCTGCTGTTTACCACTCTTTCTCGTTTATTTGTTTGTCTGCCCACCGAGGTGCTAAATCGTGAGAATTGCCGGATTCGGATTTTCTGGGGAGTTTCTGCGATTGATTATCACTTGACGTCACCTGTGCGGCTAGAGAAATTCCACATAGCTACACATATAGTAGATGTGTCACCGATCAGTAGAACATTCGGCGCTAATTAAAAGTCCATTCAACGCTCCGCTGGCCACAGAGAATAGACAATGAGCTGATGTTTTGGCCGCTGAACCGTAAATTCATACCACACCATAGCAAACCGTACCCATCCGAACTGGGCCACATACCAGGCCATCAAACTCGCGCCCTGGGAGGCAGTAGTTGCCCAACTCCCTCCCAGGTTGCGCTGTCGAAATGCATTTCGTTTGTGCAACGAAAGTGCAACTGCAATCATCTCCCCCTGAAACACACGCACCTTGCGAAATCCTCCCACTAAGTAGTATGTTGTACCAGGTAGCTCCACCTCTGCCCTCTGCTCACTGATGGCCCCATATCTTCGGCACACCGAGAAAAACTTTCTTTATATCGAAATTGCACTTCTGAGAATCAAACATTTTCTACAATTAAATTTTTTTTATTATAGTCATGTATTCAATTTAATAATACATTTTTGAGAAGGCACTACAAATTTAATAAAAATGTATTTATTCAATATTCAAATTAATAACATAGTTTTTAATATTCAAAAATACTCAAAGAAATTTGCTCACATAAATAAATTATTTTATCCAAGTCACAAAAAAAAGCTAAGCAAACCTTGAAGAATGTTATTTACGAATTTATTTTAAAATCAAATATATTTTTTAATAATTAAAAATTTTTAATGTAAGTTTTTTACGGTAAATTTTTAATCTGTAAAGTTTGATAAGCTTAAATTAACTTATTCTCAATTCAGATGAATTTTTGACATTTTTGCTATACAAATCTTGAAAAATATAAGCCAGAAATTTATTTAAAAATTCAAATTAAAAAATGTTTGATATGCTTTTTTTATCAATCAAATATTTATAGATTCAGATTAATTGTTGCTTAAGTTAGAAGTATAGAAGTCTAATTTATTCTGTAGCAACAATCTCTAACTGGTTTCTAAAGTATAAGTTTAAGTGGGTTAGTTTTGGGTGACTCATTTTCTTAAGAGCTTTGCTTTGCTATTGTGTTCTTAATTTGGAGTTTGGACTTATATATAGCACTTAGGCAGATATAACCGAAGTGAAATATGTTTTAAAGTTTGTTATTTTTGTTTTCTCTGCAGATGTCCCACCTGTACTCCACATTCGCCCAATTAGTTAGCGTGCACTGCAAGTCGACTGCCGCCGTTGGAGGACTGCCGGTGAACCAGTGCAAGCACAATCTGCTCACATATGGATCCGCCAAGCTGCAGACGCTCTCCGACGCCCAACTGGAGTCGCTCGATCCGTATCAGCGCGATGCCAACGAGCTGAGTAAGTGCCTCTATCGGCTAGTTATCTCTATCTCTTAGTTGCTAGCTGCTAGCTGCTAGCTGCTTTCTGCGTGGGAGATCGATCGATTTCCGCCTGAGAACTTCCGCAGTGCGCAGCCGCGACGTGCTGGACGTGAGATTTTTGACCACCCGCCTGTGCTCTTCTCTTCCGCAGTCTGGTCATCGATCATGCGGGCGCATCCGAGTGGAGCCAGCCTGGTGACCACCAGGCAGCCCCTGCAGCAGCCACTGCCCACGCCGCCAGCCTCCTCGCTGATCATCCTGACGCGCCAGCAGTTGCCACAGCCCAGTGCCGGCTCCAATCCGATCTTCGAGAGCGGCGAGCAGAAGCACAAGTACGCCATGGACATGGACATGGCCTATGGCTACCCCGCCAGCAGTGAGTTGCCAGTGGCCGCTGCTCTGACCAGTGAAGCACCCAAGAGCTATCTCACTGGACCGCTAGTGATCCGTGTGCGTCCCGATGGCTCCCCAGTGGAGGAGGATCGCCGGATGCCTCTGCCCCGCGACGAGGATCTGCCCTACTTCCGTCTGGGCCTGGCAGCCGCCGGTGCCCAGCAGCCCAACAGGCACCGCAAGATCGCCACTATTAGTGCTTTGAAGCAGCAGCATTTCGCCTCCATCCTGCAGCGCGATCTGCAGCCACCGCATCAGGTGCAGAGGCGTCTGTTCCGCCAGCAGCAGGCGTAAGATCCTGGCCAGCGGATCCCTAGTTCCCTAAGTACTTGTTTGTATGCCGTGTGAATGTGATAGATGATCGTTGCACCATTGAGTGCGAGAGCGAGAGCGAGAGAGAGTGGATGAATAGTTGTAGCCGTTTGAGGAGTTTTCTTGAATGCACTTTTGAGCTTTAATGGAATTTCGTATCATAGCCATTTAAGTTTTCTTTAATTTTATTTATTCGCGTGCATTAGCCGTAAGATCAAATAGAGATTCTTGAGTAATAAACCGCATGATGATTATCATTGTTACGAACATATAGTATGTGTGCATTAATTCTGAATTGTGGGGATCTCTGCACAAAAGCCAGCGAACCGGTTGGTTATGCTAATATCGAAAGTCGCATCTCCACCAGCAAGCAGCCAGCAGTCACCAGTTCCTTGTCGCGATCTCCACTCACACCCATAATTAACACGCGAAAGCCTTATTAACCCACATCCAACGAACAATGGAATTACTGGATGAAGGGGCGTACTGAATCCGGTTTGGCGGGTTCAGAACGCACTCAGGGGTCGACATTAGCCCCGGCCATTAGAATTTGCGAATTTTGGCAATTACAATTCGGTGTAATTTCGCGGGCAACTGGTTTATCCGGCCTTTTTTACTGAACGGGCCCCATCAATCTCGGCTCTGCAACAATGGCAGATTAATTGCAATGCACGTCACTGCATTTCAATGAATGATGCGGGGAATTTCCACCAGCCACTTGCAATTCATGCACCTTAATTAGCACGAGTTTTAGGCGTGAAAGTTGAAAGATCCCCTTTAATCTTGAATTTAGATAGACAAGCCCGCTAAAATAATTATCGGAGGCACAACGCTTATCGATTGTTAGCAGCGACTTACTCCGCAGGTAGCGCAGACTCGATCCACAAATAGCAGTTTGCGTAGACTTTATTTAAGCAGTGTATCTCTCGCCATTCGAGAAGTGCAAGCAGTGCTCTGTGCTATAATTAGCGGGGACTTACACCGCAGAACCAAGAAACAATTAACATTAAAATATATTTTTAATTTATAAAAAAGCATACACAACATATAAGCATATAACATCAGAACACTACATTTTAGCCTAATATATTCTCAGACATTCTTTCTTGCCCGCTGCTAAAGATTGAAAAACATCGATGTCATCTCGCCAAACATCGATATAATCGATGTTTTGAAAACATCGATGACATCGTTGTTATCTTCGAAGTTTCTCCACCTCTAGGCGCTGGGAATAACAGAAAAAAGGTAAATAAGACGCAAAAATAACTGTTCCACGGAAAACTGCAGCTTTCCAGGTATCAGCAAATCGTCCGAGTAAAGGCCGATAAGAAGGGTAAATTTTTTTGGTTCTACTTATTTCATGAGTTTGCCCTGTGACGTGAAGTAGGTGATTCCCATATTGCCAATGATTCATTACCTCTGCCTTTTTGCTCATATAATACATATATCCTTACATTTGCATGTGCGTCCGTTTGTGTTTTTCTAGATATACATTCGATTCGAAAAAAAACATCTGGCTTTTCGTTTCGCCGCTGCGGAATTCATCGATTTGTCAATCCGACCGTAGTCGGGTACGGAATTTAGAAAGCGGGGATTCCCAGGCAATCTGTGCCCGCAGTAGTCAGATCGTCAATCGCCGATGATCAAAGCCAGTAGCCAAAGTCAGTGCTACCGCGACAACGAGGGCGCCATGTCGGAGGAAGAGTCGTTCGTCATCCTGGGCAGCTCGCCGTACCCCTCGCTGCTCCCCGACGATGGATCCTTAGCCTTCGATGGCTTGGACGACGTCCAGGAGGCCAAGGAACCGATTGCCTCCACCAGCAGTCAGCAGCCAGCAATAGTGGAAAGTGCTCCCATCAGCATGACTGCCTCGCAGCAGCCCAAATCGCTGGAATCCGGATCATCGCAACACCAGTCTTTGGCGGCCAGTTTTATAATGGGCGAAGTCCAGTCAGATGTATTGAAGGTTGGAGTCTGAAGTAATCCCGGCTAGCCTTTAATCCCCATCCTTGTAATTCACACCCCCACAGAACAGTGTTTACTCGCAATTTCCCAGCCTCTGCTCGCTGCAGGCTTCCGCCGAGGATGTGGTCAAGCTGCAGAACATGATGACCGAATATGTAACCCTAAAGAGTGAGTACAACTAAACTATAAAAGAGTTATAATCGGAGATATACCCCTATTATCCGCTAGACACACTTGACAAGGTCAACCACACCATGCTGAACTATCACAAGCTGACGCAGCAGTGGCGCCAGGAGGCCGCCGACAGGGAGCAGGATTACAAGAGGCAGCTCCAGGAGTGCCAGGAGCAGTTCGAGCAACTGCGCGAGGAGAACCAGAAGCTGAAGGAGGATTTGGAGACCAAAATCGTGCAGATCGAGGTGGTGCAGGACTTTAGCCAGAAGGAGCAGAGTGAACTGCGGATGAGCATCTCCGAGAAAACGTCCCTCATTGACAACATGCGCGTGGAAATCGACAAGCTGCAGCAGCTCAAGATGGTACGTAGTTCGCCGAATTGGACCAAGCGATAGTGCACAGCCCCGGACACAGGCTTGCATTCATAAAAGCACACTTCACTATCTACACTTTGAACTGCGCAGTATCTGGCTTCGAATGAATGGAGTAACAACTTCCCCTTTTCGTGATATTACAGCACTCGTTCGAGTTTGTACCTGAGGATGGAGGCAAAACCGATGCGGATCCGGACAAGGCATTGAACTATGTGCAACGGGACGAACACGATCGCCAAGTGCGGGACCTGCAGCGCCAGCTCTCCAAGCTGGTGGCAGAGAACCTTGAGATCACCGACATGGTTTGTATTTCGCCGTGCCATTTCTTTGAATCTTCTTAAACAATAATTGCTTGTTAACTTGCAGAAGAATACCTATATCGAGGAGATCGACTGCTTGAAGGTGAACCTGACCAGTGCCCAGGAGCTGATAGCCAAAATGCAGCGCGACATTGATGAACTGAAGGCCAGGGATATCCAGAAACAGGAAGTGATCGATCATCTGCAGACCCAGAATGACATCTATCGCAGGGACTTTGAAATGGAGCGGGCAGATCGCGAGAAAAATGCCGGCGAGAAGGATCAGTATCTAATGGATTTGAAGGCGTTGCAGAGGAGAAACCAGGAGCTAATCGAAGCGCTGGCCGAGTCGCACAAGGCCAGCAAGTCGGCCTCGCCCGCTTCTTCGTTGAGTTCGAGCAGAAGCAGTCTGCGCGAGGAGCAGAGACCTGTAAGAGTATGTTGCCTTCGTTGCTCCTCCAGTTCAAGTGCTTATTTCCCTTTCAATAGGTTCTCGATCCCACTGGCGCCGCTTCGAGGACAGCGGAACCCATTCTGCGCTGTCCCATCTGCTCAAAGTCCTTCAATGCGATCAGCGTTCTGCAGAGCCACGTCAACGATTGCCTAGACAAGAACTAAGCACAATTACTAATAACAATATTAATCTATTTTTGTAGTATAAAATTTATTAATTAAGCTTAAATGTTTGCCAGCTGGCTAATTGCACATTATATGAAAAAACACTAAATTACAGTTGCGTTAACAATCCCTAGAGTTTGCTTCGAATGGGCGGCATTTCCAGCGACCAGACGCGGCGCACATCCTGGCTGGCCACCAGATTGCTAAGCACTTTTACATCTGCAACGAATTGAGAGATAAGCTCAAGTGCTATTTGCAAAGTTTATGAGAAATGCCTACCGTTGGTGCGGGCAAACTGTTGCAACGTGTTGCGTATATCACAAATGGGAATGGCTGTGTTGATATTGGGGTAAACAATGTCGTCCAGTTTTATGTTGGACACACACACGCCCAGGATGCAGCCGTTCTGATCGAACATGGGCCCTCCACTTTGGCCCGCCTGCACGCTGCCATCGGACATGATCGCCCCAGTGTCGCACTTGATGATCCGGCCTTGGAAAATCGAGGGATTGAAGTCGTGCTTGTAGCTGAAGTTCACGAAGTAGGGAAACCCAGCGTTATAGACCATCTGGCCCAGAGTGGCCGGACTCCTGGCCAGACGCACGCAGCAACGCTCCGGCACATCCTGTGGAGCTGTGAGCAGCGCCAAGTCGAAGGGTCGATCGCTGTCCGGATTACACCATATCACCTCCGACTGGAACTCGCGATCGGCCGATCGGCAATTGACCTTCTCGTTGCCCTAAATACATACATATATTGCAATTATTATATGGGCTTGGATGGATGTAGGGGAACCCCATATTTACCTGCCCCACCACATGCGCACAGGTGAGGATAAAGTGCTTGTTGTGCACTTTTATAAAAGTGCCGGTGCCTTGTTGACCCGCCGACTCAATGACCACAATTGTGCGCTCCCCTTTGTGATAAACATGTGATTACTACTTAGATCATCACCTATGATTACTCTTATCTTACAGGCAAAGTTCGAGGGCTCCCGACTGAGCTGGAATGTGGAGATGGACATGCCCAGTTGCTCCATGAAGTTCTTTAAAAGGTAGCCAAAATTTGCGGCCAGCGTGAGATTGACGTTCTCCTGTTGTCTTTGGAACGAGGTGCATATCACAATGCCAATGAGGCGACTGTAAGAGCAGATATTTTAAGAATCTATATCGTTGTTATGCAATTTAGCACCCACAGTTTGTTGTTGAACACGGCGGAACCCTCACAACCCAGTGGCAAGGCGTTGGAGATGGCGAACAGGCAGCCACTGCGTCCCATCACATTGGAAACCTTGCCGATGCTGATGGTCTTGTAGAAGTTCTCCAGGCCAAAGGGTGAGCACATGACCAGCACGTCGTCCAGCGTCTGCATGGGCTGCAGGTGGCGCAAGTAATTGCCAATGTGGGCGAGGAATCGCTTGAAGGACTCCTCTTTGTCAGGCTTCCGCAGGCCCAGCACCACGAAACTGGAGCGGAGCACTTCGATCTCATCCCCGGAGTCCGCGGTTAGCAGGATGTGGTGCAGATTCCGGGACACTTCGGCGGCGCAGAACACGTACAGCGGATGGGCCGTGAAGCGGGAGAGGATGTGAGTTTGCCTGGATCCAGAGGCAGCATTCTGGTTTGGTCTCGGCCTTCGTTGCTGCGGATCAAAGGTGACCACGAAGTTGAGCGACCGGATGCGCCGAGCCTCCTCCTCCTCCTCCTCCTCGCTCTGGACATTCAGCAGCTGGCCCCGCTGCAGCCTGGCAATGATCTCTTTGTTCTCCGCGCCTTTGTCCCCATCGAAAAGCAGGTGGGGTTGCAGAATGCTCCCAGAACTGATGATCACTTCGTTATTGATGATGATCGCCGACTGCTTCGTGACCGGCGGACTGGTGACCTCCAGCAGGGCGTGGCGTATCTTCAGCAGCATTATCTTCAGAATTGATTAGTATAAACCCCTTGTCATGCTAAATTATTAAATTTCTTTTGTTTATGCTTTGGATTTAACATTCACAGTGGTAGGCTGACAATCAGCTGATTGCGGTCCACAACAATCCAAATTTGCCATTCGCAGCGATGCGCGCCAAACAGCTGATGGACTCCAACCTCAAAAAGTTTTGCTGCGAGAATTTGAATTTATTGTGGAGCTTTGCATAATGTTGCCGCTGCGCTGGAGTTTGCTAAAGCCGCTCCAGAATGGATACCGGCAGGGTCGTCGTTACCTGGCCCAGAAGAACCTCCTGGAGCTCACGGATCGCGGATTTTTCCAAGGCATTTTCCCGGACACAGCGGCGTAAGATTCTGGGTCATCACCTAAAATTCCTTTTAACACCCATTTTATTTATTAAAACTCTTGCGCCCACAGGCCCAAAATGAAACAGCTCTTCACCAGTGGCCAGCAGAGCATCTACGCAGGATTCGATCCCACCGCCGACAGCCTGCACGTGGGTAATCTCCTCGTGATTATGGGCCTCATCCACTGCCAGAGATCGGGTCACAGGCCAATTGCCCTGGTTGGAGGAGCCACTGGTCTCATTGGGGATCCCAGTGGACGCAAGACGGAGCGCAATCAACTGGGCGAGTCGGTGATCGAGACCAATCTGAGGGCCATCGAGCAGCAGCTGAGACAGGTGTTCGAGAATCACGAAAAGTGCCTCTGGGACACGAGCAAACACAAATCTCCACTACCTCCACTAAAGTGGGTATAAATCTTATTTTAGGATGTTTTAATCCAATGCTAATCCCCTGTAGAATCGTCAACAATGCCGACTGGTATGCCGACCTGCAGCTCATTGACTTTGTGGCCAATATGGGTCGCCACTTCCGCATGGGTTCCATGCTCTCCAGATCCTCGGTGCAGTCGCGCCTGGAATCGGAGGACGGCATGAGCTTCACCGAGTTCACCTACCAGATCTTCCAGGCCTACGATTGGCTGCATCTGTTAAGGCGCCACAACTGCTGCTTCCAAATGGGCGGCTCTGATCAGACGGGCAACCTGATGACCGGTCACGAGCTCATCAGTCGGGTGGAGCGCAAGCGGGAGGTCTTCGGACTAACCCTGCCTCTGGTCACCACGCAGGAGGGCGACAAGTTTGGCAAGTCGGCGGGCAATGCCGTGTGGCTGGACGGGAACAAGACCTCGCCCTTCGCCCTCTACCAGTTCTTCCTGCGCATGCCAGACTCCGAAGTGGAGAAGCTTCTCAAGCTGTTCACCTTCATCCCGCTGCCGCAAATCGAACAGTTAATGAACGAACACACGAGGGAGCCGGAGAAGCGCAAGGCGCAGACGCTACTGGCCGAGGATGTAACCCTATTAGTTCATGGAGGTACCACCTAAACTCTGATGTTTGGAATTTCTATTTAATCCGTTTTTTTGTGTTTGTAGAAAATGGACTGAAGCAGGCGGAGCGTGTGACCAATGCCTTGTACAAGGGCAATGTGGAGGGATTGGCGGAGCTGAACCTCGCCGAGATCCAGCAGACCTTCCAGGGAGCCACCATGGTGGATCTGTTGACCGAGCCCGGAATGTCCATCCTGGAGTTGGCCATGAAGGCCAAGTGCTTTCCCACCGAGAGTGAGTTTGCTTTCAAAACTTAAACCTAGCAAAGTATTAAGTGTACTTTTCTCAGCCGATGCCGTGCGCATTATAAATGCAGGTGGATTCTATGTCAACCAGAAGCGAGTGCAGAATATTGCCGAGGTGCTCACCACGGGAATACACATCCTGCGGAACGGAGTGTCCCTGCTGCGCGTGGGCAAACGCAACTTCTACATCGTGCGCTGGCAATAGCCCTCACAAAACACTTGTTATCCGGTAATTGTAACTTGTTATTTGTGTTAAATAATCATAGGTTGTACAGCTACATCTAAAAACTATTTATGTGGGCCGGGGGGCGGGCTTCTTGCGCCACCTCTTCCGCGCCAGCATCTCTTTGGCCTTCTCCTTCTTCAGGTCCTTGTCGTAGAACTTGCCGCTCTTGGTGAAGGTCTTCTGCTCGTTGCGCATCTCGGCCAGCTTGCGGTTCTTCTGCTTGATGATGTTCTTCTTGTTGGCCGACTTCTTCTTGCCCGCCTCCGAGATCTGCACCTTGATGTGGCGACCCTGCAGCTCCGTGTTGTGCAGCTGGAAGGCCTTCTGGAAACTGGGCAGGTCGGTCATCTCCACAAAGGCGAAGCCGCCACGCCGCTTTTTGGGTATGCGGATGGACTTGACCGACCCCGCCGCCGAGAAGTGCAGCTCCAGGTCGTCCCTTGTGGTCTCGAAATTCAGGTTCGTCACGTACAGAACATGTCTGTTGGTCTTGGAGGCTCCGCGCAGCAGGGAGCTCAACTGGTTACTGGTTATTTGGCCATTTTCCGCTACTTCCTCGTCTTCCTCCTCATCCTCGGAACCGGAGGCTGCACTGCCTTCACCTTCTCCAGCAGCTGCCTCTTCCTTTTCGCTACTGCTGTCCTCCGGATCACTGGGATTCCGGCCGTCCTCCTCCTTGTCCACATACGTGCCCTCGAAGATCTCCTTGCGTTTCTGGTCGTCGAAGTTGCCCAGCAGGTCGGCGCTGTCGTCGTTGACTGTCCGCCGCACCCGCTTGGGATTGATGAAGGACTCCACCTCGTAGTCGCTGCCAGAATCGCTGGCCATCGCTTTATTTCTGGGACTAATCCTTGGGATTCCGTCTCTTGAATTTCACCAACACGTGTGATTTCCCTGCGAATGGCAAGACAGTGCTAGAAAGCGGGAATATAACGGAGTTCAAGATCATTTCCAGCACTGGTCAACTGCGCGCACTGAAATTCAAATTTCCAGGGTCATCCTATTGATCTTGCAATATTTTCGGTGCTTGATCAAAAACCGGTTGCATCTGCGGGAGCCACAGCGGTCAGATAGTGGAGTTATCTCCAAATTAAGCAAATCGGCGATAACATCGAATAAATAGCAATTAATTTGCGTTATGCGGCGCTTATCAGGCAAAACTTGATCGTGCGCCGCACTGACAATTGATGAACGGCCGGCAAAACGGGAATATTCCGCGCAGATCACCATAGATAACTCCAACGAATATGATACTCCGAGCGGGTGATGGCGATAATTAATGCCTGCAGAATGACTGCATCAATGTCTTTTGTTTAATTAAGATAAACGTCTGCTTGGAGCCAGTTATAAAGGAAATTTATACGATTGGTCATTTCGGCCGGTAAAATGTCAAGAGAGAGAGCTATAAAAGCGCAGTATTTGTCTGTTGTTAGTCAGATTTGTTTCGCAATCGATCAGCACACCCATCCTTTTAACCAAACATGAAGTTCGTGGTAAGTGGTGGTTGTTTCTAAAATAAATGACAATATATTTTTAAAAACTGATATTCTTCAGATTGTTCTCGCCTGCCTTTTGGCCGTGGCTTTTGCCAACGAGGAGGCCGATGTCCTGAAGAGCGACTCGGAGGTGAACGTGCTGGACTTCAACTACGCCTACGAGCTGTCCAATCACATTCGTGCCGTCCAATCTGGAGCTCTGAAGGAGCACGACAACTGGGTGGTTTCCGGCGAGTACGAGTATGTGGCCCCCAATGGCAAGACCGTCAAGGTCGTCTACACCGCCGACGAAACCGGCTACCACCCAAAGGTGGTCGAGGCCTAATCTATGCGACACTTCTCTTAGCCTGAAATAAAATTTAAATCCATTGCAACAACGTATTAATTTGAATTTCCGTTATTTCTGGGAAACTACATACAATAATTCTCTGTGAATGGCCACTCTTCTTCTTACTGCAACTAGCCAAAACTAGTGTTGGAAAATTATTCGCCAATTGTATACAATACCGACGAACCAGTCTGGCAACGCCACACCGTGCACAATCAATTGCATTATCGCTCCGCTTAATTTATTTAAATACATGCTAAGTTAACCAATTAATGGTTTAAGAAACATGGCCACGGAATCGACAGCCATGGACTGTGCGGAGAGCACTGAAAATCCAGCGGAGGAAGCCCAAGAAACAGCTACGGAGCTGGAACAAGAAGCCGGCTCCCTTGCGGTGGCAGAAAAAACCAGTGCATGTTCCACTGTGCCGGAAAAAAAGGAGGGAGAAGCTGCAGAAGATGTGGAAATGCAGGACCTGACACTCGAGGATCCAGCTCCCAGTAGTCCCTTGGGTTCAACCGAAGTAACCAGCGAGGAGGGAAAGGAAGCGTTGGTGGAGGGCAAGGAGGTGGAGGAGCAACCCAAGGACGATGAGGCCAAAGAAAGTATTTCTATCGATATTCCCAGCAGTCCAGTGCCAGATGCAGAGCCGGAAAATGCAGACGAAGCCACTGATAAGCCTCCATTAGAGGTGGATTCGGACAGCAGTGTGGAGCTCATCGAGAGTCCTGGTCCAGTGAAGTCCCCTGCCTCCAACGGCACGGCTGAGGACCAGGAAAAGTCAGACAGCACTGAAAAACCTTCAGAAACAGAGGCCAAGGAGGGCGAGGATTTGGCGGACAGCAGCATCGAACTCATCAGCAGTCCCACCTCGGAAAGTTCTCCCGGGAAAGAAGTGGAAAACAGGGAACAAGAGGAGCAGAAGGAGCGGCTGGATTCAGATGATCATAAAGAGCAAACAAACCTGCTGCCCATAATGGATGTGGATCAAGGGGAATCCTCAAGACCTTCAGCAGATAAAACCGAAGAAATGGTTTGTGAGGAAAAACCCAAAGAGTCCGCAGATCAAAGCATGCATACACCCATGGAAATTGAGGTACAACCCAGTGCAAATATAAAGGATGACATCCTGGAAGTGGAGCTGGAGAAGCCCACTGTTGCAAAGGAACCACAAGATGAGCCGCTAAGCGAACTGCCTTCGGATGGGGACATCTTCTACGGCAAGGACTGCATCAACTGCAACTGCAAGCGACTGCACAAGCAATACGTGCTGACCAACATGGCCACGTTGAACTTCTACAAGGTGGCCCGCAAGACATCCAAGCAGCAGTTCCTCTGCATGGGCTGCCACGACACCGCCATGGATTTGTATGAGGTCGGGTCACTTAATCACAGCTCCAAGAACAACCGCTATAAAGCTTATCTTTCTTTTTAGGATTATGCCGGTCATTTGGTGGCCAAGCAACCGCTGCTACTGAAGGATTTCGACCAGGACCACGCCGATTTTGTGGCTCTGGACAGCAGCGACGAGGAGGAAGAGGAGAAGCCGCCAGGTGAGACTTCCACTCGACACTCGACCATAACCCACTTACAAGTATTGCTTGCAGAAAAATCAGATTTCTCTAAAACCGAACTGCAACTGATTGAGGATGAGCTCGAGGATGCCATCAAGAGTGTGCTGCACAAAGTGGAGTTCAAGAATCAGCTCTCCTGGTCAAAGACCATCCTGCAGGCCAAGGCGGATCGCTTGGAGCGCCAGTTTGCCCTGGCAGATGCGGAATTTGAAAAGGTCCAGAGCACCGCGGACAAGATGCACTGCGCCCTGTACAATTCCTGCCCGGTGGTGCACAAACATCTGCCACCGCTGGAAATCGAAGCCATCGCGACGGACTACGTGGTGAGTTAGGGGAAAGTGCAGTTTGATCCTGTTTTAATATCCATATTTATGTGTTTCAGCACCATGTCCCGCCTGCTGGCGAAATTGTGCGGCCACCCATTCAGTTGGGTGAGACCTATTACGCGGTGAAGAACAAGGCCATTGCCAGCTGGGTGTCCATTAAAGTGATCGAGTTCACCGAGAGCACCGCCATCAACGGCAACACGATGAAGAGCTACAAGATTAGGTACCTCAACACGCCCTACCAGATGATCAAAACGGTGACGGCCAAGCACATTGCCTACTTTGAGCCGCCGCCAGTGCGCCTCACCATTGGTAAGTGAGCAGTGCCTCTGGGTTGGCTATCCACCAGGCAGCTAAAAGTTCCCTCCTTTCAGGCACTCGCGTGATCGCCTACTTCGACGGAACCACTTTGTCGCGTGGCAAGGAGAAGGGCGTGGTGCAGAGCGCCTTCTATCCGGGCATCATCGCCGAGCCACTGAAGCAGGCCAATCGCTACCGCTACCTGATATTCTACGACGATGGCTACACGCAGTATGTGCCGCACCGCGATGTCCGGCTCGTTTGCCAGGCCTCCGAGAAGGTGTGGGAGGATGTGCATGCCGGTTCGCGGGACTTCATCCAGAAGTACGTGGAGAAGTACTCGGTGGACCGGCCCATGGTGCAGTGCACCCGCGGCCAGAGCATGAACACCGAGTCGAACGGCACCTGGCTGTACGCCCGCGTCATCGACATCGACTGCAGCCTGGTGCTGATGCAGTTCGAGGGCGACAAGAACCACACGGAGTGGATCTACAGGGGCTCCCTGCGCCTGGGTCCGGTCTTCAAGGAGACCCAGAACACCATGAACAGTGCCAGTTCGCAGCAGATGCGAGTGCCAAGGGTAATATATGGCTATATTTCTCGATATATAACCTCCTCTTATCCACTGTGCTTTTCCAGCGCACGGAGCCCTTCATTCGCTACACCAAGGAAATGGAGTCCAGCAGCCAGGTGAATCAGCAGATGCGTGCCATTGCCCGCAAGAGCAGCTCCTCGGGGCAGAGTGCAGCCACGGCCACGCCCGTGTCCTCGCCAGCTACCCTTTCTGGAGGGCGCTCCACTCTCGGAAGCGCCAGCAGCAGCAGTGCCAGCAACAACGCCAGTGCCGTGCGCCACCTCAACAACTCCACCATCTACGTGGACGACGAGAACAGGCCCAAGGGCCACGTAGTCTACTTCACGGCCAAGCGGAACCTGCCGCCCAAGATGTACAGGAGCCACGAGTGCAACCCCAACTGCCTGTTCAAGATCGTGCACCGCCTGGACAGCTACAGTCCGCTGGCCAAGCCACTGCTCTCCGGCTGGGAGCGGCTTGTCTACCGCCAGAAGACCAAGAAGTGCGTGGTCTACAAGGGGCCTTGTGGCCGGAGCCTGCGCAACCTGGCCGAAGTGCACATCTATCTGCGTGCCACCGAGAATGTGCTGAACGTGGACAACTTTGACTTTACGCCGGACTTGAAGTGCCTGGCTGAGTACTCGATCGATCCCTCGATCGTCAAGGATACGGACATATCCAAGGGGCAGGAGAAGATGGCCATTCCGCTGGTCAACTACTACGACAACACACTGCCACCGCCGTGCACTTACGCCAAGCAGCGCATTCCCACCGAGGGCGTGCACCTGAATCTGGACGACGAGTTCCTCGTGTGCTGCGACTGCGAGGATGATTGCTCGGTAGGTGGCCCATCTATTTATGGCTATGGCTTGTAGTAAAATGTTTTCATTTCAGGACAAGTCGAAGTGCGCCTGCTGGCAACTGACCGTGACCGGTGTAAGGTACTGCAATCCCAAGAAGCCCATCGAGGAGATCGGCTACCAGTACAAGCGGCTGCACGAGCACGTGCCCACCGGCATCTACGAGTGCAACTCGCGCTGCCGGTGCCGCAAGAACTGCCTGAACCGGGTCGTTCAGTTCTCGCTGGAGATGAAGCTGCAGGTGTTCAAGACCTCGAACCGGGGATGGGGCCTGCGCTGCGTGAACGACATCCCCAAGGGCGCCTTCATCTGCATCTACGCCGGCCACCTGCTCACCGAGACGATGGCCAACGAGGGCGGGCAGGATGCGGGCGACGAGTACTTCGCCGACCTGGACTACATCGAGGTGGCCGAGCAGCTGAAGGAGGGCTACGAGTCCGAGGTGGACCACTCGGAGCCGGACCCGGAGGAGGACAACGGGGGGCCCGATGCCGAGGACGACGACGACTTTCGGCCCAACTATCACTACCAGCGGAAGAGCAAGCGCACCTCCAGGAGCAGCTCCACGCAGAGCAGCGAGCTGGACTCACAGGAGCGAGCGGTGATCAACTTCAACCCCAATGCGGATCTGGACGAGACGGTGCGGGAGAACTCGGTGCGCCGGCTGTTTGGCAAGGATGAGGCGCCCTACATTATGGATGCCAAGACCACGGGCAATCTGGGACGCTACTTCAATGTGAGTGTTTGCTTCTCTCCAATGATTAATTAAAGATTAACTACTCTCCGTTGCAGCACTCGTGCAACCCCAATCTCTTCGTGCAGAACGTGTTCGTGGACACCCACGACCTGCGCTTCCCCTGGGTGGCCTTCTTCTCGGCCTCGCACATCCGATCCGGCACTGAGCTGACCTGGAACTACAACTACGAGGTGGGCGTGGTGCCCGGCAAGGTGCTCTATTGCCAGTGCGGCGCCCCCAACTGTCGCATCCGTTTGCTCTAAGTCTAGTTATACAATACGTTTAAGCTCCTTATTAAAAGAAACCCATTTGAATTGCAAGTTTGAATATTAATCGATATCGACTGTTTAAACCGGGTAACAGTCATTAGTTAACAGCGCACAAGAACAGGAGTGTTATTTTGTAATGTGACCATTTTCTAACTACATTTTAGAAATGAAAAAACATAGAATCATGTGAGTAAAAATCAAGAACAGCGCGTATTTACCTTACATTTACATACCTTATTGTATAATTTCCTTAATTCTAGGTCTTACATCGTGTAAAATGTTTTATTTCCAATGTTAATAATATAACTGCATAATATTCTGCTAATGGATATAGTAAGGACTCAAACCCATGAAATCAAGGTTTCATCCAGTGCTGCCAATTCTCGATCAGAAAAAAAGCTGTTTTTGACTGGATTAAAAGCACAAACAAATTTAAAAGCTTTAAAAACAAAACAAGAAACTACAATTTCTTAATGGTAGCTATATTTGTTCCGCGCCAATTTACTTTAAAGATCGCTTAAGCGGGTCGGGTTAGTTGCTGGTTAGATACTCACGAAGAAGGTACTTATCGCGGCAAAGTAAAAATGCGCTGTATCTGAAAGGTTTTAACGTATTTAAAAAACTGTTTTCGACATAAAGTGAAAAATGATTTGCAAAGCAAATGAATCATCGCTCTGATTACACAAGTTAATAAGATGCTGTCATGTATCTTAAGCTTAATATGGTGACTCGTGGATAAATTATAATGTTTTTTTACAGGAGAAATCAGTAAAACCGCAGCAGTAAAACCAAGTTTTAATCCATTTAATGTCGATTCAAGGTAAAAATATAATAAAACAAAAAAGAACGCTACGTAACTCAGCTAACAAATTTAAAACTAAATATTCCTTTACAAAACAAAAACGGAAATTTAAACCATTTGAATTGCAAGTTTGAATATTAATCGTTATCGACTGTTTAAGCCAGTTAACAGTTATAAGTTAACAGCGCGCAAGAACTGGAGTGTTATATTTTGGAGTGACCATTTTGTAACAACCTGTTAGAGTTGAAAAAAACATCGAATCATAAGTGTAAATATCAAAATAGGCGCTGTTTTACATTACATTTAAGTAAATTTTTGTATTATTTTTCTTAATTTTAAGTTATGCTGTGCATGCTATACTTAATAAATATGTGGTAATGTTTAATTTCAAATATTATTGGCATAATAATAAAATGAAATGATTAATTACTATTAGTTCATAATATACTGTTGATACATGTAGCGGGGACTCAAGCCGTTGGTGTCTGGTTTTATCAGCTAAATTTTGTTGCCCGCCAATTGACTTCGAAGATCGTTTTAACGGATCGGTTTAGTTGCTGGTTGGATGTTCACGAAGAAGGTACGCACGCGCTGTGTCTGAAATCTTTCAAAAGGATTTTAAAAAGCGTTTTCAAAACAAACCCGAAAGTTATATTCAAAGCAAATGAATCACCGCTCTCATTATGCAAATCAATAAGATGCTGTCACGTATCTTAAGCTTAAGATGATGACTCGCGGATAAATTAATGAGTTTTATTAGTTACTGTGAATGAATCATGTGTAATGCAGATACGGGGGAAATCAGTGAAACCGCAGTTGCAAATATCAATCCGGGCTCGGCCCACACAACAAAAAACAGCAGCAGTGAAAAAAACAAGTTTTAAAAACATTTAACGGCGATCCAAGGTTAAAAAACTGCAGAAAACGGCGCCCACGGCGCAATCGCAAAAATGTATTAAAAAAGCTGCTTTGTTTTAATGACGTCGAGAACAGCTAATAAATTGATTGAGTTGCATTTGATAAATGATTAATATATGATTAATTTGGAATTTATTTACGCGATCTGTGTGACATCATCGGAGTTTTAAAAAACGATTTTCAAGTGCCTGGTGGGCAGATCACGAACTTAAGATCCATTCCCTAAAAGGCAACGCCTGCGGTGGCCACTTTTCGTTTTCCGTGAAGTGCTTATGTTGTATGTATATTGTAAAACTCACTATCAAACCAAAAATGTTCTTGCTGACCAGGCGTGTTTAGACCAGAGTCGTCGTCGTGTAAGACGATCAGTCAATTGAGCCCAATGTTTACCAAACTGGGATCTGGGTTGGGGATTCAATTGCGTTAAAGCAGTGTCATTTGCATGGAATTAAGGCGTCTAGTGTCTAGTGTTTCCCTTTTCCCGTTTTAGAACTGCTAAATTAGCATTTTTTATTGCCAATTACAATTAAGTAATCCATCGATTAGGCGATATGCGGCGTGTTATGTGGCCTATTCACGAATGCTTGAACCGTGGATTCATATACATTCATTGTGCCGATGGATTCATTCGTTCGTCGATTAGACTCCGCCCATCAGCTTTTGCTGATTCGTTTTCTACTTTTTGTGGTGCTCAAAGGCGTAGATCCAAAAGGGGCCAAAATGATTATACACTCTAAAAGGAACTCAATCATAAATACGTTTATAAACAGGGTAATTTCGAATGTTTTTAAATTGATAACGACATAAGAAGTTTGAATTTATCCTATTTGAGTGCGATCGAGACAGATGAAAGCCCTATATTCGACTTTATTTCACTATACTGTTTCTAAAACCGAACAAACAATTAATTTTGCTTCGTTTTCCAGGCTGTACACTCTGTCCGAGTGTGTTTAATTAAATTATTTGAAATTACTGAATCGTGCGGTGCTCCGGCTCTTCCTCTTCACTCTGGACACCCCTCCCAAATCTTTTGTTGTGTAAATGATGTGGGGCAGTCAATTGTTCATGAAGTGCACAGTGGGTATATAGAGCACACACATTTCTACACGAACGAGGGTATCCACTTTAGTTTTAGTTGGACTATTGCCCATGTGTCTGTAAGCTGTTGGTTTGAATTTTTGAATACGCAGAAAAATCCGTATACATCTAAATTCTGCTGCTGCTGCTGCTGCTGCTGTTGGTTTTTCGCGGATGCTTTGCAAACTCAGTTCACCATGAAGTCAGCCCCCGTCAACATCTATATCCACATCTACAGGCCCATCTCCACTCACATTCATCTTAATTATGACTTTTTTACGATGACAATTTCGGGCTCAGCTTGGTTTAAGTTTAAGTTTTGTCTTGTACATACAAAAACAAACTACAGTTGTGGCCTCAATCACGATCACAGCTTTTTCTTGGCCACTCCTAAGCTTTTTTTAGAATTTCAGTATCTGTGTTTATAAACATAACCGAGCGAACGTACATATGTTTTTCATTAAGTGTAGATGTAGAGATCGCACTAAATTCAGTAAACAAAATATCAAGTTTTATAATTAACAAATTTTATGGACAAGTAAATTTGTTTATTACTTTCTTAGCTCGCCCACTCCACATACATCAATGTTTCACGATCGCAAAAGCGATGAGAAAAATTTCTGCGCGAAATTTAACACATCATCACTTGTTCAGTAAATGTAGCGAAAAAGTACGGCAGCCAATCTTCATGGATCCTGAGAATTTATCTGCAAACTCTTTTATTTATAAAGTTCGTGATGTTGCGAATCACCCTTCCGCCAGAAACATTTCCAGACAATCTCCTTTATTTGCTCCCCGTTCTTGTATCCGTACAGTTGAGGTCAAAATAATAGTAGTGGGAAAATGTAGTGCTCAATAACATACTTCTTACTGAGCCCGAAATTGTCATCGTAAAAAAGTCATAATTAAGATGGATGCGAGTGGAGATGGATCTGACTTTATGGTAAACTGAGTTTGTAATAAGCAAAAAAAAAAATTAGATTTAAAAAAACTTTTGATTTTGTTTTAGTTTTTCAAGCTAAATTTAAATAGTTAATAATTTTTTAGAATTTTAAAAACTAGAATACAATTGTTTATTATGTGACCTTTTTGTATAATTAAAAAACATATTTTTTAGAAATTTTTTATTTTAGATGATAAATGTGTACTATTGAGTTTTCCTTATATACTTTGTAGTATTAGCTTCACGAAAATTTAAACAATTTTTAAAAGTTGCTTTCAACTTTTTTTCTATTGCTATTAAGCTAAGAAATTATTAATATTTTGACCGCAACTGTGCCTGCTTGCTGTTTGGGGCATTGTATGGACTGATTTTGGATTAAGTGACAAGGGGCAAAAAAAAAACGAGAAAGGAAGATATGTTATATATTTATATATGTAAATACTATGCAAATTTAAGTTGGAAACGTCGACCATATCTTTGACTTCAAGAAATTTATGCAAATATCATAAAAATTAATTTAAAAAAAGGGTTCCATTTCCGATTGAGTTTAAAATATTAAATATTTCCTTAACTGCCTATAATTTTAAAAAGTAGCAAGGGTAGACAAATTACACTTCGAATCGTCTTAAGTAAGTAGAGTATTGAGTAAAGTAATTTGACCATCTATAAGAGGCTGGCAGATTTGTATCTTATGTACTATAGTAAAACATTTTGTATATACGATTTTCCTTCTTTGTGATCCCTCTTTGCAGCTGAAAGTTGTTCAAAACTTCCGTTAAGTGCAATTGTTTGTTGGTCTTTTTGCTTTTTCTGTGCAAACCTGATCGGCAGGTTTTCATCTTGCAACACATTCCATAAGCCAGAAGCAGTGAAAAGAATTTGTATTTTCAGTCTGCTCACTCTCAAAATCGTTTTTGCTAATTTCTATTACGCCATTCTGTCAACTGGCTTCTAAGACTTTGGGCCTGAGCTGGGCAAACAATAAAGTTGTTTGTCAATTGGTTTTACAAATAGTGGCATAGTGGCCAAATACACAGTCATAAGCCAAACAGAGAAGCCAAACAGTGGGCCAATTAAGGAGGGTGATTGTGCGATTCTTTTTATCTTATCAGACCAAACTGACACCTGGGGGGGTCATTTACGATGCCCAATTTGTTTGCTTATCCCACCAAAGAACTTTAGCTGAAGAGCCACCTTCAACGGATGAGTTGATGTCTGTTTCCTGATTACCAATTCTTCGGCCGTTGATATATAATCAGCAGTCTCGTATTCAAATTAGCCAGATTTCGAGTGTGATTAGACGATTTCTCACACATTTCAAGTATCAGCAGAATAGAAGAGAGAAGAATCCCACAGAAGAAGCCGCCTTGAAATTTACGCAAGAAGCCGCTTATAAATCTTGCGATTTCAGACCGCCCCCCCCAGGGCTACATCCATAAAGCCCCATCCAGAAGAGTTATCAAAGCGTAAAGCAAAACAAATTGATTGCTAATTGATACTGATGTGTCGATTATTTTATGATTATTCTTTATGATCGTTAGACGTTGATACCCAGACCAAACCAGATTTTATATTTGTGGATCAGTTAGATGGCGGCGGTATTGGGTGGTGAGTAATCAGGCAAGATGTTGTTTTTCAGCTATGATAGGCATAATTTTCGAAAAGATTATTAAAATATTTATTAAAACTAAAAAAAAAAAATACATAGTAAAAGTAAGTAAGTATTCAGTAAGGCTCTCCGTAAATTTCAAACACATGCATAACATTACAAATAAGAACAATAAATTATATATTATAATTTAATGAGGTTAAAAGGAAGCAAAGAAAAACTAACAATTATTTTACTTTACTCGAAAAACAGTTATCCGAAGAGAAATAAAATCTCACAAAAATTCTAGAGGTCTTCTGATTGATAATTTTAAAACAAATAATCTATAACTCACTTAAAAATTTTCGAGTGTTTACCTTTGTTGTTTTGTTTGTGTTTACATTTGGGATTACGTCGATCTCGCCTTCGTTTAAAATGCATCGATTTCGTAAGACATAATTTGAGTGCTGATTTCTTGGGAATGTCTCCTCCTCTTCGGTCCCCTATTTTTCCGTGGAAAATGAGCTTTTGCTGACTTCTCCAAAGGCTCCAAATCCATTTGCTTGCGCTTTCCAGACGAGTGCTTCTGAAACTGTTAGTTAGTTCTGTTAACCAAGCTATAACAAGTTTGACACCCGCTTTACGAGGCCTGTTCACCTTATTGTTTATACAGAATGCGATTCGTTTGCTTACCTTTTTTACTTGCAAGCTACAAGTCCATTACACGGACATTCTTTTACAGCCTGAACTCAACTACTGCCTCCGCCCGCTGTCGACCTTGTATTGTCTTCGCTGAGATTGTTATAATTTAATAACTACATGGGGGGGAAGCAAATTAGGACCGATGTCGGTACCACAGAAACCACTTAAGACGCTTTCTTTAATTGCCCCCAAAACGGAGATTCGGCTGTCGAGAAACCTGTAGGGCAGCTTTCGGCTCTGGCTTAACTCCAGCTTCATGCCCACTCCATGTGAAAACCATCGTAGCATGAAGTGTTGTCAAAAATCATTCCCATTGTCTTAACTTCTCAAGGTTTTGGACTGGTCAAATCAGAAGTTTGAAGAGCCATGCGGGTTCTTGCATAACTGCCAACTGACCTGACCTTAACTCATTCGATGCGTGGGGGTAATTACCAAAGAGCCAGCTTTGTTAAGTGGCCAAATGTTAAGCTTAGGCATAAGCTAGATCCTCGATCAAAAGAGGTTATACAGGCTTATAGGCTAAAATCTAAAAATAAAAGCTGATGAACAATCTAAATAAAACAACATACAACAAACTATAGGTCTCAAATGGAAGTAGCTTTAAATTCAAAATTTGAACATTTAAAACAAAAACGTAGTTGTTATATTATTCAGGACAACTATAGTTGTTGGCTTTCAACAAATTAAATTAAGCATTACAATATATATATATTTATATATATTTAATTATGTAGTATGTATAAAAGGTGAAAATCCATTTGAGAAACGAATATATATATATGTGTACTATATAATATAATATATATAATATTTATATAAATATTAAGACAATAAATTTATATAAATATTTATACAAATCAAATGAAAATATAATTTTAAATTGTGTAAGCACTTTTGATAACCCCTGTATGTTAAAGGTAAGACTTGGTAGAGTTTGAAGGACTATCGTTGTTCTCAATTGAATTTGCTTAATTTTATATAGTGACTATATGGACTTATGCTAGAAATAGTCTAAACTGCCCACACAGAAGCTACTCAACATAGCTAATCCGCCCCGTTGCCCGCTCTTTAATTGCAGAACTCCGAGAAATGAACATTAACAACTGCGGCTTCATCGATCCGCAGGCTCAGCTGAGCGCAGCCTTGGCCAATAAAGACATCGCTCAGTTCCAGATCGCTTTGCACAATGGTGCTGATCCCGATAGGCTGGACGAGCGCCACACAAGCATCTACGAGAAGGCACTATCCACACCGGGCTGTCGGGATTTCATAGAGGCCTGCATCCAGCACGGCAGTAAGGTCACCTATGTATGTACATGTGACAAAAGTGCACCTTAGCATCCTGATTTCGATGCCCAGCTAACCATCTTTCGCATCTCTACAGATCAACAAGAAACTAAACAAGGCCGCCATCAACTATGCTGCCGATTCAAGGGATCCCGGCAATCTGGAGGCACTGCTGGAACACCGGCCGGAAAAAGAGTTTCAGATGGATAGAAAGTACGGCCAGCTCACGCCACTCAACTCGCTGGCCAAGAATCTCACGCAGGAGAATGCATCGGCGGTGCTAGCCTGCATGAGGCTGCTTCTAAGCAGCGGAGCCTCGCCAAATATAGTCGATCAAGGCGATTTCACGCCGCTGCACCATGTGCTGAGGAACAGAAAGGTGACAGAGGCCCAGAAGCAGGAGCTGGTGAAGCTCTTTGTGGCCCAGCCAGACCTGGACATTGATAGCTTTCGTGATGGCGAAGTGCGTCGACTGCTGCAGGCCCAGTTCCCGGAAGTGCAACTGAAGCAAGAGCGACAGACTGATGCTGTGATCGATGCACAAACGCTTCACAGGACTCTGCGGGATGGAGACGACAGCAGGTTTGAGCAGCAGCTGGCCATGTTTGTGCAGGGTGTGGAGGACAACCAAGAGAATGCCCGCAAGGAGGAGTGCTACAGCCTGCTGCAGGAGAGCATCAAGCGAGGCAATCAAAATGCATTCGAAGCCATCCTCGCCACTGGCATGGACATCAGCAAGGAGCCCGTCAAGACCAACGAGGCCAGTCTCGTCGAGTTGGCCGTCATCTGGGGCAACTGGCAGGCCCTAAAACGACTGCTCGACGATCCAAACCTGCGGCTGAGCCCCACCGCCAGGCTATTTAATGCGGTCATTGGTCGTTTGGACGAAGCTCCGTATGATAACTTCGACCATTCGCGCTGTTTCGAGATCCTCCTGAACAGTGATCGCGTGGACGTCAACGAGGCGGATACGGGACGTCAGGTGCCACTGTTCTACGCGGTTAAATACCGCAACACGCCAGCCATACAGAAACTGCTTAAGCATGGCGCCTACATGGGCGCCAAAAGCGCCTTTGGCACATTGCCCATCCAGGACATACCGCCGGAGGTGCTCGAGGAGCACTTGGACTCCTGCATTACGACAAACGGGGAGAAGTCCGGTGAGCGGAATTTCGAGATCAACTTTGACTTTAAGAATCTGATGCGGCAGGAGAAAGATTTGGAAGTCACCAGTCAATTCCACGACGAAATGGCCCCCATTGCCTTCATGGCCGAATCAAAGGAACTGCGACACCTGCTGCAGCATCCGCTGATCTCGAGCTTCCTCTTCCTCAAGTGGCACCGACTCTCCGTGATCTTCTACCTCAACTTCCTGTTCTACTCGGTGTTCGCCGCCGCCATCATCACTCTAACGCTCCTCAAGTTTCACGAAAGTGATCAGCGTCTTCTCACCACCCTGTTCGGAGTTCTCTCCTGGCTGGGAATTGCCTACCTCATTGTGCGGGAGGTCATTCAGGGGCTAATGTCGGGGGCTCGGTACTTCTGCTCCATAATTAACATAATGGAGCTCGTGCTGATAGTACTATGCATATGCACCTGCGTTGCAGACGATTTCGACAAGGAGACACAACGCATTTTGGCCGTCTCAACCATCCTGCTGGTCGCCATGGAGTTCTGCCTGCTGGTGGGCTCCCTGCCAGTGCTGGCCATTTCGACGCACATGCTCATGCTGCGGGAGGTGGCCGGCAGCTTTGTGAAGAGCTTTGCCCTCTACTCGATATTCGTGCTGACCTTCAGTCTGTGCTTCTACATACTCTTCAGCCAGCCGGTGGTTGAGGCTGGTGCCAAGCCCAGTGAGGAACCTGCGCAGGACGAAGAGGAGGACGGTGGCGACTTCAACAAGTTCACCAAGCCAATCGAGACGCTGATCAAGACCATTGTGATGCTGACGGGCGAGTTTGATGCCGGATCCATAAAGTTTACCAGCATCTACACCTACCTGTTCTTCCTGCTGTTCGTGTTCTTCATGACCATTGTGCTGTTCAACCTGCTGAACGGTCTAGCCGTGAGCGATACTCAGGTGGGTTTATCTTTCCAACATCATCCGTCATCCTCGGCTTATTCCAAGTATCCATACCTCGTATTCTCGTAGGCTATCAGGGCGCAGGCGGAGTTGAACGGGGCCATTTGCCGGACCAATGTGCTGAGTCGATATGAAATGGTATTGACTGGCCACGGATATGCTCCCTGCCTGATGAGCAACCCTCTGCGGAAAGTGTCCCAGCGCTTGATGAACATCTACCCCAACTATTTGAGTCTGCGACAGATCGCCGTGCTGCCAAACGATGGCAACAAGGTGCTCATACCCATGAGCGATCCCTTCGAGATGAAGACCCTGAACAGCGATGAGCAGAAGGCCAGCTTTCAGCCACTGCCCACCAGGAGTGCGACAGCAGAGCACCAGAAGAAGCTGCTGGACCCGCCGCTGAGGGACCTGCCCTGTTGCTGCTGCTGCATATCCAGCGGAAAGTGCTCCCAGATGGACGGCCGGACGGTCAAGATGGCCTTGGCGGTGATGGACCAGAAGAACGTTGCGGAGCAGAGGCGAAAGCAGGAGCAGGTCATCGACAAACGGAAGAAGGACATCGACGACAAGTTGGAGCTGATCCTACGGCTGCTGCAGGACCGTAGGTGATGGAGTGTAGTGTAAGGGACATTGAACCATCAGTTCTGTTCTACGAAAGAAAAAAAGTGTGTTTATGTTAGCTACGAAAATAAAACCCCTGCATTAGGCTAATCCACTAAATCCGAGATTGATTCGCATTTCACTTGCTGTTTAATGAGCCGAGTTAGTCGGAAATTGTTTTTATTAACATACGAATAATGAAATTGAACAAAACCCTTAATAATTGTCAGTAAGTAAGTAGTATATAATGGTTATATAGACAGTAAATATTGTATAAACGAATATCTTTACTGTACCATTTGTACCCGAGTAAATATTTAATTTCAAATGTTAGATTTACGCTTTTTAGAGTTTTCACTTGCTTGGTTTTCATTTGCGTTTTCCTTTTCTTTATCGTTTTTGTTTTCGTTTTGTTTTTGTTTTGATTTGATATGATTCGGTTCAAAATGTGTGTTAGTCACATATTATGGTTAATGGTTTCTTATTTTATTTATTTCTGCATCGCCCCTGTTGTCTATTATAAATCGTTTATTTAAGTCAGAGATGAACTGAGCGTAGCGGACCAAATCGAATTTCACGGACCTAAAGGGCTAACGAGGCAATCAACGGCAATGGAAATCCGAGAGGAAATTGATGCAAACTAAGCGCGTTCGTTCATAATTTGTTAACAATTTTCAGCCTAATTATTGTTCCAAATGACTTCCGACAGCGGCAACGGACCACAACTCTGATTTGATCTATTGGAGCGTGGTGTGAGGAGCTAACTGAGCGCAGGCAATGATAAGCAAAGCTAGATTACGAATTACTATTTAACTTTAGTTTAGTTACTGCTGTTATTGTTGCAGGACTAGGACTAGGACTAGGACCTTAAAAGTGGCAAATAAAAATAATTGACTTAGTTTTCAGAGCGTGTTGAACGATGTCCTACGACTTCTGATTCGTTTTAGCTTCTTAGCTCCTGATTTAAATGGTATTATTCGTCTTCTATTACTGCTGCTGCTGGTAGCCTGACCTTTGATGAAACGTTTAACTCCTATCGTTCGTATATACTTTAATCTCAACAATAAATATGTATATTTAAATAAAATCGTGTATTCTGTAAGGCATGCCTAATCAAACCAGCCGCGTTGTTGCTAACTATATAGGTATATATTTTTGTGTACTTTATGTGTTCCAGCATCATCCTAATGTCCTGCTTTTGCGGTGCCGTAAGCTTTAAATGCATAGGACTCGGTTCTGTCTCCTCTGTTTCCGTTTCCGTCCGTTTCCGTTTTCGATTGGTTCGATTTTTGCTATTGGCTTAACTTGACTGGGAGCATAGCTTGATCTACTGCGATTACGAGTACGATACGATTCGATAATATCTAAGAGCTACGTTTTGTCGTTATTATCCCCATTTGTGTGTGACTGTGGCCTGCCTGTTGTTAATTTGAGTTTTAGCTTTAGTTTTTGGTTTGTTAACGATGACGCCTCGAATTCGTGTCTATTTAATTGAATATGCCTCATTCATTTTATTGTCGTTATACTCTATGACTAAATTAAACATTCCACATCATTGCATCGCTCCGATTGGTCTCGTCTCGCTCTCTAATCGTAATATCTTTTTAATCGGTTTGTTTTTTTTTTTTTTGTAATTTTCTTTTTTTTTTGAAGATAACTAAAAGTAAAACTTTCCTTTTTTTTGTAATTTTTTGCTTGTTTTTTCTTTTGTTTTTGTGGTTGGATGAGGTTCTATTGCTATTTCGTTATCATTATCATAATCGTTTTTCGTTTATGTACAATCGAATACGAGTACGTACCATTATTAAATATCACTTAATTGACGAGTGTTTGGTTTCTGTCTGTTGTTGGATTTGTTTCCTTTGTTAACAATTCTAATTAAAAATTATGACCTTAGTTGTTTTATTTTATGTGTAAAAATTGCAGTTAAAATCACAATTAAGTTGTTGTGTGTACGTTCATTTGGTTGTTTGTTCCTGGAGAAAACGATTTAGTTGGTACCATAGAATTTCAATTTACTATCAATCGCTGTCTGATTGTCTGTTGTTAAGTTATGAAAGTAGAGTAAGAGTAGCGTAGACTCGACTTTTCGTCGATTAAAGTGTGCACAAGTAATTCGGTATTCAGTATTCAGTATTCGGTAATCGGTATTTGTTTATATTCTCAACTTATGTCCTGGTTCGATGTTTAAACTTAATGCGATCACAATGGAGACTTAAGAGAGAGAACAACACTTAAAAAGTAACAAAGTAACAAGGCGAGTTTCTTGGAAACTTGGCCCAACCTAACCATTATTAAAATCGTACAAAGAAGTCGAGTGTAAATTGTAAATCATTGTGCTAAAATAGAGTTATTGTGGAAGCTTGTAGGTTGTTCTTTTCATTGAAGACCACAATGGTTGCATCTTGCTTTGCTTTGATTTGATTTAATTTGATTGTTTCGGCCACACTTAATCGGAAATAAACTAAAACTAAGCGCGTCACAATTATAAAAGTTCATCTCGCTGGTACTTAGGTAGGTCTGCTGATTGATTTCGGGTTTACTTGGATTGATTAGTTAACGATTTCAATTGCGATTTCGAGAAGAGTGCAGTGTAGTGGTAGTGGCTAGATCCCGACTGGGATTAGGTTTGATTTAAATACGTGAGTGTGTATTGAGTACATCACTTGACATGGTTTTTTGGCTTAGTTCCTACAGATGGATGAGAAAACGAAATGGGATGGGCCATAAGATATGTACAATACCATGTAATAATCATAATAATAATAATAATCAATTCTACTAATACTTCGCTTTTGTACTTCGAACAATCGGTAATGGATAATATTCGCTATCGTAATTGTATTGGTAATCGGCAATTTGATGCGCCTTCGTAACGAAAAACCTTTATAAATATTTCAATAAATTGTCTCTAACTAATGTCGTATGTCGGTAACTATAATATTATATTAGCTCTTTAGTTTAAAATACTTCCTTTGGCATATGTACAAAATGTATTTAGATACTATTCACATATACCGTCGTATATGCAGGTCGATAATTGAGAAAACAAACACTACAGTTATGAGCCTAGATCTAACCGCGATAGTTAGTTACACATGTAATGTATGCATGTAATGCCAATCTCTATGTATTGTATAGTTCAAAAACAACCTTCGAAAATGTTCAAAAAAGTCGGCCCACGTAGAAGGTAGAATATTATATTATATCATATTCAATTCTTTTCTCAGTGGGTCAACCCATTCGACTACAACTAAATCGGGCAGTAAACTACCGACAAATCTCCTCTTACTCAATTCTGATTGTGACAATAACCATATAATGTAGGCGATTCCGATTCCGATTTCGTTTCCGTTTTCGATTTCGATACCGACTCCTACGGATTTTTGATTTGATTCGAGTACTACAACGGTTTAATGCACGTTCTTGTTAACATAGTTAATATTGATTTCCTCCTTAGATTGATATTGTATGTTGTATGTATAAATTTGGATAGCTCTCCGTATTTGTATCTGTATATGTGTATATATCGTATGTATATCGTATAAAGCGACTAGTATATAATTATATAGGTAATCGACTATGATAACAAAGAGGCGAGCCCCGCCCCATCTGACTAAGCCTATTCCTAAGCCTAAGAAACTACGAGTTCTGAGACAAATGCACACAGGAATCGGCATCGAATACGCACTCAGACTGGAGGTTGTCAACTTGGACGTCGCACTGCGGGACCTGTCGCTGTCGCTGCCGATGCCATCGACGACGAGGACGAGGAGCTGCTCCTGGCACTGGCACTGGCACTGGCACCGGCACTGCTACTGCTGCTGCTACTCTGGCTGCTGCTGCTGTTCGAATCCCGCTGCGGATCGTTGACCGGAGGTCATCTCTGTCTGTCTGGTAGAGCCTGCTCGTCCGGCACTTCTTCCTTCTGCTCCTCCTCCTCTACCAAATGGTCACCAGTGGACTTGTCTGGATTGTAGTCGTAGAACACCTGCGATGTGTCGCCCTGCACATTCACATCGATGGGCAGATCAACATCCTCGATGGCCCCCGCAAGGCTGAAGTCACCGCGCGGCGGATCCTTGGGGCTGTCCACCATGATCTGCACCGTGGGCATAGTGCATGAGTCCATGGAGCTCTCCACCGAGCCGGTACTAATGCGTATCTGCGGTGGCGCCTGCTTGCTCAGCCTGTCGAAGCCACTTCCATTGCCATTTCCGCCAGGAGGCGAGGATGGTCTGCTGCCCTCATCCTCCTCCTTGTACTCCTCGCTCTCGCGATGCACCAGGACATGGACCAACGTGGCATTGTCCGGTCGCAGGCTAAGCGAATGGGGATGCATCTGTTGGTCCGGCGATGGCCTGGTCACGATCACCTCGGGAGCTGGCGCCTCGGCTGGAAGACGGCAAAAGAGTGGGACTTTAGTGGGCTGCTCAGTGGGATGATGGCAGGTACAAATCACACATACAGACAAAAGCGTTCTTGTTTACTCTTAAAGCGCTTTGTGCTGACAAACCTCTTTCTAGGGGCGGTTTCTTGCGAATGAAACTAGAGGCGCGCTTACGTGAGGGAGGCGGTCCCACCCCCACCGCCTGGTGTCGTTCGGATCCGCCGTCGGAGGCGGAGGAGCAGGTGGCTGCCGGGTTACAGCCACTGGCGGAGGCTGTGGCGGTGGAGGAGGCCGTGCCAGAGGCGGAGGTTGAGGTGGTGTTGGTCGTGTTGTTCATAGCAGCTGTTGTGGGTGAAAGGCACGCATTAGTGTCGGGCAATTGTGTCAGCACAACGCACAAGTACGAAGGTTGTGTGGACAGATAGGTAGGTCAGATCAGAATAGACAGATAGTTAGATATTTAGGCATTTGATGATGAGTCAAGAACATAAGCTTACAACTAGGAATGCAAGATTGGTTTCGAATGGAATGCGAATGCATCTCAATGGAGTTAAAGCCACAAACATGTGAGATTGATACTGATACTGATGCTGACTGAGATTCAGACAGTGGTGCAGTGGTGGTTGAAGTGCTGGCTATGTACACAGATAGTATTTACAAATTGCGCAATTGAGTCGTGAATGGTAGATAGGTGTGGGTAACTGGATAACTGGATAACTGGGTAACTGGATAACTAGGTCGAGTGGATAGTGAGTAGAGGCACTTGTCAATAATTACTTTTTCTATGTACTGAAGGTGAGGTTAAGCTGTCATCGACAGCATCCTGATGACGCAAAAAGAAATTATAAAAGCTTCGGCGACGACTTGCTCTAGGCGCTTCCACAAATATGCTACCGCTAATAATAGTAATAGTTTAGTAGTTGGAATAACAGTCATAATAACAATCATAAGCATAAATTTCATTTATCTGAATTTGGATGTAAAATGTTCGGGTTTGGGTTCGGTTTCGGGTTTGGGTTTGGGTTTGGGTTCAGAAAGGTCGGTTCACATTAAAAAGGTCGAGGCGAAGATTGTTTCGTTTCAACGATAGCTGCAATTTTTTGACGAAATAACAAAGGAAAGAAAGTAAAGCTTTCGACACTAAAGAAGCTGTACATTATTATCATGAAAGGCGGATGAAAATCGAATTCATATGAGATTTAGTCTTACAGTTCCAATTACCTGGTGAACATATTCAGTAAGCTACGATTAAACTAAATGAGAGTACTTATTGATAGCCAAACTATATTAACGATCTAGATAAGGGCAAGCAACCAATCAAAATGAACTATAATTGCGCATTCTCGTGTCCATCGCAAATTAGTTTCGGCGAGTCGGGTGAAGTCGAAGTGGGTTGATCTACGGATTGGTTTTCAAAAGGATTCCGGTTAGGCCGCTACTTACAAATAATCTTATTATAGGCATTTACTCGAATGTTTGAAAACTGCAGTTAACTGTGTTAGCTTGTTCTGATAGTTGTTGAATAATAATTGAATTGGAAAGTTGTTGCTGTAGAGAGAGCTTCTGGCGGCATATGAGTTTTTGACAGACTTTGCTTGCGTTCGCTTAAATGAGCTGAGTTGGATTGAGAGTCGAGTTTGGATGGAAATACTAGATAGGATACGTATAAGTAGTCGACTGGATAGTTGATTCAAAAGATACATATACTTAAGCTAGCTGAATTTACAACGAGTATGGGTGATAACTAAAAACGGAGATTGTAAGATTGCTTGTTTCATTTGTTGTTGATACTGATTTTGATATTGATATTGATATTGGTTTCTGATTGTTGTCTGTTGTAAGATTTAAGTTTGTACGTAGTAAATAGTAGGTTATAGTTTGCCAGCTAAGCTAAGCTAAGCAGATTGCCTTTACCTAGGTAATTCAAGCCACTGGGCTGCGAGCCACTTCTGAGAACGGCAGTGACCATATCTGCCAGCAGGGACTCATAGTTTAGGGAGATACAAGAGGATTTGCTAGAAATAGGGCTTAAGTTCATATACACTGTGGACACACAAAACGTTAATTTATCGACGGTTATGTTCTTTTCTTGTTGCATGTTATGGTGGCATGAGAGCATGGGAAGCCTTTTGTTTTCGTCTAAAAATTGCATTTCAAATTCATCGCAGCCATGAAACACAAACATACATGGAATGTCTACGTGTCAGTGTGTGTGTGTTTGTTTGTTGTGTATATGTCAATGTAGTGTGTCGATGTGGGTGGGTTGATGCAGTTGGAGCCAAGATAAATACCGTTTGCCCATCTCGTCGCTCTGCTGCTTGATGTCCTTGACCACGTCATCGGCCCCCGAGACGAGCATCAGGGGCAGATTCAGCCAGGGTCCTGCCAGTTCGCTGAGATCGGAGGCGTCTGAGGCACGCGAGGATTTCCGGGACGAGGCCCGACTGGAGCAGGCGGTGCCACGTCGACTCACCTGCGAAGTATCAGAACAAGTTAAGCGATTTAAATTTATGCAAATATTTCAAGAATGTGGTGTGTTTATAACTGTTCACAAGCATTAGTATATTTATGTATACAAGTTTTAAGCGTATTTATCATAACTTCAGAACGACTGCACCGAATTCTGAAATTTTGAACACTATTACCTACGAGATTACTCTTTAAATGTCTCAAGCTTACCCAAATCTTGCCCTTAAGCTGGTGAAACCCCCGGATGCACTCACCTGAAGGTGGAAGAAGTTCAAGGCTGAGAGCTTCGATTGCCATCCGCCTGGGCTGGAGGTTTGGGTGGCACTGTCGCCGGAGTTGGAGCGCTCCTTCTCCCGCTTGCGCCTGTGAAAATACAACGCCACATGGTGGTTAGCAAGTCATGGGAATCAGGTGAGGGGGTCGATTGAGATTGAGATTGAGAATGCTAGGGTGAGGTTATTGGCTGGTGTTTGGTAATTGTAGTACCGCAAATACTCCTTCCAGCCAGTCTGAATGGTCTTGGCCGCCTTTTCCTGGCGCTTCCAGATCCGCGTCGACGAAACAATTTCCAATTCTTTGCGCGTTGGAAACTGTTTCTTGAACTTGACATCCATTTGTTCCTGCAACTGTTTGAAGTTATCGGTCTCCTCGACATGACCTAGCACGTGCTTCACGAGCGCGTGCAAAATGTCGAGGCAGTGTATTTTATTGCCCTTAGAGATGGGCAGATTAAATGACACTAAAGCGACATTATTGGGCTTCGAGATGCCCAATGGTGGATCGAGAGAGGCAATAAAATCGGACAGTTGCGAGAAGTGTATAAATTGGGTGGCATGTGGATCATATCTGCAAGTAAATCAGTTCGAACAGTCATCAGTTAGTTGTCTTTGAATAGTTAGACGGCTAATCCTTATTGCCAGCGAGACAGTGAGACAGTGAGACAGTGAGTACACCTACTTGGACCAGCGAATGTAAAACATTTCCAGATCATCCTCGACAATGCCGATCTCCTCCTCCTGATGGGCCTGGTTAAAGTTCTCCAGGATGATGGCAATGTACATATTGATCACAATCATGTAGCTGATGATGATGAAGCTCGTAAAGTAGGTGATGGCCAGCAGCGGATGGCCGCAGTTGCCGTTCGTTTGTCCGTGGATGAAGGGGTCACAGTCCGGCGGCTGGATCATCAGCGACTCGAGCACATCGTTCCATCCGGCCGAAGTCATCAGCCGGAACAGCAACTGCATGCTCCGTCCGAAGGTCTGGAAATTTACCATGTCGTCGAGGGCGCCCTGGAGCTTTACATGCCCGAACAGCGACATGCCCAGGATGGCATAAATGAACGTGATCAATCCCAGCAAGGCTCCAATGTTGAAGAGGGCGGGCAGCGACACCACCAGGGCGAACAACAGCTTCCTGATGCCCTTGGCGGCCTTAATCAGCCGCAGGATGCGCCCAATCCGGAAGACACGGACCACGCGCAGCAGCGTCGGACTGATGGGCAGGTCGATCATGATGTCCTCCATGAGAATGCCGAAGATGGAGGCCAGCACCAGCAGGAAGTCGAACACGTTCCACGGCACCGTGAAGTAGTGGTAACGCAGGCCCACGATCTTCACAATGGCTTCTGCGGGCGGCGAATGAAATGTCAATCAATCGATGGGAACTTATAGAGAGTCTAAATCTAACCACTTACCCAGTCCAAACACGGTGGTAAAGAAAGCGTTGCTCACTTCCAAGATGAAGAACACCGCATGCGGCTGATCGTAGTGCTCAATGCCCATGGTAAGCATGTTGAGAAATATCAGTACAAAGATCGCAATCTCGAACCTGCACATCACGAAAGTTGATTTCAATTAATACATGACACTCGACATGACCGACAAACTTCGGGCTGGCCGAAAATGCAGTGCTCCTCAGGGATTTGGAAAAAAAAAGGGGATTATGTACAGGCATTGCGAGGAGCACCATTGCATAGAATTATAGAAAGTAGACTAGAGCTAGGGCTAACTATACACATGCTGGTTGTACACACAAGGGGTGAAATCCCAAATGGGCGGCTGGAGAAGCCAAAGGACTGCTACTCATCCCACAGATTGAACATGCCCAGAGTGCTTTAGGTCAGATATTTTGAAAAGTATCTAATTCATATCAGTCGTCATTAGTAGTACTAGTATTAAAAGGTGCTCTACAGAACTTTAAGAAGTATGCATTTGAATAGAGGATACAGAATACAGAGTACAGAATATAGAATACAGAATACAGAGTACAGAACACAGAAGATATAGGCATTTTTGACGGTGTTTGCTTGGGACAAGCACCGGAGATCTGATCAAAAATGCCGGGAATTACAAGTGTTCAAATGAATTTTATCACCAAATCAGAAACATTCTATAGATGTGTTGTGGGCCTAACCGACAAAACTACGCGTTAGCATACGAGTTAGTTAGTTAGTACAAGAGTTAGTTAGTTAGATTCAGAGATTCAGAGAAGACAGGGCAGAGAGCAGGACTAATAGTAAGTACAAACTATAATTAGATATACGTAATTTGCTGGTCTTAGATTGAGATTGGTTGGTTCATGGGTTGATTGACGGGTTTGTTTACCTTCTCGAATTGGATAAATCATAAAACATAGCTAAAAAATGATTTATAGGTCGCTTAATAACTTTCTGTGGTTTCTTTCGTCCCAATTTTTTCATAGCCGTGTAATAGTGTTTTTGAGATTCGGTGAGAAACATTTCCAACACTCCTCCTTCATACTATAAAAGTGATGAGAATAGAATGAACATTTAATTATATATGTACAATCCACGGTTATGTAACACACTAAGCGATATGCTAAACATATATATATATATATATATTATATGAACACAACTGGTCACAGCACAGCAACACAATAACTTTGAAGGATTAAAAATAGACAACAAAACGCCGACAATTCAGCGTTCAAATAAAATGAAATAGCTGGATGGATCGATCGAATGCATAGGTGATTCACATGTGTGGATGCACAGAAGCATAGGCCAACGGACTTACCTTCTTCTTGAGCATGTTGAAGTTATCAATAATAACTCCAATGAACAGATTGAGTGTGAAGAACGATCCGCACACAATAAATATAACAAAATAAATATAAGCATATAGGTTGGCCTCCCGCTGCGGTTGCAGGTCCACTCCGCGGGCATCCACCGCGTCGGCCATCACCTCCATCCAGCCCTCGAAGGTGGCCACTTGCAGCAGGGCCAGATAGCCCATGCCCACGTGGTCGAAGGTGATCTTCGAGTTGATCCACGTGTAGTTCTGCTCGATGCAGTCCCACTTGTCGTTCACCTCCTGAAATTCAACATAAATTAGCACGATTTCAATGATGGGAGATTGGAAAGCTACATCGCAGACATCTACTCACAGTTATCGGCAGCAATTCGCCCATCTCATTGACGCACTTGAAAAATTTACCACCAAAGAACTGAACACCCATTATTGAGAAGATCAACCAAAAAACTAAACAAACCAAAAGCACATTGAAAATTGATGGTATTGCATACATGAGAGCGTTTACTACAATCCGCATTCCTTGCCACCTGGAATAGAAATGGACGATGAAAGATGCTAGTCATTACGGGATGGACGCAGGTGGTGCTAAGTGGTCTTGGTCAGATGGATACGTATACAGATGAACGGATGAGTCATTGGCTAACTTAGTATCTATCTATACATATGTACATATCTACATTATACAAAGTTAACAGAGGAAGAGGAGACTCCAGCTACAGACTAAACAGATTCAAGGACGAGGACGAGGACGGAGGCGAGGACGATGCAATGCGTGTTCTACTACGAGTACGTATTTCTATTCGAAATCCATAAAGAAGACGAGATTGTATTAAACACTGCACACGGCTCTTGGATCGCATCCTCCCCCGGAAAAGAGAGATCAGTAGTAGTAGTAGTGATAGAAAAAGAGGCGGAAGATCCTACGCAGAAAGCTTTCTTCACCAGATGCACGGATGTCTGAATAGGTTGTGGTGCAGCCTATCGAGGGAACCAGCGACTGTCAACTTACCGAGAGATGGCTCTCAGCGGTCGTAGGGCTCGCAAAGTGCGCAGCGAACGCAGTACCTTCAGGTTTTCATTCTCCTCAATGAGCAGCGAGAAAACCGACACCTGTAAATGAAAAACAACTTGGTTATTGAAGCTACCTTGCCAGATCCAATCCAAAATCAACTACTTACAAACACTATTATAAAGTCGAGTATAGTCCAGAAGCTGGTAAAGTATTTGGAGAAGCCCAACGCCAGCCACTTGAGTATCATCTCCACCACGAATATCAGACAGAAGGAGAAGTTGATCCAGTAGAGCACACGCTTCAGCGTCTTGTTCTTGTCCAAGTTGATGTCCTCGAAGCAGAGCGTGATACTCGACGCAAAGATCAGCACCAGCACAAACCACTCAAAGGCCGGAGTATCGACAACCGTCAAGACAGCCGTCCTCACGCGCGTCCAGTGCTTCGCGCTCTGCGTGTCCATGCAGCTCATAAACCAGGGGCAGCGAAAATAGAAGCTGAAATGGAGTTTTTAAATTAGATTAGTAAAATTCCGAAGTAGGGCAGACTCTTTCAAAGCCATTATTTTTTCATTAAGTGTATAATTTAAATATAATTTTTCATTAAAAATACCATGTCGATCTATAATATTTTAAAAACTGAAGACAAAAAATAAACAAATTTTACATCAGAGGTAATTTTGCACCCTATGTGAAAATTCGTCACTAACCAAAACATTCAGATAAATAAGGTAAGCTTATTTATCTATATATCTGATTATGTTTATCAGAATTTTATATTATTTGGCGGTTTAAGGTAACCATTTTTTGAACCATTGGTTTCTTGATATCTTGGCAGTTTGTTGATCGTTGGCAAAAATGTAAATTAAAAATGTAACGACTATGGTCCATTCACGGTGTGACGAAATTGCTTAAAATAATGAGAAGATTAAAATCTGTGGTAAAGAATAGTTCTAAAGTGTATTTCGCTTAAAAATAAATAATGATTAACGATTAACATGCATTTAATATATTATTTCCATTATTATGGCCTTCTTTGCTACCAAAATCTTATAGTAGTGTTCTACTGTTGTAATGGATTCTTTGATAAGGGCAGGTGGTGAATCTGCCTTACTCTTCCTAAGTGGGTATTTGATATACTTACTGATCGTAGCACTTCTGGGGAAAACAGTCGTCGGGCACCTTGGGCGGCTTGGTGGCCCCATAGCTCGGAAAAGTCATGGGATCATTGTAAGCTCCCTGCGAGTTACGTCTCCCACCGACAGTGAGATCGTCTACGTAGGAAACCAAACAATGCCATGGTTTTTCGGTCAGTCGCGTGAACGCCGACGTCGGCTTTTGGCTGGCCGACTCTGGCGGTTGGTTGGCCGACTGTGACTGCGACAGCTCAGTCTTTTGGGCCGCAGAGCTCGTGTCGGCCGCTCCCGAGCTGTGCGACTCGGTGCGAGCGGACTGGAAGGATGCGGCTTTGTCTAGCGTCGATTGTGGATGCTCCGGACGTCGCCTCGAGTGGGCATGGCCATGGGCTTGGGCATGGGCATGGGCATGGGTGTGGGCATTGGCTTGGGCATTGTGGCCCTGTCCCTGACCCTGACTCTGAGTGGGTGCTGCTTGGATGCTCGTGGCATGAAAGTGCTGCTGGTGCTCGGTGAGAGCAGCCAGCGGCGGGGTGGTCTTTAGCGATGAAATTTGCGCCAGTGTCGGTGGCTCGATGCTCGATTTCAAGGAGGTGGGCGGCGTGGCGGGCGATAGCTTTTGCTTTTGGATGAGCAGATTTTCGTACGAATTGGTGCTCTTCAGCGAGAGGCTGTCCAATCGCAACTGGTCGTGTCCGTGGAGAAACTTGCGCGGCATCTTCTCCGACTCGATGCGCAGCGTGGAGATGGGCTTCTCCTCCTCGGGCAGCTCCTCCACACGCTCGATCAGGGAGAGCCGCTTGAAGCGATCAAACTGCACCGTGAACGGATCGATCTTGCGCCGCAGAAAGGGCGATTGACTGCTGGGCTGGGTGGCTGCCACTGCCATGGCTTCCATGGCCACGAAAGGGGCGTGAATTTGATCACAGATTTTGCGTATCTCATTGGAGATGCTGAAGTCCTCGTCGATCTTGCGCTGCTTCTCCAGACTGCGCCGCTTCAATTTCACCGACTGCCGCTGAGCGGCAGCGCTGACGGACTGCGAACGCCGTGGCACGCTGGACAGGTCATAACTGTCGTAGGGATTAAGCGGATGCACCACCTCATCGGCGGCCGAACGCTCCGAGGCGCCCGTAATGATGGCAATGTGCTCCATTATGGCCTTGGTGGCCTCATCGGCCGCCGGCGAGGGCTCCGATAGATTGGAAAGCTTGCGCTCCAGGGATGTAGTACTGCGCTTGATCTCCTCCAGCTCCTTCTCGAAGCTCTGGATGATGTTGTCGAACTCGGAGTGCTCTATCAGCGCCTCGCTCTCTGGCTGCTGTCCAAACTGACTGGAGGGACGTCGCGATCTCATGGCATTCGAGATGCAGCTCAGGTTCGACCTGGGTTCGTCCTGGTCCTCCTGCAGAAACTGAAAGAGATCCTTTTGGTCGCAGTTGAGCAGTTCCTCGCGCAGATTGCCCTGCTGCGACAGCAGTTCGTCCTGCTCGATCGATATGGAGTTGAGCGAATGGCCGCTCGAATGGCGCCGCATCTCCGCCTCCTCCGACTTGAGCAGCGATCGCTGCGACTGTCCGCTGGATTGGGACAGGCGGTCCAGCGACTTGCGGTAGCTGGGCGAACGCGTCAGCAGGGACTTCTGGTACTTGAGATAGGCCTCGTCGTGCTGCAAGGAGTTGTCGGGCAGCGAGTCGCCGCGGTTAAAGGAGCCACAGCCGCTGCGCTGGTCGTTGGCATACGGATCCGTGTCCGTGGAGTTGTACTGGCCCAGCATGCGCAGCTCAATGGACTCCGTGCAGGTGGCCTCTTCCCGGGAATCATTCAGCTGGGTGCTCACTCCAGAGGAGATTTGGTGCTGCAGTCGGCGCTCTGAATGGCTAAAAGGCGTTAGATTTTGTCCATTGCCATTGCCATTCCCGTTTCCATTCCCATTCCCATTGAGAGGGGGAAAGGCTGCCATCATGGCGCTTTCGTAGGTGGGTGGCAGCGAGTCTGAGGTGGGTGGCAGTGGATGTGCCTGCAGCTGGATCTGCTCGGGCAAGTCTCCTGTTTCATCATACTCCAGGCCATCCACAATAGTGTGCAGGCCGTCGTGCAGCGGAATTTGGAAGCCAAAATCAGAGCCCGAAACTGGCCGGTTCATAGACTCCTTAGAGGCAAATAGATTTTGAGGTTAGTTGCTAGGAAGAAAGGTATTTAACTTTAGCTCACCTGATAGCTCAGTCTGTGTATCTTGGTCTCGGCCAGCACACCCGCCTTTTCGCCCCTCTCCACACCCACCGCAGCCTGTTGGGAATGAGCCTGAGCATGCGCCTGCTGGGCATCGAGCACGATCTGCTGGAACTTGTCCGCAAACTTGCGCTCCTTGCGATCCTTGCGCTCCTGCCGCTTCTTGCGTATGAGGTCGCGCACGCGTTCGATGCTCCTCGCCAGCTTGGACTCTTCGCCCACTTCCTATTTGGATCAGAGATCGGGCACAGCATTAGCATACAGTCAAAGTAAATGGGGGGAGAAACTCAACTGAAGAGTTCGCTACAAGATTTGAGTTTTTGAATAGACATCGATATAAACATTTCACGATTAGGGATCCAATGCATACAGAACTTAGAACTTAGAACGCTAAGGGCAGGCAACACAAAAGATTACAACTTATACTCATTAGCCTGATCAACGTTTGACTACACTATAAGTATTTACACATACAGTATGTCTGGATTGGATTTAGATATGGATTGGTTAACGCAAACGAGGCAAGCAAGTTTAAAGCAAGTAAGAACGGTTTAGTTGGAAAAATTACCTTCTTCTTGAAAATCTGTTTAACGTTTTCAGTGTATTTAAATTGTTTTACATTTGGTTTAGTTTGTTTTGTTCGTGTTTAGTGTTGGGTGTGTTTTGTGTGTGTGTGTGTGTGTGTGTGGTAAGTCAAAATTTAAACCGCATTGTGCAAAGTTGACGACAGAAATTGGGTTAATTGGATTACGCTTAAGTGCATTTTAAAAATTGTTTTTACATGTAGACCTACATTGAGACTTAAACGAGACTTGATGAGGTCTGTTCTGGCCTTGACTTCGATGCAGTTTGAAAGTGTTTGAATGTAAATGGCCTCAGAACAAGCCCCATGAAAACAGAATTCGGACAGAGCCGAACTGAAGAACTCGGCAAAAGGCAAGGAGAAAAGTACCTTATTCCCTGTGCAGGGTGTTTATATTATAGGTTAAATTTTTTAGTCAGTATAGTTAGTATAGTATGGGATAAACATTTAGCACAGTTAGTAACACAATGCAGATAGTGATGAAATTTTGAAGGGGAATTTTAGAAAACATGAAAATGATAATCGATTTTGCTCTTGAAAAGAAAAGAGTGCCACAGATCGGATGGTGTATAATTCAACTGGTACTTCAATTCCAGGGGTGCCACCGCGCGATCAGGATGAAGCTAAGTAGTTCTCACACTCAGAGACACACATAAACACCGAAAACCACATATATATAAAGGTGCAAGACAAATACAACTCAAACATTTAGGTATCGATCTAACCATCGATCTTCTCAATCATTTTAGGGGATCGTTTTATGACACGGAGAGATGTTATCTCTCCCCTGTCGATTTTCGAGCGACTTGAGTTTAGTTGTTCGGTTGTTTAAGTAACTTTTCTGGCACACACATAGACATAAAGACATATACATTCACGAACGCTTAGAAACAGGAATCGGATCACGGTCAATGGGAACAACAGTGGACTTGCCTCTTTTTTCGACTTGAGCTCCTCGGAGTTGAAACTGTTGAGCAACAGGGCCAAGAACAAGTTGAGCACCATAAAATTTCCCATGACGAGTGTCGGCAGAAAGATGGCAAAGCATGTGGAGGCTCCTTGCTGTGGAATATATTGCAATTTGAGTGCACTTCAGATGGCCATCGGGTTGTAAATTCATACCTCCTCCTCGGCTCGCATGCAATCCCAGAGAGGCTCGATCCATTCGCCGCACAGAATGCGAAAGATCATCATGAACGAGTGAAAGAAGTCATTGAAATTCCATCTGCTCAAAAGTAAATACAAAATTAGCCTCAAAGTTCTTCATTAAAACTCATTTTAGTCTTGCCTTGGCACTGGATCAGGATCGAACTTCTCGGGCGTATAGTCTTTGGAGAACAATTGCATGCCGATGACGGCGAATATGTAGATGACTATGACCAAAATCAGCGTGAGGTTGCCGAGGGCACCGATCGTTGAGATTATAATGCTTAGGAGCACCTTCATTGTAGTCCACGATTGCGCTAGCTTTAATACCCTCAGCTACAATATGAGACCAATGAAAATGAGGAAATATTTAATAAAAAGTAATAGAATACCAATCGCAAGCCGCGCAAGACACTAAGGCCGTCTACCAGCTCGAAAATAATGTCCAGCAAACTCGCAGTGACTATCAGCAGATCAAAGATGTTCCAGCCGCACAGAAAGAAGTCCTTGGACAGCGCCATTAGCTTCACAATGCACTCGAACGTGAAAATGGACGTAAAGACCTGTGAGGTAAGAGGAATATAAGATCATTCTTTTTTTTTTGACTTTGGAGGAGTTCAAACTCACCTTGTTTCCCACATCCAGGGCGTTGCGAAAGCTTTCGCTCATCCCATGGTGTTCCATGGCCAGGAAGGCGGTGTTTAGCACAATGCAAAGGGTGATGGCCAGTTCGAAGAGCGGATCCCGCACCACTTTATAGAGGCAGTTTTGAAACTGTAGCCAGCTCTCGTAGTCGGTGCACCAGTGCACACAGCGATCACAGTTCCGATCGGGCAAATCATCTGGGAGAGATCATACAGACACAATAAATCCTATTTTACAACGCGAATAGTAAAAACATCCGGCAAGCCAGTGTTTTAATTACCTTTTAGGCAAGGAATGGATCCAAAATGATAAAAAATATTATATAAGACAATTCAAAGGCAAGAGTAACGCCTATTTCTTCGAAAACAACTAAATTTACCAAATTGTAGCCGATCTTTACCCTATGATATAGTAATCACCTCGAAAAAATATTTTTAACATGATCAGGGTGCAACTAAAAAATACAATTTTGAAAGTTCTACGAATCTATCGTTTAGCCACAGTGAGTATGATCGCCTTAACCCTTTGGTAACTATGACAATTATGTGCACTTGTAGGATATACAATTAAGAGAGTCAAATCTCTGGCTTTTAATCTGGCGTGGCTAAATCAACTTGTCTACAAATAATGATCAAGAATATATACTTTATAGGGACGGAAATGTCTCCTTGACTGCGTTATAAACCAATTTCTCCCTTCCAGAGGGTATAAAAAACTTACCGATCACCACCACCTCCGAGGAGAATTCCTGGTGCAGGGCGTACACATTGTGGTTCTTGATGCGGGCTATGTTCCCGTTGCACTTGATGAGGCGCACCTCACGGGGCGAAAGGGCCAGCTCCACGGTGGAAACGTGGCCCAGCTCGTTGGCCGTGTCCTGCTCCTCATGGTCGTCCACCACACCGGAGTCGTCCTGCGAGGACTCGCGATTCACGCCACTGGAGTTGGAGCTCGCCTGCCGGCTGCTAGCGATGAGCTGACCCTTATAGTCCGAGGGGTACAGCATGTTGGGGTTCTTCACACCCCCGCCGCCGCCGCCGGCGTCCTGAAAGCTGATGCGCCCCTTTGGAGTGGGAGCGGTGGCAGTGTTGGTGCTGTCGCCACCGGACGCTTTGGCCAACTGGTGCTGCTGTTCCATCTGCTGGTACTGTTTCTGCGCCTGCAGGCTGAGTGCCGAGGGGCGTTCCGTGGCGCTGTGGCGTGGACTTGGTCCCGGACTGGGCGTGGCAGAGTGGGACTTGGGCTCATTGCCATTGCTGCCGTTTCCATTGCCATTGCCGGAGCCGCCCTCCTTGCCGCCTTTGCCCTTTTTTCGACGCGTCTTTTTCTTGCTGTACGAGGCCAGGAGCACACCCTTCCTGGAGTCGATTTTCTTCTTGTTGTTCTTGTTCAGTTTCTTTACGTTCAGCACCGACGGATCGAAGCTGAACGTGGAGTCGTCTCGATGGTCCAGCAGGTCCTTCTTCCGTTCCTATAGGGACGGACAACAAGTTGGTAAAGCACTAGGATCAGGATAAGATGGTCTCACCTCGTTCGTAATCTCTGCCTCCTCCTCGTAACTCAACGCCACTACGGCCAGCATCAGGTTAATCAGGTAGAACGAGCCAAAGAAGACCACCACCGTGAAAAATGAGACGCTCATGGGACCACAGGTGGCCAGAACCTAAAAAAAGGTCTCGGGATTAAATTCTTTTCAGAAAACCTTATGTTCTATAAAGTAATGTTTCTAGTTGTTCATTATTCAAATGAGTATGACTGCAAACTCTTCATCTGGGAATTAACTTCTCAAAACTGTTATGAATATCTGGGAAATTGAATCCTCAATGAACCGCGATTTCTTAAGAATTTTTAGTCATCGGCAAAATTTGAATGGCTAGGATGATTTCAATCATCCAACCTTTAAGAACGTATTAGAACACGCTCGGATACTCAAGAAATTTTAATACATTTTAGACAACTTCAAGCAAGTTAATGAAATCAAAGCTCTGCCATCATAATTCAATGACGCAGGTCTTGGTATACCCACCATATTGTACACATTCTCCCAGTAGTCCAGCGTGATGAGCTGGAACGTCGTCAACATGGACCACATGAAGTTGTCGAAGTTGGTGTATCCGTGATTGGGATTCTCGCCCACGCAGAGGCACACGTACTCGAAGGGGCAGTGGCGGGCACCGGTCAAGTTGCCGCACAGCACGGGCAGTTCATCCTCGTCGTAGAGCCAGTTGTCGGTGTCGTTGACCCAGCTGGAATGGATGCACTGTTAGTTTACAGTTCCGGAAACCAGAAGGATGCTTCTTACATGTGCCAATCCGCATGGGAGACGTTCGTCCAGTCGGTGGGCACCTGGCGCACGCACTTGTTGCGCAACTCGCCCATGTAGACCTGCAGGGCGAAGAGCGCAAAGACCATCAGGCAGAAGATGGTCAGGGTCATGACCTCCGCCAGCTGGCGGAAGGAGTGCAGCAGCGCGTTGATGATCGTCTTCAATCCGGGCATGATGGACACCGTCTTGAGGGCGCGCAGCACGCGAAAGGTGCGCAGCCCGGCCAGGTTGCCCACCTCCATGCCGATGGTGGCGTAGCCGCTGGTGATCACCACAAAGTCCAGCCAGTTCCAGGGGTTGCGCAGATACGTGTACTTGTTGAGCAGAAAGCCCTTGGCAATGATCTTGATCACCATTTCGATGGAGTAGATGGCCAGGAAGATGTATTCCGCCTCCTCCACCGTTTCCGTCATGGCCAGGAAGATGCAGTTGAACAGGATGGTGGCCATGACGCAGTAGTCGAAGAACTGGTTCGTCGCGATATAGACGCAAACGCGCCGCGCCGGGCTCCATGGGTAGAAGAGGAACAGGCTTTTGGTGCCGGTGAAGCGGTGGATATAGTTCTTGCGGAACCGCTTGGACACCACACAGAAGGTCTGCAAATGCAAAATGCAATTCAAAAACAGGCGGGCAGTGTACAGGGTGCTGTTTGGAGAACTCTCTGCCCTCCAGTCACCAATACGGGCAGGCGTACCGCACTATGTTCCCCACTTATTTCAACCACTTTCTGCTTTGTCTAGCAACAATTTAATATTAAATTTAATTTATAAAACAGTAGCGAATTGGAATGTGATATGGCAGCCCGGGCTTAAAATTAAATGGCAACACTGGCCAGCCCACTGGCAGCGCCACTACCGATAACTATCGTTTACGGCCCTGTGCAACCCTGCAGCGGGCTGTCAAAATCTCCACGCGAGGTTAGCACGCCGACTTCCGTTCGGTACTCGTTCTTTCGTTCTCAAACCGTCGTCTAGACCAGAAGGAAAATGAGAGCTAAGGTAAAAGCAGTTCTCCAAGTGATATTCTTGTTTTCTCTGATATAAATATAATACAGTGATTAGTAAATTTTGGCGCCTTAGTGAAACGCAATTAACAGTGTTTTCTCTTGTTTTGCAGTGGCGTAAGAAGCGTATGCGTAGGTTGAAGCGTAAGCGCAGGAAGATGCGTGCAAGGTCCAAGTAATCGCAGCGCCATCGCCCACTAAATGGTGAGTTTCGTTCAACATCCGCTGCCCGCGGGAGCACCCCCCCATCTAAATCCCCTTCTATGGCACGCAAGGTTCTAATTTCGGTTTTCTTTCTGTTTAAATTGCAGGAACCTTTGATTGATTGAACCAAAAACCAACAAACGAAACATGCCGACACTGGGCCAGCCCCTTAAGCAAGGGCCCCCAAAATGTAATTTTGCAAAACCAGTTTTCACACAAACGTACATGTGCATTTAAAATTCACGTTTCCATTTCTCGTAAAAATTGATTCTAATAAATTACTGGATTTTCGCCAAGGTTCCACGAGAAAAAGCATGTGTTATTAATGAGAATGAGAGAGAGTGAGAGTGGTAGTGTGGTAGTGGTAAAAGAAGAAGAGAAAATGAGGCGGGCGTGCTCTTTCGACATAACCACATTTGCAAATCGCGTGTGTATATGTGCGTGAGAGCACGTTTTGCCAAAAGTGTTTTTGCCTTTCAGATTGAGTCGGATTAGATTTGGCCAGCCGGCAGATTGGATCTATGGATTTCCAATTGGAGGCTGGCCGGAGCGGCCCCATTAAACATTGATGGCTCAGAGAGTGGTTGCTACCAAATCAGTTAATACGATTATATGGCCGCATTCTGATGATGGAGGAGCTGGTGCCCCCAGGGAGCGCGTGTCCTGCGCTCGTCATGCCGTTCCGCTCTTGCACGCACTCCCCACTCGGAATATCGATTTGTTTGCCGCCGGAGGGGAGCCACCCAAGCCGAAACTAAACCTGAAGCAAGTGGTTCATTAGCGCCCTGATTTCTTCAATTATATATGCAGATGAGGCCGAGGATGATGTCCCAGTAAATCAGTCAACCAGTCAGGCAACCAGCGAACCAACCCACTTGTCTGAAGGTCGTTTGTCACTGTAATACACACATAAAAGTCACTCAGCCGAGTAAGCAGAAATTTTAATGTAACAAGCTAAAATTTCGATTGGGTGGCTGTTTGCCCATTTACCATGGCTAAAAATTTGCATGCCATGCCATTCATTCCATTCCCTTTTTCTTTCCTTTCCTTTCCACCCAAAAATGTGGTTAGGGATTGTGGCAAACAGCAGAAGCAGCAGCAGCAGGGAGCTTAAGGATAAGCGTGTGTACTTTTAAGTGCCCGAAATGAAAAGTTGTGTAGGACCTTGTTCAGTTCTGTGTCTTATCATGTCGCCGGAGTGGAGCAGACGGCCGTGTTTGCCAGCAAAGTGCCATTAAATGCAATTAAGCACTTTGATTCTCCAGCTGCAGTGTTTGAGAGCCCACTTTCCATAGGAGCTATCATAGCTGCGTAGGTTTGCCCAACAAAAATCTCATATTCCAAAGCAATTAACTATGGTTAGCAAAGTTACTCAAAGCAAATGTCTGGAAAAATTGAATTATTTGGCCAGTTTTTAACACACACTATTGGAGTTGAAAGAAAAAGTTGATAGGTACTAAAACATTTAATTACAGAAAGTTTTGATCAATTGATTGTGAAACTTTGACTTGGCTAGACTAACAATTAACTTTAGACTGTGTTATTCAACTTATACTTTAGTTGCTTACGACCATTTAGGACTGCCAATAGAATTGAGAAGAGGGAGATCTATTAAAACCACTCTTCAGCAGACATTTTATCAGTGATGAGCGAGAAAGGCATTGCTAACATAATTGGTTTTTATTTTCGACTTTGCTTGACTACACAAGATGTATTTAATGGGTGGTCATTGTGACTAAGTTGCTCTGGGAATTAACTAGACTTTGTGAAAAGGATTTTATCAAAGCCTTGTGGACAGCTTAAACAACTAGCCATCTGAGATGGGAAGTGATTTTCAGCAGTGACCCACCCGGAAAGTGCACATTTGTTTTACCACAGATTTAATTATAGAATGTGGGACAACATTGCAGGAGTCACTGTGACCCAGAAAGGTAGCAACCTTATTCGCAATACGGTTTTGCCGGACTGCAAGCCTCTGGCCAATAAGATTTAATTATAGATTGCCGGTCTATGTGTTTGTCTTGGACTTAGTGTGATATCCAGTCGATCGATAAACACATCACACCGGCGTCACAGGTACGCTCATCTCACGTCCATTGTACTGCAGCCCCGTTCGGTCTGGTCACTTGCATGTTTATTCAGCCCAGTCCAGTCCAGTCCAGAATTATTTTGCCTCGACACGTGGCCCGAAACGATAGCCGCCAAGTCTTGAGTACACTTGCATGTTCGCCTATAATTTGTCCTCTGCGGCTGCTGCGGCAGCAACTCCAACTCCGACTACGGCCAGTTTGTTTGAGTCACGTAAATACGGTTGTCAACTTTGCTGCCCGGAGCCCTGTGCATGACATGACCCATATTTCCAGCGCCGACCACCACATCCACATGCACACAGAAAAATAACAAATGTAAAGTCAAACATTTAAGTGTTAAAACTTTTCCCAACTGAGCTCGGTTTCTAACCACTGGAATTCCAAACAATGTTTTTTTGGGTGGAACATTTGTGGATTTAAGATCAACATCTATAAACTATATAAATATTCGACCCAAGGGTTAGCCACTGAGCTACGGTCCCTTAGGTTTTCTTAAGAAGTAAAGATTCGATTAAAGACAATAAAAAAGGTAATCTTTAATTCAGAATAGTTATTTTTGAAACAATACAAAAAAATTAAAAATTAATATTCATTTTACTATTTTTAATCTTTTGCTTCAATTCAAATACTAGCCAAAATGAAAAACAAAAAAATAAATAACAAAAATTAATAGTTTTTCCACTATTTCAATTTTTATAAAGTAACAAAAATTAGGCAAACAAACTTAAAAAAATATTTTTTTTCCTTTTTCAGTTTTGTTATATTAATATTTAATAGCTTAACAAGCAATGCAACAAACAAAAAAATTTGTGACATTTTTGTAGAGGAAAGTAACAAATTGTCTATGTTGATTTTACATATGTTTTTTTTTCCTGTGTGTACAAACGTGTGCGCAATTGTTGGTGTGTCCTTTGTTTGAGGTAGTTCCAAAATTTATTCCCACCTTTGAAATTTAACGAGCGCGCGGCATTTACGCTGATTTCCTTTTCGGCTTTTTGAGGGCCCACGAGGGCCGTTCTAGGCGTTTCCATTAACCCCGGTTTCCCTGCCGCCAAAGTGCACTTCCCCACTTGTGCCCACAATGCCGCAAGTGCAACAAAAACCAAGCCAAAGCGAGGCGAAGCTATCAAAACAAAAGCAACAGCCCTGCGCGGCGTTCCATTTCCGCCGCTTGCATTTCGCCGCCTCATCGCTTCATACCTTCAACCCCACTAACCGGCAGGAATGCGAAGGAAAACGAATTCCGTGGGTCTCGCGTCCCCGTCCGCGTCCGTGTGACTTTTTAATTAGAGCCAATGGGCGGACAACTGCGGTGAGGCCGTGGGTAATGAGAACTCACCTCCTCGTAGATGAAGGTGTCAATCTCCTCCAGCGGCTTGCCGTACATGTGCTCCGGAAAGGGCTCGAACTTGCGGGGCAGCACGTCGCCGTCCTCCACGGAGGCCTTGGTCCGCGGATGGAAGCCGTACTCCCGCACCAGCTGGATGTGCCGGTTCTCGTGCTTGACCTGCGACCTCTGCGTATACGCAACGACCTGGTGCTTGGCGACAGCTGCAAGAGATCAGAGTAATTAGTACGGAAAATAATGGCTGATATTTGTTTATGGCTGTTTTTTTTAAATATTAAAAAAGAAATCGTTAATATGCCAAGTACCAGTGATTTGTATCACTTAATTCCAAAACTTTTCTAAGATACCTCTGAAGAATCCAAAGCTTTGATTAATATTTGAGTTTTTGAGGGTTAAGGCAATTTTACAAAAATTGTAGAGCGGTTGAAAAAAAAAAAAACCTCATCGTTAAATATGGTTGACTTTGGTAATACAACTAATTTTAATTTTAACTTTTTGCAAGTAAAATAATTTTATCATAATTATTATGAATTATTTTATTATTGATTATATTGTTGTTTTTTTTTATATTTTCAATCATTAAATTAAATCATTATTAAGCAATGAAAGGAGTCTAAAGTTATACCGATACATTGTTTTGTATTGAGCAGCCGTCAAAATTAAATGGAGCAAAATTATAAAAAAAAATACTTAAATTATTTTTTTGGCTCCTCTGCTGAAATATATTTTCATTTTTAAAAAATGGGTGGCACGTTTCACATGGAATGACCCGAATTCAGTTTTGAAACTTTGGCAACATATTCTTAATATGTACGTTGTGCTTACAATTTAAATGAAATACAAAATGACCAACCTAAACTGGTTGCCCCAATTGAGACCACATATGAAAATAGCTCCCAAAAATAAATCTTTTATATTATTGTCAGAAAAATTTGTTGTATATTAAAGTTTCGACATATAAAATCTATAAATCGAACAGAATATTGAGTTATGGATAGAAACTTCAGCAAAGCCTAGCAAAAATATATGCACCATCTTACAATTGTTAGCATTTTTGTAGTAGTAGAAATCCAGACCAGATGTCTGAAAATTCGGCCGTAATCCAGGTAATGCAGGCCGTCGGCGGCGGAATTGCCGGAGCTGCCACACGCACCATAACGCAGCCGCTGGACGTGCTAAAGATTCGCTTCCAGATGCAGGTGGAGCCGGTCACGCACCACAAGGGCTCCAAGTACCGTGGCGTGATCCACGCCATGCGGTCTGTGTACGCCGAGGAGGGGATGCGCGGCATGTTCCGGGGGCACAACTCGGGTCAGGTGTTGAGCATTTGCTACGCCCTGGTGCAGTTTTGGTCCTACGAGCAGCTTCGCTCCAGGGCCCACCATTCTCCCTTCTGGATAGAGCGTCCGTTCCTCATGTTCTTTGTCTGCGGCGGATTGGCCGGATGCCTGGGAGGCCTGGTCACCCAGCCCTTGGATGTGGTACGCACGCAAATAGTGGCCGCCGATCCCTCCTCGCATCGCAGTCGGATGAGCACGATGCATGGACTGCGAAGGGTGTACAGGTTGGAGGGCTGGGCGGGCCTTTTCCGGGGATTGCCGTTCACGCTGGTGCAGATCTTCCCGCTGGTGGGCGGCAACTTTGTCATATATAAGTACCTCAACGCCCTGGTACTGATGGCCCAGCCGCCCGAGCAGCGGCTGGAGATCCACAGCGGCTTCCTCTTGCTCAACGGAGCCCTGTCCGGAGTGGTTTCCAAGATGCTCGTCTATCCGGCTGACCTGCTCAAGAAGCGCATGCAGTTGGTGGCCTTTAAGCACGACAGGAAGAGCTTTGGCCGAAACCCCGACTGCCCCACACTGCTGGGGTGCATTGTCACCACGTTTCGGGAGGAGGGACTGGGCGGCTTCTTCAAGGGCATGTCGCCCACCCTGCTCAAGGCCGGACTGACCAGCGCCGTTTACTTCACCATCTACGACATATTCAAGCGGCACTGCATCGCCCCCATGAGGGAAGCCGACAAGGCGCGGTCAAAACTTGGGAAGTAGTGGTCATAATATAGTTAATCAGGTAAGCACCAAAGCTGGAACGATCGATATAATTATAGTGCCCCGACTATTGAAACAGCTAACCAATTTCAACTACTATCGGGCTTTAGGTGGCGCCATCTGACGTATTGCAGGGTCACTATTTCAAGTTGATATAAAAAAAGTTTTTGCTAATAACTTATATAATATTGGTCCGATTTGGAACATTTTTGTGTGTCTCGATAGCAAATATATTGATATTGAGCAAATAAACATACACAGTTTAATAAGTGATTTCTACCATGTCCCATAGTGATATGAAAGACTTTCGCTATTTCTGGGCGTTACAGTGGAAACAAATTGGCATAACTAGTTAAATTCCAGTCTCTGGCTTTTACAGTTTCCAATATATCAACATTCATACCGACAAACAGTCGGACATGTCTAGCTCTACTCAGTTATAGATCCTAATCAAGAGTATATATTCTCTATAGGGTTGAAAATGCTTCCTTTCATCCTGTTACATCCTTTTCAACGAGTACAATATACCCGTTTTCGCTACAAGTGAAGGGTATAATAAGTCCCACCCATTGTCAAATAGCTTGTTTAAATTATTACACTAACATGGTTTATTTTGTACATCAGCATCAGCGTGAGGATGTGTGGAATATGGATGAGCGAATCGAGCGAGTCGTATATAAGTTAAGAGTCCCGTGTATGGAGTGAACTGAAGGGCGTAAGCATTGAGCAGTAGACTAGACGACCAGATGGCCAAGGCCGGACAGTGCCGCCTACTTCCAGTTGGAGCTGGATCCCGCCCAGCCGCCGGAAGCCGGCGCCGAGTAGCTGTATCCGTCGCCACCGCCGCCGGAAGATGCGGATCCGCCATAGGAGCCACCTCCTGCGGAAGCAGCGGCAGCGGCCACCACCTGGCTATCGTAGCTGGATCCGCCGCCGCTGCTGTAGCCGCCTCCATGTCCACCACCACTGTATCCTCCACCGCCGCCGGAGCTGTAAGAGGAGGAGCCGCCGGAGCTGTAGGAGGAGCCAGTGCTGTAGGAGGAGCCACCGCTGTAGGAGGAACCGCCGGAGTAGCCGCCGGAGTAGCCGCCATCGTATCCACCGCCGTAACCACCGGATGAGCCATGGGAATCACTGCTGCCCACAGCAGCGGCAATCAACTGAGTATCATGGCCTCCGCCGCTGTGTCCACCACCACCGCTGTAGCCTCCATATCCGCCGCTTCCTCCATGGGCAGATGCATCTGAGGTGGCGGCAATGGCAGCAATATTGGCAATGGCATGACCACCGTGTCCACCGCCGCCGCCGCTGCCTCCGTGGCTGTGGCCATGTCCATGATCAGAGGACGAACCAGCAGCAGCTGCAATGGCTGCAATCTTGGCATCATCGTGACCGCCGGAGCTGTAACCGCCGGAACTGTATCCTCCGGAGCTGTATCCGCCGGAACCATGTCCTCCTCCGCCACTGTGATTCTCTGTGATGACAGCATAGGTGTTCACATGGCCGCCGCCTCCACCGCCAGCGCTGTAACCGCCATCATGCGAGTGAATCTCGTAGCCACCGCCTCCATGACCGCCAAAATCGCCGCCTCCATGGCCTCCGAAGTCACCTCCTCCTCCGTGGCCACCATGGTCGCCATGGTCACCACCGCTTTCGGGCAGATGAATGCGAATGTGGACGTGCTCGCGCCCAAATGTGGGCTTACCCCAAACAACCGGACTGGCCAGCAGGAGTGCGCTGATCTGGGATGGGTTGGGAGAATCAAGGGGTTAGGGGATCCACCTGGACTGATGATGCACATGCAAACTCACTATGAAACGGGCTGCCATTTCGCTGGATTCGTTGACAAGGACTCTGGGATGTGACAACCACTTGCCTCTGGACCGACTGGAAATGATTCGGCAATCGTGACTGCGCGCCGTTTTATACTCGGGAGACATAGGGGTTACATAAGCGATCGCGACGCCGTCGAGCAAGTGCAAAGATAATCTCTTTCGGCGGCGGCGGTGACGAGCAAACCCACTGGAGCTGGAGCTTCACAACAGCGACCGCGACCCATTGAAGGCCACATCTTCTCTTCTCCTCTCCGCACTCTCCCAAGATCGCAAGAGAGTGTTGACCTTTCACATCATCCCCAGCATGTGCCCTTTGCAAGCTCCGTCCGCTCTTCCCACTCACTCACTCCTACACTGAGAGAATGCGGTGGAGCCATTATATGTATATTCTATGTGAAAATTGATTTTAAAATGATTCGACTTTTTTATATTAAACGGTGTGTTGCTAGCATAAGTGTAGCGCAACTGTTGTGCTCATCATAAGCATTTTCGGGCTAGTTCCTTACAGTCAAAACCTGATTTTTGGACTATTTTTGAGGTATACAAAAAAAAATTCTTATAAAGATAACCAGATTTTTTTAGACTGAATTGAGATTGGAAAAAGTCACTCAAAGAAAATTAAAAAATATATTAGGTATGTGGAAAGTAATATTTATTTATATATTTACAGTCATTAGAAATAAAAGGTTAATCTAATTTAACTAAACAAGAAATTAAAGATGAGTCTATAAAAAAAATTATCGTAAAAATTAGATAAGTCTTTATAGACGGCTACATGAACTAAGGCCAATTTTTTCAACATTTAAATGGTAACCTCATTGTTAAGGCCATATTTAGTTCAGTATTTCTTTAAGTTAAGGTTTCATCTAAAATTGCTGGCTTTTTATTTAATACCTAGTAGCATATTTTAAGTTGCCGACTAAAACAGGTTCGACTTTATACACGATATTTCTCCCAGTGCACTAACTCACTCTCTCTCCGGAGGAGCACTGGTTGGCTTCTGTGCTCCACTTTCGTTTGAGAGTGAAAATCTGAGTGGCCCTAAGCTGCTGTGGCAGCCAAAAATGGTTAAAATCGAAATTCAAATTGTGGTAATATGCAACTTGACCAGTTCCAGTTTTAGTTTTGGTCCAAAGCTCGTTGTTATTGTTATTGTTACTGCCAGTTTATCACATTGACGATGCTGGCTGTTAACCGTTAGGTATTTTGTTGGGGTTCATGTTATATGGCTGTGGATGGATGTTTATGCAGATACGAACTTCCTATTGGCAATTCCTTATTGTTGCTCCGGCGGACTTGCATAACGAATGGCCAAGGGTGGGCTGGTGGTTCGGATTGGCTCTTAAATCGTTGGTCATTAACCCATTGCTGGCTGTGCCGGAAATTAGCCCGATAATGCTGTTTGCCAGCGCTGAACGAAGATTGAGTTATGTTCTACGGCTGGGGCCAGGTCAGAGGCTCTCCTTTTTGAAAGCCAGCGCGGAAAGTGGCTCTCGAGCAATATTGGGTTAAGCCTCGCCTGCAGCAGCATCAAAAATATCTTGTCATGCTCCGGCGCTGCAAGATTGGCGCAAAAAAAAGTACCGTTCCGTGGGTTTTGTTTTTTGCCTCTTACATCAGCAAGACAAGAGGTCATGGCCATTGGCCACCTAACACCATCATCCAAGACCCACCACCCCACAACCCCACCACCCACCTCTCAGTTATGCATTCGCCAGTGATTAGCTACAGTTTTCATTAGCATTGAGTGACTGAACCAGCAAGTGGGCCGCAGCTAGCAGCTAGCAGCTCGCAGCTCTCAGCTTTCATCCGAACCACCGGAATCGGGGCCATCCGGCCATTTCGATTACGTCGCTGATTATCATTTCTCATCTGGGCAGCTTGGCAACTTGACAGGCAGATTCCATCGTTGCCGAATAATTAATACACATTTAAACTGTTTCGGATTGTAAACAAAAGCGTGCTTACATAAGGAACTAGCTGCTGCCGCCATCGCAACAATCCGCTGCCAATCGAACCCATAATGACGATCATAATCACGATGCTGTGTCCAATGAAGTTCAAACTGGGGACCATTCAAGCTGCATTTCAATACCACAAGAGCATCACTTGATGCTGGATTACATCTTTCGGCGAGGGCTCTGCTCGCGATGATGAAGCTGCCGCTGCCGCTGCCGCTGCTGCTGCTGCTGCTGCCGCTGCGATGATGACGGCAATGACGATGGGCAACCGGTTGGCGGTCGCACATTAACATCAGATGCAAGACAAGACGCACATCTTCCCCGTATTGCATAATCGTCCCGGGGCTCGCGACTTGCTACTTGCGACATGAGACTCGAAACTCCAGACTCGCCGCCGCATCTTCACGCGGAAGCAAATTCATTCTCAAAGCGCCCAAAAACAAAAAGGAAATTGCACACAGACACAGAAAACTTAAAAGTAACTAACAACGTGCAATGTCGCTGTTGTTCACAAAAAACCAGTTGCACCCACACACGGTGAGAAATATCTGTAGTATGTTGATGCACGATTAGAAATTTGAAGATGAAAACTGGGTAAGTTGGTTGAAATAGTTAAACTGCATAAACGAAAGTTGCTGACAAAAATTGAGGAACTAGTTTTAATCGAAACATTGTTTCTTGTATTGCAATCTATTGCATAACCTTCGTTATAGCTCTATAAAAATCTCAACTCTAAACATATAGAGCAGTAATTTAAATTTATAATGCATTATCCGCATTTTGAGCAAACGTTTTTGGAGAAAAGTGTAAGCCAAAAGTATAGCTTAGACAACAATTACATTGCTAATAAATTTATACTGTTAATTAATTTGCACTCTATTGCCCGAAAATATAATAAACTCCATAAGGGTACATAAAAACTTTCAACCATAAATATATATAGAAATATTCGAAATTATCCGCATTTTGAAGGAAATTTGAAAGAAAAAAGTTTAATCAAAATAAAGGGGCTAGCTTTATTAAAAGCATTACACCAACAAAGAATTTATACTTTTCTAGTTCATTATGTTGAATTTTGTTTTGCCTCAATACATAATAAACTCCATAAGGGTGCATAAAAACTTTGTAAGCATTGTTTAAAACAAAGTAAAATTGAAATTGTTCTTACAACTTGGCACATTTTTTAAACTTCTTCTCCGAGTTGTTTGCCATTTCATCGTTTTAGTTTAATAACTTTCTTCAAGTGCAGCCATTGTTGCAGTTGCAGTTGCAAGTGGTGTGGCTGCTTCAGTTGCAGTTGCAGCTGCACAGACACAGACCTTTGCACAAGTTCAATGGTGAATGGAAATTGAAATGGGATTTGGACTCGGAGCGGTGGGACTGGGTGAGGTCGGTGGTGGTGGTGGGGCAATTACGACCCTCGCAGGCGGGGCACTTTCTATGCGGCGCTCGCTTCACTCGCTTCCTGGCCCTGGCCAAAAACCAAATCCAATTCGAGGCTTACGAGCCGAAATGGAAGGTAGTTGCCCAAGGAAAAGCCGATGCTGATGCTGATGCTGATGCTGATGCCGATGCAGAAACTGCAGCGATGCGGGGACAAACAAAAGTGGAAAAAAAGCGAATCGGGAGGATAAAGCGAGATGCAGATGCAATTGCTCTACATATTTAATTAGTTTCCGTTTCCGTTCATATTCGTAATCCGCAGCAGGCAGCGCCTGCTGGCCTTTGTGCATTGTTCACCTCCCCAATGAATATCCTCCTCCGCTGACAATGGCACCCACCACCCTCCACCCACTCAGTCGCCCACCCACAAATTGCGCTCTCTTTGGGCGCCTGCAAAACGGTTGCGTAACTTATGGCCAGTCATCAGCCGAAACTTTTGCGTCCAGCAAAAGCGTTTCCCATTTTCGATTTGTTTATCATTTATTTAAACGGCCTTAGGGTCGGCCTGTCCCTCCATTAAGCTGCTTCGATTCCGTTCTCGTTTTATTGGCCAAGACCCAGACCCAGACCCAGACCCAGACCCCGATCCAGAGCCATGAACATAGCCAGGGCACAAGCAATCGCCGGCACACAATGAGCAATGCTATTTAATTATGTTGATGAGCAGGACCGGACAGGAGGACAGGAGTCCGGGAAGTGGCAGGAAAGCGCACAACACGCACAAAAGGCAAATGCCTTCGCCCTTCCCTCCCCCAAAAACCGCCACTCCCACGTCGGCATTCCCTTATCTCGCACTGTGGGGGCTCGCTAACAAAGTGAACTTCCACAGTGCCTGCAATATAACCAATATAACCTGATGATGAATGCTCGTTGTCAAGCTCATAAGTTTGCCAACTTATTTATTTTTAAGTTAAATTCGCAGTCTACCACTAATTGGAATTCTAAAATATTCAGAATTAAAATACTAATAGAAAAATTAAGTATAAATAACATATAACATACCTATAGAAGGTCGAACATGGCATTGCCCTTTAAAATCAATAAAATTTATTTAACAAAGTAAGTACTTAAAATTATCACTTAAATGTAAAAAGTAGATCTTCTTAAAGTATTAATAAAACAGCCAAGTGGATCTTCTGAATTTATTAATAAAACAGCCAATTCAGATGTTTGTTAGGAACTTCAAATAATAATCGTGTACAAGGTGGGCCTCTCCAAATAACAACGAATGACTTCTGTTGGCCCACCTTGTACAAAAATGTTTATTATATATATATGAATTTTTCAAAAATATATAGCCAGTATATATAAATGGGTTAAAGGGCAAGTGGGTTAATCGTGCAATTCTCAGGACATTGCCAACAAACTGTCTGAAAAAAGGTCTTGTGACTTAAGTCAACCACATCTGTGTGCCACGACCACTGTGCACGACTTTCGCTTGTTTGGCGTGCAGGTGTCGCTGTCAGGATGTCGGAGAAGAAGGCGAGGGCGAAGGCGAAGGAGCAGGCCTCCTGCCCCCTGACACCAGCGCTCTTGGCCTTTCAATGCATATGCCCCCGTATACAGATTTGATGGCCTGCCCATTACCGAGCCCCCACCAATTCTCCATTCCCCATTTTGGACACGAAAGCATAATATTTATGAGGCCGGGTGGCTTGGAAAACTATCAATAGCGGTGGATAAGTTGTGCTTTAGCGGTACGAGGGGGTTGCGGGGGGTACTCACCTTTCTCATCGTTGGACAGCGTTTGATCATCACTCATCTTGACTGATTGTCGTCGTTTGGTTGGTTGATGCTGTTGGTCCTTCGTCCTTCGTCGAGGTCCTTAGGGCTGCCTCATGTCTCGCTCTCGCTCTCTCTCGTAGCTCTTGGCTTCTCACTCAATTTTCGAACACTGCTCATATGTCTGTCTCACTTTTCAGGCGAGCGGATCGCTCAGTTTACCGTTAATATTGTCACCGTTCCCTTTGTTAACCATTTTGTGCGTAGTATCTACTATTGCTAATGCTGTTTCTTTTGTTGTTGCCGTTGTTGCTGTTGATGTTGTTGTTGTAGTGCTTATCACGCTGGGGGCTTTCATGATGCCTATTGCTGTTGCTATTGCTATTGCTATGCTATGCAAATCTTATGACTACGACCGTTTCCAATAATGGCATTTGGCATCGCCTCAGCTCGTCGTCTCCTCAGTTTCTTCTACTTCTATTGTGAGCTTTGGCTTTGTTGTGTTGATTATTGCTTTACATTTTGCGAATGCGTCTGTTTTGTAAAGAGAAGAAATGTAAAGAAATTGATGTGAGTGTGGAGAGATTTAAGCTTTCGTAAGTGTGGGGGTGGGGTTGGATTGCGAGTAAATTAAATCGCCTCTGCCCACAATTGCTCTGCGCCGAGTCGTGTAACGGTAATTGGCAGCGCGCTAATCCCCGACAGCTCAAGTCGCTCACACCCACCCACGCACACACACACATACACACACACACGACACACTTGGAATAACAAAAACATATTGCATTCAAAACTTAAAAAAATTCCTTTGACTTTGCTTCAAAGATGGGTCAGATTTTTTCCTTGAATGTAAAACTATGAAAGGTTGCCTTTAAAATAGTAACATTGACATCCAAGAAAGGAAGCTTAACTTGTATATCTTTGCATAGTAAAACTTTTATACCCTTATATCCTTGTGTGAAAATGATTTAGTTTTGTCGGTTCCGATTTTTTCATATTTCAGTTATAATTATTTATTTAATATAAGCCAATGGAAACGTCACCTTTAATATAATAACATTAAAACCACAATAAGGTGTATTTTTCAAGTACAAAACTTTTTATAAAAGTAAAATTACGAAAGAACATTTAAGCATGTTTGTGTAGAAACAGATGGACATTTTGGTCGACAAGGTCTTCAACTTTTAACTAAGCTTATTATAATCATTACTATTTTCTTGTTTGTGATGCTATTAAATTTAGGTTTCGGAGAAAAAAAAATGTTGCAATCAAAATTTTTAAATTTTAAACAATTTCCTCTTTCATCAAATCTATTCTGATAAGAAAGCATTTCTTTATGTCATGTTATTTCAGAAGCCAGTTAGTTTTAAAAAAATCTTTTTCCCACGTGCAGTACGTATACGTAACGTAACGACTCACTCGACTTACGTGTGTGTAATGTGCGCAACGGAAGAGATAAACACCTGCGGGAGGGGGTGCGGCGGGAGGGGAATTGAGACGAGAGCCGGGAAATGAGCGCCGCTTTAAGACATAAAGCTTGAGCGAGATAAAGTTAATTAACATTATGGGCACACACACACACAATCTAGCATCTTCCCGCACACAGACACAAGCAAAGTAAGATACAAGAATTGATAAATGGGCGCCCAACAAAAAGCAATGAGGTTGCGTGGGCAGTGGCGTGTGGGGGGGGCGTGGCAGGGGGATGCTGCTCATTGCTCAGCGCTTTGTTGCTTTTGCTCCCGGCATTGTTGTGCCTGCTCCACATGTAAATATATATATGGGCTATCTGCCTGTGTAAGGCCTGTGCTTTCTGTTGTGTTTTTCGCAAACTTCTTGACACGTCTGCAAGCAACTGGCAGCGAAAATGGAAAAGCGTTAGATGAAGGCGCCCATAAAATATTCAATATCAAGTTTCCACCTCCCCGTTATGGCAGTTGATGTTTGCTGGCGGAAATTCGCTGCCACTGGGAGGACTGGGCTGGCAGGGATGTGCCATTAGGCCTGGAGGCTGGCCTGCCATACACTCAAAATGAAATAAGTCATTTAGAAATTTGTCTTCAAACTGTATTCTAAATCTAAACTAAACTTTTGTAAATCCAAGAATAGTTTGTTAGTTTCAAGAAAATGTTTTTCAAATGGTCACCAAAAATTAAAACCTAAAAACAAGGACAAGTTTCTATATTTGCATAAATTTGGAACTAATTTTCAGGAGCTATTATTTTAATAATAGGAAATCTTGTTTGAAAATGCTATTTCAATCAACATTCATTATTACAAAAGCAACAAATACTTTAAGCACTCATAAAACAATATGTTTAGATAAATAAAAGGCATCATGAATAAATTATACACAGACAAATGGATTTAATTTTAAGTTAATTTCTAGAAATATTTTCTGCATTCTAGAACAAGTTCTTAAACTAGACTTCAAAAACGCGTTATTCATTGTAGGGAAAAAATACCCTAGAAGTCAATTTAAGCGCGAATTTCTTGTTTTACGGGCTAATTTTATTTTGAGTGTAGGCTGACAGATCCACCTGCATCTGTTGGTCCGAGCACACACAAATCGGCAAAAACACTTTTATTACAACAATAAGAGCGGCGCGCTGGAGGCATTAAACAATGTGTTGTTGGCTCACAATTTTACGGCGGGGCCTTCCCCTTGGGGGGCGGACTCCTCTGTTTCTGTTTCTGGGCGTGGCGTGACCAGCGGTGGGTTTTAAAGTTGGCCCATAAAAGTGCGACTGGCAGAGCTTTGCCAGTTGGCCCCTAAAGTTGTGCTACAAATTTGTATCCTCTCCGTCCCCCTTGCGTTTCGCCATTTTTAGCTCTCGCACGAACGTAAGAACGAAGCGAAGGGATACGAAACGTAGCGAAGCGAAAGTGTGGCCGCCTAGTTAAGTGCACATCAAGAGCTAATTTATGACCCCCAAATTGTGGTTACTCCCCATTACCCCACCGTCCCCCTACCAATTTGAATGTTCGATTTTACCTTTAAACATTGGCCATAGGTTGTTTACTATATCCGCTGCAGTTGTTATTCTGGTTGTTGGATGTTCGGGATGATAGCTGGGCTTTATGTAATCGCTTGTGTGCTTTCACTACGGCTATTTCTATTTCTATATCTATTTTCGTATTTTACTTTCTTGGGCCTGCAATACGCGCACACACACACACTCTTGCACTTGCTTTTCACTCTTAAACTTCCACTTCCATTTTTACTTCCATTTCCACATCCACTTCCCAACACTGGCCCAATCACTATACCCGATTCAGTTGTTGTTGTTGTTGTTGTTGTTGTTACTCCTGCTGCTGTATTTTATTTGATTTTATTTTACATTAATTACATTTTTATTTAGTCGCAACTGTGCAACAATCTGAGTGGGGAGAAGGTGGTGGTGTAGGGGGGTGGGGGGGAAACGGAACCAGCAACAAAAACAGAAACAAACACAAAGCAAAAAAACTTTGGGCACGCACATTGTTTGACACACACACACACACATACACACTCCAGCGGACTGAGAAGTGTTATTACAATTTACTGTTGATTTCTTTTGCGGCCCTGCAAGTGAGAGCGAGCGAGATATCCTAAGGGCCTCCCTACCAGTGTGTGTTTGTGTGTGTGTGTATGCGAAAGCGTGCGAAAGAGCGCGAAAATGTAGGTTAGTTTCCCCCCCAGCAGCAGCAACAACAACAACATGCAGCACACATTTCACTCTATTTTTGGGCGCTGAAGAATTTTCCTCGCACTGAATGCACTTGTGCTGGTTGAAACACGCGTACGCCTGTGTGTGTGTGAGTGTGAGTGGGTCCTTTCTGCGATATTTTATGTAGCCTTTTCAGGCCGATTTCAATGTTTTCCACCGCTTTTCACCATATTCCTTGTGCTTTTTCACTTTTGGTTCACACTAAGACACACTGGGCCACTAGTACGTACGTGCGCTCGCATGGCGACTGCTCGGTTCTAAGGTTCGTCGGCGACTGAGCTCGGCTAACGGGTTTTCCTTTCCGTTTGACGTAATCTGCAGGGCGACCGCGATGCAGAGCGATGAAAAAACACACACAGAAATTTCCCCTGTATTCTGCCAAAAACGGACTCGTCGGGGAAATGCTCTCTTTCGCTCGCTCTCGTTTGCGCCCCCTCGTCCTTTTTTGCTTGCAGGTCAGCCGGCATAAACAAATGCCGTGCCACATGCCACATGCCACACGAGCGAAAGACACGCTCTGGCGAACTTCCCTCTATTCCTCCGATTCAAATTCCGAATCTGAATTTCGTTCGCTACTGCACCGCGGGCCAAAAAGGGATCCCCCACCACCACCCCCCTCTTGCCATGCAGTGAAAATGTCAAAATGATTAAGCTTGAATATGGGCCACTGGCTAACAAAGCCAACAGCATGCGGACGCTGTTCATCAGTCTAAAATGGTGTAAGGTATGGCCGCCAGCCCTCCTTCCCCTCCACATTGCCATTTCCGCCTCTGGCTGGCACACGCCGCGTATACGTAATGTCGTCACCAGCACGTGACGTATACGCAACGTTGGCTCGCAAGATCACCAGCTGGGGTTCTGCGTTTCGTTTCGCAATTGCAGATAAGCTTAGAGCGCCGTACCCGTACTATGATAAGCTTGCAGCTCGACTTTCTCGACTCAGTTCTCGTCGAGATTCCGCCAGAGTCGGAAGCAAAGCCCAAGTCGGATAAACAAGCAACCAGATAAACTTATCAAGGCAAAGCGGAAGCCAGCCTAGGCCAAAATGTTGGGAGTACCCTTTGTGCTGCTCCTAGTGGCATTCGGGCACTGCCACTCCAGATCCAATCACACTGCGGGCTATGAACTGGCCACCAATCAGATCCTTGATTCGGCCACCAGCCGCATGCGCAGCGTGTGGGGCTTGCAGCGCACCATCTTCCTGCAGCTCACGGCCAAGGGAAAGTCACCGCTGGGCGGACAAGTGCTAAACAACAAGCAGGACGTGGAGGCGAAGACTTATCGCCTGCTGTACGAGTTGGCGGCCAATTTGAGTGTGGTGCCAGTGGCCCAACTGGATGACCCACTTCTGCGTCGGCGTGTTCAGCGGATGGCCAAGCTGCAGCTGCAGGGACTGCGGCCCAAGGACTACGAGCAGGCCAAGGACCTGCTGCGCCAGATGCACAGTTTTGTGAGCGGATCGCTGGTCTGTCCCCACGAGGACTGCTCCGCCCATGGCCCGCTGGCCATGTATCCACAGATCGTGAACAAGAACATGCGCACCAAGCTGTACGAGGATCTGTTCATCAACTGGTTTGCCTGGCGCAAGGCCATCAACGAGAAGGAAACAGCCAAGTCCACATTCATCGATTACGTGCGTCTGCTGAGGATCGCAGCCACCTACAATGGGCATGTGACGCCCTCGCGCACCTGGTACCTCCACTACGACACGGAGAACTTCCAAGCCGAACTGGAGGCGGTCGTGTGGGAGATCATGCCACTCTATCGCGAGCTACACGCCTATCTGCGGCACGAGGTGCAGTCCACCTACCCCAAGGCGGACACAAAAAGCGACGGCGCCATATCCGCACCCATCATGGACCAGATCCTGTCGCAGGACTGGTACCCGCACCAGTTCTTCCGCACCCCACACCAAGGCAAACAGCATCAACTGCCCTCCGTGCATCGCCGCTTGGAGGAGGTACTGGTCCCGCCCGTCAAGATCAATCGCAAGGCAGCCGAATTCTTCGAGTCGCTGGGCCTTAATATTCTGACAGAGTAAGTTACACTGAAAAGAAATTTATGTTGAAGTTTAAATAACCTTGCAGCTCTTACAAATACTAAAATAGTCTTTTAAACGACTGTAATTCGATTTTAATGCGTATTACAAATCTTAAATTGATTAATATTACTGAACCAAATTAAGATACATGGGCAATCTTGAGCATATGTATAAGTTACATTAAGTTATGATAACATTGAATGCCCTATATTTTGAAGGACAAAGGCTGTATTTTGTGAAACTATATTGACAAAAGTATTTAGAATATTCTTTATTTATAATGAAATATATATTTTTAATAGTATATATTTTTAATAGTAAAAATTCAGTATTTCAAAACTTATTTTCGGTTACAAATTTTAAAAACTCTTGAATCTGAATCATTGTTTTGTTAAGACCCAAACAAAAGTACAAACAACTAAGAAAATAACTTTCCAAAAAATTTTATTTCTTTAATTTCTTAAATTACAAATGGCGAGAGCCTTGTATTCCTTAAAATTTCTTGTGTTAACCACTCAAAAATTTGTGCTCCCCAGGAATTTCTATGACCTTTACTCCCGGCGTATGCAGGACGACGAGGGAGGGCCGGACTGCAAGTCGCAGGTGTACTATTTTCCGCCGGACGTGGCCCTGCGCTACTGTCCCAAACTGGACTACAAGAAGCTGATGCAGATCCACGGCACAATGGCCGAACTCCAGTACTACCTGTACAAGTTGCAGCTGCCCTTCGGTCTCGACACGGAGCCATGTCCCGGTTTCGGCGCAGCCCTGGGTGAAACGGTTATCCTGGCCTCGGGCACTCCGCGCCACCTGCACCGCCTACACATCCTGCTGAACGACAGCCTCACGGAGCAGCAGTCCCTCAACCGACTGTTTCGCATGGGCGTTCACACCCTGATCGCCGTGCCGCAGTACTTCATAAACGACAAGTTTCTGGTGGACGTGATGGACGGGCGGATTGGGGTGAAGGACTACAACTGCGCCTACTGGGGTCTCCAGGATAAATTCGCCGGAGTCCAGCCGCCATCGAACCGGAACAACAAGGACTTCGATCTGGACTTTAAGTTCTATCGTGGCATGAACCCGGAAACCTCCAACACCAAGTTTGTTATCTATCATACTTGTTATAGTGATAGTTGAGATTTTTTTAACCACTTAACATCTAAACAGAAAATTCCTTGCCGAGATCCTGGGCTTCCAGTTCTACCGCTCCTTCTGCCTGGCCAGTGGCCAATACAGGCCCGGCGATCCTGATTTCCCGCTGCACAACTGCGACTTTTACGACAGCAAGGAGGCGGGCATGAAGATGCGCGAAATGATGAAGCTGGGGGCCACTCGCCACTGGCGCGATGTCATGGAGATTGCCACCGGGGAGCGGAAGTTGAGCGGACGCGGCATCCTGGAGTACTTTGCCCCACTCTTCACTTGGCTGAAGGAGCGCAATAAGCAGCTGGACATCGAACCAGGCTGGGATGCCGACGAATGTGAGTATGGAGACGAAAAACTCCGATTCACTTTACATTAAGTTTCTCTTTCGATTGCAGTGTGTCGCAGGGACTAAAATCCCAGTATGTTCAGCATGATATTGCCTTTTATCTAACTGTATCGCATATATATCCTACCTCTGAATAAACGCATAAGAACATAAATAGCAATGAATCCTATGGGCACGACCTATAAATGCACAAACAAGCATTTATTTTGAAGGGAGTAATATGATTTTAAAATATTTTGTTTTCATTTTTTATCTTTAATGAGTGTAAAATAAAAATTATCGAAAGTATAAAACTTTTTTACTGGCACTAGACTGCTCAAAACTTTTAAATGTTTTTCCCGAAACTCATGTTTTTTAAGTCGGTGATAATCTTGGCAAAAAAACATTTTTTTCCTTATAGTTCAATAAAAAATCACAAAAACTTTTCTCATTTACATTACCCCCTTTTTAAATTGGCCCGAAGATTTCAACTACTTTCAATTAATAAAACCTTTCTCAGATTTAAATAATCCATATATTTTAGATGTTTATTTACAAAGGCACTTTGGTAAAACGACAGAAACTTACGTCTACTTAAGGCACTACACATATTGGTTATATTAGGGACCAAGTACAAACTACTTATTTGGGACAAAAGCGAAGTGGGCTATGTTGATCGATGGGCGAGAATGCAGACGATGGACGGACTGGGCGAAAACCACTACACAAGACCGCCGTTTCACATGGTCGTCTCCGAATCGGGCGGTGTATGGTAGTTGAGATTGTAGGCGGGAGGGCCGTTGTTAAGGAAGGCCATCGAGCGGATGCTTTCCCGCGAGGCAGTCCGCTTGGAAAAGGACATGGCGTAGGCAGGCGCCGGATCCATTGGTGGCGGCGGTAGATATTGCTGCTGATGCTGCTGCTGCTGATGTTGCTGCTGCTGTTGCAGGTGCATGGGATGCTGCTGGTAGAGCGGCGGCGTGCAGGGCGCTTGCGGCGGACTGGCACTGGCCCCGTTCAGTCCGGCAAACACGTTCTCGCCGCCCGCGGCATTTCCGTAGGCGGTGGAGAGCGGCCGCGAACCGTGGAAGTTCGAATAACTGGAGCGCACCGAGGGCGGCCGATTGTTGTATAGCAGTTCATCGGTGGTGGCGTGACCAACGTCGTTTAGGTGCGTGGTGGAGTGTTGATAGCTAGGATTGTAGTGGCCACCGCCGACCGACGAGTGCAGCGTGGACACGGCACTGGCCGCAGATGGCAATGGTGGTGGCGGCGGAAGTGTAGGCGAACCCGGAGCTTCCAGCACTCCCTGGCCGTTGGTGTTGTAGTAAATGGGATCCAGCGGAATGTTCTTGCGGTAGCTGTTGTAGTAGTGTCGATTGCTCTTGCCCAGGCTGCCCAACTGGCTGCCGGACGCATTGGTGTTGTTCACAAAGTCGTTGTTCAGCGAGTGCAGGTTGGAGGCGGTCAGCGAGAGTTTGTCCTGGCGGTGGAAGGAGCCCAGATGCGGCTGGTGCTGCTGCTGCTGCTGGTGTTGCAACTGCTGGTCGATGATCTTGGTCACCGGATTCTGATGGTACTTGCGCCGCGAGCTGCGAGTGCTGCTCCGCACATAGCTGCCGCTGCTACTGTCCGCTCCGCCGTGTCCGCCATGTCCGTGCTTGGATCTCAGTGTGCCGCTGGAGCCGTGATGCGAACGCCTGGTGCTGCTGCTGCCGCCGCCGCCTGCTCCACTGGACTGCCTGCCATGGGTGCCGCGCGCCATCACCGAGCGCCGCTTCACTCGCCGCGGAGTCATCGGCTTCGGACTCAGCTCGCCGCCATCCTGGTCGCCGCGCGGATCGCCCAGTCCCATTCCCATGGAGTGGGAGCCATGCCGGATGGTGTCGCTGCTGCTGCCGAATTCGATGGAGTACAGCGACTGGCGATGCTTGGACTGCTTGCTAATATGCTTCACTGCGCCAAGGGGGAGAACAAGATTGGATCAGTGGGAGATTCGTTCAGATCGGTAAGCCGCAAATATAATGTTCAAAGTTACCTGGGGTTAGCTTTGAGTGTGTGTTTGTGCTTGGAGCTGTTAAACAAGTTGGATTAGCTACGTTCGGAGATAGTCGATAGTTAGGCGGTTGGTTAGAGCCACAAATGCTACAGAAAGCCAGCTACCAGTGAGAAAAACAACTTAGCAGGATAGATAGAGATCGATCGGCTACGAAGAAGAGAGAACCTCGGTTTGGTGTAAAAGAACATATTTATTGGAAACGCTTTGAATCTCGTCGAGGGAATTGGCACCAGTCATCAGCGCAATTCGCATGGCTAAAGATCAAGATCGGGCATCTATCTAAACAGTAAATACTGACTATACTACATGGATTGGGATCTGCTCTGCTAATGCATTTGTGTGGCCTCAAGCTTAATACTAGACTTAACAATTTCTATAGACGTTTTATCTTTACGCTTGTACAACGAATCTCGCACTTAACTCAATAGGCAACTTCTTGTTTGTGCTCGACAACTAACAACGTTTGCATCGCAGCACATTTCGAAGTTTGTGGTAAATGTATAGTATATCGTATATATCGTATATTAGTTAAACAACAAAAGGCAGCTCTTGGGGAGGCTGCGCACTCCCGCACATAACATCAGTATATTTGTATATCTTGTATACTCTAATCTCTATTCCGACATTCATCCAAGGCATCTGGTTGCAATTGGCGCTAAATTTAATTTATCTCGCTTGCATTCTCAACAAATTTTCATATCCTTTGCTTGATAATGATTTTTGTGACATATTCGTTTTTTTTTTTTTTTGTTATTTTTTTGTTAAATAATCGTTTTGTTTTTTGTCGTTCATGTTTATGTTTTTGTTTTCGTTTATCACAGATCAACATAAAATTGTTAGGCTTTGCATTCTGTCGCGACTTTCCTTTCCACGCCTTCTATCACAATTCGGGGAAAGTCTACTGTTTGCACTTATGTATGTGAATGATTACTTAGTGTTTACATAATTAAAGTCAGCTCTGCAAGGCATCATCCGAATAGTTAAACGCTCACATGATTAGCTAGGCTTAGGCCCTATAGCCGACTGGTTAGGCACAACAAAGAAACAGCAACACCTATGTGTGTGTGTGTGTGTATATATGTATGTAGGTATGTATGTACGTAGGGTTTTGTGATCGAGTGATCCTGGTAGAGTTAGTAACAGACAGAGAGCTTCAGTAAGGAAGAGAGCGGATGAGCAAGTGCAGCGGGACGTACTTAAGTCTTGGGGTCTGGGGTCGCTCTAGGCCTGCACACCCACAATCGAGTTGCAGAATGAACGGGGACGGGACTTTTGGCCGTTGGCACTGCGACCACTACGGCGGTTCACGTGCGGAGCAGCTTCAGCTTCCGCCAGCTGCTGCTGCTGCTGATGCTGCTCCACCAGACGATCGTCGCTCTGGGCGCGCACCACATATCCGGGCGGAGGAGCACGAATCTGGTCGCAGAAGTTGACGGGAATCGGTGGCCTGGACCGGCGATTACTGCGACGGACCATGGGCGAGCCATGGGGGACGGGAAGGGGATGCGGAAGGGGTGGCCCAGGCTTGTCCAGCTTGCTGGGCATTGCATAGCGCTCCACCACCTCTGGCGAGAGATCGAGATAGGGCGCCTGGCCCAAGCGCTGATGGATGTGGGGCCGTGCCACCACCGGCGGAGGCGGGGGCGTCAGCATTTGATCGTGATCGTGATCGTGATCTAGCTCGGACTCGCCATCCGCATCCGCATCCGCTTCCTCGTCAAACTGCATCTCCAAACAGCTATGCATGGGCACCGTGGGCAGGGGAATGTGCGTGGGTCGCCGGGCCAGACGAATCGGAGGAGAGGGCAGACCATTGTGGTCGTAGGGATAGGCATTGTTGTTCGGACTAGAGCGAGAGTTAGCTTGGAAGACGTTGTTGTTGTCGCCCAGAAAGAGGCAGTTCGGAGTGGGACTCTGGAAGGGAACGTAGGTAACGCCATGTTCGCCCGGAGCAAACTGCTGCAAGGAAAAGTTGTCCTCCTCGTCTTCCTCCAGGTTGCGCGAAAGGCGCTCGCGCGGACGGACGGGCGAGGTTAGAGCCAAATCTACTGCTGCTCCCGATACAGGAACGCCAGACTTGGGCGGCTTGGGCTTGTGGTGGATGCGGGCAAAGTGGGAGCTGCCCTGGAGCGAGTCGGGGCTCTGGAAGATGCTGTAGTTGCTGTTGCTCAGCGAATTGCCGGCCAAGTACGGATTGGAGTTTTGCAGTGAGGCGTACGACAGCGAGGGCGTGGTCTGGGGCGACATGGGACAGGGGCTGACCGGGGTTTTAGAATGGTGGTGACCGTGGCCGTGCCGGTGGCGGCGCAGGCTGCTGCAGTTGCTCCCGTCGTGGGTTAAATGGTTGGTCGAAGGTTGGTGACTGTGGTTGAGGTTGTGGTTGTGGGGTTGGAATGATGCGCTGTGGTTATTTGTCGTGTTTGTCGGTAGCAGCAGCGAAGGCGCACGCTGGTGGAGATTATTGTTCAGTGTATTATTGTTGCTGCCGCTCAACTGGTTGTTCTTGTTGAAGTGGTGTTGTTTGGGTTGCTGTTGTTGCTGATGATGATAGAGTTTCAGTGAGTTCTGCTGCGGCTGCGGCTGCTGCAGTTGCAGATGCTTGTTTGATTGCATGGTGGCGCTTGCGGATGTTGTGGGAATACTTGTATAGCTCACGTACATTGGATGCACCACGGTGTGCTGTGGACTCTTCGCGTCGCCGTTCATGAAATCGACTGCAAACCAGAAATTGATTAAGATGCTTTAACAGTAACCAGAAGAATACATCAGATATCGGAGGACACTGTGCAGCAGCCACAAGTTTTGAACTTAATACAAAAAGGTCAACTCAAGTAGTACATTTTGGCTCTTATGTGTGTAATCTATAAACATGTATGTAGTTTGTTAGCATAACTATCAGTCAAATCAACTTGCGATTGTTTCGACTTTCACAAAGTTTTCCATTACTAATTACATTAAAATTGAAAGAACCTATCTCAATGTCGTTCTACTATGTTTTGTGCTGCACAGTGTCGCTGTCGATAAGCAAATTCAATGTTGTGGTTTTCTTGATTATGAGTGAATGACTTAGACATAACATGGATTACAATACGAATATATATGGCATGTATGTATGTTCTTATAGGCATATGTATAGTTGCTCACAGTTCACATGGACACATCACAACAGTGGTTAATATTGAATACAATACAAGTTTAAATCGAAACAGCCTTTTATGTGGGTACAATCGCATTCAAGGGTGCGGGTTTTGGGTGGGGAGGCTAGAGCTTACATATCGACAACCTGATATTTTCAACAAAAACAATAAACAGCGGCAGACTTCTCCATGCCACTTCATATAGCTTCGTAAACATTCGTTACACACAAGGGAAGTAATGCAGGTAAAGTGAGGAGGGAAAACATTTACCATAGACACAGTGCACAGTGAGACCCCAAAGTGAAAGATTATGGGAGGGATGAGAAGCGGTTAGCGATGACCGTACCCGGTTAGTGGGAATTATGATAAATGCTTGCTTGCATACAGAGAGCGCCACTTACATCTGTCGTCCTCATCGAGAAATATGCAACTGATCAGAATCGCACCAAGTATGCCGAGCAGCTGTGGAATTGTTTGAGACAATTTACACGATTCAAAGCACTTAAGCCAGTTGTCCACTTACCGCCAACGCGCATTGCACCCCCGAGTGGATGATCTCCACCAGCGGGTAGTCCAGCAGGCAGCCCTCCACGTGCTCCGGCCTCTGGGGCTGGAGCGGATCATCTGCGGTCATGCTGTATGTGGGCTTACAGCCATATCCATTCGCCTCGAACCAGGAGACGCTTCCTGTGCCCAGGTTGAGCAGGTCACTGTTCTGTGGGGCGAGATTTGGAAGAGTGGATGGTATGTTTAGAGCAGTTTACACAGTTTATGTTTGTCTATTCTATTCTATTTATTTTTGTAGTTGCACACAGTTTAGAAAGATGTGACATAGGTTTCGGCTCTTCTTTGCGATGCTGATAAGAACGGGGCAAACTAGCAACATTAAATTGAGTTCTTTTTCATCGCTAATCCAAATGAAATGTGTCTTGTCTTTTCCTAGACCTGTACACCGACATGTGTGTTGGTAAAAGCACTGCCGTTAGTCAGTTTTGAGCTCCCCTGGTTTGGAAAGACTCATTTACTCACCCTGTCCAGCTGCCCCACATTCAAGTAGAAGCAAATGAGGAAGGCGTTCCAGCCGATCCACAGGAAGTTCCATATTAGATACTGCAAGCGGGCACACAAACAATAAAAATGGGGTTATCGCAGAGATATGGTAATCAGGAAGGCACTTACGGTGATGATGTATTTAACGCGAAAGTGGTAAGCGCCGTAGAACCCGAATATGATAAAAAGAATGTCGAAAAAGTTCACCAGGATGGGCGCCCACATGTATCCGAGGAAGTCGAATACCTGGCGCTCGATAATCGTTATCTGCGGATCGATTGGGAGTCGTCGTTATCGCGCTCGTAAATCAGACCAAACCTCGGAGTTCATACTCACCACTTGCAGGAAGCATATTGACAGCAAAAAGTGTCGCCGCGTACACGAGCACGAGCCCATCACATCGTCATTCCATTCAGAATTTGAATAATAAATAATTCCACTCTCCCTCCGTCGCTGCTATCTGTCTTTCCAACTAGCTAGCTAGCTGTGTATTCCAGTCTATCGTCGCCTTATCGGGACTGGAACTGGTGGCTATCGGCGGCTATGGATGTAGCTCCTTGTGGCATTTCCGTGTCGCCTTCCCCTGCAGACCTGCTGCAAGTTAAGCGTGGCAAGTGCCGCTCTGGCTGTTGGCCTCTCGCTCGCACCTAACTAACGCACAGGTACTAGGTACTGGTGTTTCCAGGGGCCGGGACCGGGGGTGGAAGTGGAAGCGAGAAAGAATGCAGCTGCACCGACGAGGAGCGAGCAAAACCTGATCTGTGTGAACCGAGAACAAATAAAGAGAAATTAAACCAAATGAACCGCGCTACCGAGAGAAACTCTGCCTCACTAGTGCTGGGAAGGGGTACTAGTTATGTGTACCTAGGTAAATTGCAAGGCAGTTGCAAAACGTAGTACCTAGATATGGTAAAAAGTACAACAGATTTTGGATGTATGTATCTTATATCCATTTTTAAAGGAAAACAACGTTTTAAAGTTGGGTACATACAACAACAATTTACAGAAAGGAATAGCTTAAGAAAAATAATCATTCCTTTAATTTTCGTTTGGTAATATCTTTAAACCCTGAGTCCTTCTGCACTAAGAGATAATTAAAAATTTTAGAAAGCTGTATTTTGGGGACAAATATATATGTATTAACATACTCCACGAATGTTTTTAAGTTTTCGATTTTAGAAAACAATTTAAATTTCAAGTTATTTTATTTGTATTCCAGGTAAGATAAAGTAATAAACTTTTGGTCCTAGGTACACCTATTTAGGTACCCCCCAACACTGCTCCTCACACTCACTCGCGCACGGGAATGCTCCCTACCAACACAATCAAAACGGGGCGCTCACGTAACGTATACCAAACCAAAACTATGTATTTTCGCCCATTTCATCTGGGCGTTCACATATTGTCGATTTCAACAGCGTCTGCTTAGTGTCCAGGTCAAGTATGAGCAATTAATTAATTAGCACACAGCAGCATCTCCATTACGCCATGTCTATATTTGTGGCCCCTACACAGATACATAAGCGATCGGTGATTGGAAGTTGTCCCGGTGATGATGACCGGTAATCAAATTAAACAGTAATTCAACTGACAACGCATGACGCGCTTTGTTTGTCACTGGAATATGACTCAAACACAGAACTCAATTCCGTTTGTTTTCCGCTTGCGACACGGAAGCCCCACTCACACACACTCGCACATACATTCCCACTCACTCACGCACACACACAGGAGCAAGAGATATGCTTCCACTTTCCATATGTTTGAAAACGCTCCAGCGCTTTGATATCAGCCCCAATTCACTTTACATAATGCGCAGCCACGGCGATTTATTATCTCGGAAATTAACGCTTTTCGGACTTACGTCAATAACAAGTGCGCGAAGCAACGGGCAAAAACAATTGAAAACTAAGTCAGAGTGACCGTGTCGGGGTCGTGGAGATATACCATGAGACAACGGAGAATATACTTAAATCAACCGAAAACATACCAGACATCCAAAAAATACCTAGTTCCCACTGAGCACAGTCCAACAGTGCCATAAGCGGGCTTTTTAAAGGGGATTTCACCTATAACTGTTATAGGACTGTAATAAAATTATATAATTTATAACAAATTTATTTATTATAACAAAAAAGGAATTAAACGATTAAAGACTACATTTTTAAATTTCAAAAGGATCGAATCGATCCGATCGATTAAATTGTTTCAAGTTATTTAGGAATAAGCTCCCGAAAGGAGAAAGGTCTCGGATCAGTTTCTGAATCTTTTGACTTGCTATGCGTATTTGTTAAAACAAACAACTACGTTATTCCGATTTTCAAAATCGGATTTTGTGATTTCCAATCATTCTTGTCATCTACATAATATAGTCGCCTTTTTTCGGCGACATACATAAATACTACCCTTAAACTTCATCCAATTACCTTAAAAACTCAGAGACTAGTTCCCGTACAAACGGACAAATAGACATTAGGACATGTCTAGATCGTCCCGGCTGATGCTAATAATCAAGTTTGCATTGAAACTTCGTACTAAAGTTTTTATATCCTCTTCTAGGGTTTATAATTGGGTTTTAAAGTGAAAGTTCCCACTACCCTCATTCAAAACCGAATGAAACGAAAAAAGAGACTTTTCGGTTAGTTTAGTTTATTCTGTATGCATATTGTATAATTTGTGTTGTTACGGTTATCATACATAAATACATTAAATTATGCTCTGTATTCACAATACATGTGGGTTCTGTTCTCCTCCTCTTGAAATTTTGCATTTCCAGTTCTCGTTTTGAGTTCGGATTATTTTCGCGTGTCTGTGGACAAACACCATAAAATATATATTTCAAACTCAACATTACGCTCCACGTACATTCATATGCTACGCGCATTTTATTGTGGCTAAGTCAGCTTCGATTTCGAATTCAAATTCAATTTTCAATGCTCCAAGATGCTTTGCATTTTCGACTAGTCAATAGTAATATAATTCATGCTCTGTTTAGTTTAGCTAGTTTTTGAACTCGCAAGTTCTTCAATTCTGTTGTATTCAGTGTATTGTTTCGGCCGCAATGGTTCCTAACTTTCATCCTACGCCCAATGTTTCATGTTTATTTACAGCAATTGAGAATATAATATAGTAAAATGTTTGCTACAGTTTCCTATAGTGGTTTTTGGGGGCTGGGAATCGAATCGTTTCCGTTGATAGTTTAGTTTCCTTTGCTAATATCTCACTAATCAGTAATCAGTAAATATATTTCTTCGTTTCTTTTTGTACAATAGACGCGTGTTATCCTTGTGTGTTATCAGTCGTTTTTCATTTACTTTACATGAATGTGCAGGGAAATTATTGTTAAGTTTTACTTGTAAATAATCCTCTTCTCCTCCGGTCGCCACGCATCCTTCTCTACTAAATATGTATGTTTGCATGCATATGCATACAGGTTTGGTTACCAGAATTGTATTTCTAAATTGACACAGATAATTTAGGATCGATCACAAAGCGTAGTAAAAATGAGAAAAGATAGTACACCACACAGACAGGTAAGTAAAAAGGTTTTCCGCCTCCGTGTATATGATACAATAATTACATGAATATATATCTATATATATATATATAAATATGTATGTGTGTGTGTATACAAATATTTATAATAATATAATATGTTGGTTAGCTTTGGTTGCTTGTCCTCTCCATCCTCCTTAGCTTCTCTCTCCTCCCTCCTTTCTCCTTTCTCTTTTCCCCAGGCCTTGAAGTGTGCCAACAAATCGCAAATCGCAGGGACCAAAACAGTTCGATATACAATAAGTCGACGTAATATGCCTGTTGCACATTCGTCCCGCTGCCACACAAAACGAAATTACATATCCCGGTCATTCCGGTAATAGAATCAGCAGCATTGTGCAAGTGACAGCGGGTGGAAAGTGGGTGGATTGAATGGGACACGTGGGATTGCAGAATAATCACGGTTCAGTGGCTCAGGCGTGCTGGGAGCTATTCTTATTGCATAGCGATGCGATTACGTTACATTAGAGGACTTATGAATATAGGGAAGAATAGAGACAGTGGAGTGAGTGTCGTCATGTGTGTTTGCTCCTGGAATTAGATTCCCTGGACTATTTGTTAGGAATACATATAATGTTTATATGCTTCTACACCTAGTCTGATCTGTTTTTGTTTCTGAATCTGCATGAGAGGCTACGTCTGTTGGCTGACAATGGATCAGTCAAACTTTACCAATTGCCCCAAGAGGGAAATCGTGGTGGTCCTTACTTCTTGCTCTTGCGCTTCTGCTTGGGCTCCTCGCCTCCGGTTGTTGCGGATTGTGTTGCGGCTGCAGCTGCCGCAGCGGTGGCCACGGCATTCAGGAGATTCATGTTCGGCTTGACCGTTCCCTTCCCCTTCTGGGTGGCCGGCTGCTGGGGAGTGGCCTGCGTAATATTGTTGTTGGTTGCTCCGGCATTGGCCGCTCCAGCAGCGGACTGAGAGGACAAGTTGTTGGCCGGCGTGGCCGGCGTTTCGTCCAGGAAGAGCGGATTCTTCACCTCCATTTCGCCGGTGGGCGCCAGGCCGGGACACTCGTACACCGTGTAGTCGCCCTCCTCGTTGTCGTCGTCGCTCTCCACGTCGGACATGCCGCAGCTGCCATCAGTGGCCTGGTTTTCCATGGCGATGATCTGCTGCTTCTGGTGCTGGTAGTGGTACATCTGTGCGCTCTGGGCCAGCTTCCTGTCGCCGGACGGTGAGACATCCTTGTTGGGTCCGGTCACTCCATAGGCGGGGTAATCCACATCGGCAGCCGCCTTGTGGCGATTATGGAACCTGTCGTAAACAGATTGGTTATCTTCTGAAAAAACTCCTGTAAAACTAGTTTACTTACCAAGTCACTCCAAGGGCCAGCAATCCCACTGTCACCGCTGCACTAACTCCTGCTATCAGGGCCACTATGTACACCCCCATCTCGCTGTTCATGCCCAAGTGCTGGCGCAGCACAATCTGTTCCTGGCTGGCATCGCTCGGGCCATTGAGCAGGGTCAGGTGAGCAGGGGCCTTGCTCTGCTTCTGCAGCTTGTTGATCAGTGCATTGAGTTCGTGGGGCGATTGTTCTTTGGCTGGGGGAAGATTAACACCCGCCACGGCTGCAGCGGCCACGGACTGTGGATTGATGCGGTGGAAATTGGCATTGGCAGCGTCCAGCAGCTTGGGCGGCTCAACGGGCACGGGAGCCGGTACTGGCAAAGTAATCTTGGTCTTGGCCACCTCGGGCGTGGGCTCAACCGGAGCATACTCCTCGTAGTCCTCCAGAGCCCGGGAGTCCAGCTCGCCGGAAGGATCGTTTGGGTTGTCAAAGAAGCGGGCATCGTTGGGACCCACGGCAAACGGAATCCGCTCGCGGAGCACGCTGTTGCGATTGGGGGCGTTTGGGCCCATAGGGGAAAGCGGCGGCAGATTGGGCAGGCGGGGCAGGTAGAGGGGACTCTGGACATTCGGCACCGCATCGAGCGTACTGCCGTAGCTGGCCTCCGCCTCAGCGTTGTCGTACTGGTCGTACTGCTGGTTCAGGTTGTTTCCATTGGTCTCGTAGTCCTCCGCTGCCTCCCGCTGCACCTCAAGCTCCTGCTGCCGCTGGCGGTATCGCTCCCGCTCCAGCAGATCCCGCTGGCGGTCCATCTTCAGGTTGATCTCGTGCAGCTGCTGGTCGAACTGCTGCTGCAGTCGGCGACGGGCGTACTGCTCCATCATCTGGGCCAGGAAAGCGTATTCCTGTTCGGCCTGTCTATCTCCCAGTACGGGCTCTTGAATGGGTCGGCGGCGCAGTCCTGCAAGGATTCGAATTCGGATTGGATCAATTGATTAGTGGGCGCGGGCAAGGAGATTATGTTAATGTTAATGTTAATGAGCCTTGCCTGCGTGTCAGCGGTTGGAAAATAGCAAGACTGGCCGAAAATAGCGCCACACTAATGGTGGTTGCCCCCCTCGAAGAACAGAAAGGATTCGAAATAGACAAACAAAAGTCCGTTTTATTGCCCAAAGGTTAAAAATAGACCAATTACACACGCGCCCAGGTCAAAGCAAGCTATTGCGGTAGAGTGAGGGAGACCAATATACAGACGGAGGACTGAGAACAAAGGTCTGTGACGTGTTTGGAAACTTTATTGTTGTTTTACTTGTTAGCCCCAATATTGTTGCGCTCAAATCAAGGAAGTTAGATGTGTACATGTGTATGTAAGCGTTGGTCGGTATGGTCAGCATTTATTCCTTTAGCTTTTTATAGTTAATATGTACATATTATAAATCAAATATTGAGCTGTTAAGAATTTGCTAAGAGGAAGATCAAATAACTTCCTTCCATGTAGTTGTAACAGTAGCTGTATGTGCGTTTATGACGCTGCAGTTCACTTGATTTTCAATTTAACCGAAGCGGAGAGCGTGGGTGCTTGGATTTGATTCGGGAAGTCTTCGCAGGACATATACTATGCATGTATCTAGAGCAGGGGATACACAAAACGAAGTGACACCCCTCTTCTCCCCTTCGAGTCCCTCCTACGCCATTCAGCACGCTCCAAACTTAAAAATTAGACTGGGTGGGGATGGGTGTGTAGTGTGCTATTTTTAGACTTACCTGGGTAAACGGACATTTCGCAATGACCCAATATGCTGCAGAGTACCGTTGCAGCGAGTGCAAAGCTAACGGTTAATTCCAGGCGGGCCGCCATCTTGCACTTGGCACAAATATACAAATTGCACTTTGTGAAATTTCTCTGTCTCTGTCTTTGTTCGGAAATTGCGAATGGAAATTGGTCCTAGCAAAGCACTGCCATATGGCCGGTTAATGGGGCTTTGGCCAAAACGACGACGTCGTCGACGGGGTTTATTGATTTTCGACTCCCACACTGGCAGCTGCTGGTGGTTCGCCTTCTCACTTTACCCCCACTTTCCTTTGCACTTTTCGCGTGGGCGTGCAATATTTCTCGAGAATAACGTTAGTTAACGGCACTTTCCAAGTCCCTTCCAATATTTAACCCTTCAATGGGTACACTTTGCCTTTATACCGGCTGGCGAAAATGTCAAGTGGTGCACTTTTCTCACAGATTGCAGGCAACAAACTTTAGATATGGACATATGGTCATATGGATGTATGGATAAATGCGTTGTTGCTCCGTCGACGTATACCGTTATACTGAGGAAACTGAGAAACTGAATGAGCCTGGCGGCGGCAAAGGCCCACAAAAGAAGAAGCAGAAGCTGTGACGCAAATGTTATCTCCGCCCCCGCTCTGTTAAATGTTGCGGGCAGCTTTTTTGAGGGCAGGCCCCGCAGCAACAACAACTACACAAACAGGCACAGTGGGCCCGAGAGGCGCCTGCGCACAGTGGAAAGTCTGGAAAGCTCGTCACGTCCGTGGTTCTTTGAATAAACACGGGGGCATTCATAAAGAGCCGAGGCGAACCCGATTCTCGGCCAGCTAGCAGGTGGCTGCCACTCACAAATCCTCAATTCTCCACGGGCCCACTCCCACACTTTTTCAGGTCGGGAACGCGCTTTATTTTTATCAATGAATTGGCAGCTGAGCTTTTCTGGCCCGAGAATGAATGCGGGAGATATGGAGGGTTTTAATGTGCGGGAAAGGATATTCAGTAAAAATAAATATTTAACTATAATATAGTATCAAAAGGATTGCTGATTGTTAAGATACAAGTTATCACAGACAAGAAGTTTTTAATTTTCTTGATTTTTGCATTCTCATTCATATGAATATAAATCTTAAATGACGACGATATCGGAGTTTTTTTTTAAATAAACATATCATGTAAAGTATATTTGTGAGTTTTGTCAATATAAGCTATAATCGTTACAGTCCCTGATCTAAAAGAAGTGAAAATATTTTTAATTAATCTGGGACCATACTTTATATAATTAAAGGGTCTTTAATTAAATTTAAGGAACCTAAATAAAATATTAGATGTCCTTTTTAACGGTACAGCTGCGGTATATCGAAGGAGTTATTTTTAGTATTTTAAGGCGGTCAGTATATTTTAACAGTCCAGCTGCGGCCCTACTGATGAACTGGTTCACCTGGAACTACACATCTGAGTCACTTTTAGTAGCCACAAAGGAAAAATTATAAACAAATACAATGGCCACCTTAAAGGGTAATTATGCAAGGTCCTTTAAAGGCAAAACTAATGATAAACGTTTCCCCTTTCACCGAAAACCATCTAAAACGCGTTTTAATGACCGGAAACCACCCACACAGCGTAAGTCTACGCCCACCCCCGCAGACGTGCGTCTGATAACGATTTCCCTCATTTTGCAGCCTCATCATCTGCGCATTCCTCACGTGCATGGGTCTGACCTTCCTGATCCTGGCCTGCGCCGTGCCCACACCCAAGATATTCTACCCCTTCTTCGTGCTCCTCTTCTACGCACTGTCCGTGCTGCCGGTGTTCATAGCCAAGCGGACAACGCCGGGCAACGAGACCAATCCGAAGTCGGAGTTCGCCCTCTTCCTCACCGCTGGCATGGTGCTGAGCGCCTTCGCCCTGCCCATCGTCCTCGCCCACGCCTCGGTGGTCAGTTGATACAGCTTCTATAGTTGAAATGGTCTTGATACTCATACTATTTTCCCGTACAGATCACCTGGACGGCGAGCATCCTGACAATAATTAGCAATATCATAAACTACGGCACCATCTTTGGGTACGCCATGCGCGATGACGAGCCCTACGGCTCCATGTTCTAGAGAGGAGGATCCATAGTGTAGATGCCCAGTAACTAGTCCCGGAATGCATTTGGGCCCTGTGGTTACTGGCTTTTATCCGTAAGCACGTTTATCCGCTGTCATCAATTAATCTCATATTATAAATTGTATCCAGAAATCAAACGCAAACGAAATAAACAGATAAACATTATTGGTTCCGGTTCATTTGCTGGTTCGATAATCAAACCGCTCCTCGATAGTCAAGTAGTTCAGTTCAGGGGCATAACAAAAAGGGATTAGTCCGAAAAAAACATTTGTAAATAATAGAGTTATAAAATTAATTTGGTCTCGCTAGTTCTATTGTATTGTTTAATATTATTGCTCTACGCACATTCACATCCATTGACAAATGGAAAATTAGTGTTAATTTGTACTTTTAAAATGGATGGCCTGGTAAAGTCAGAAATAAAAAAGGAGGAAATCACGGGAATTCCTTCTCTGACTTTGCATGGCATCGAAATCACTCAACAGCAGGACGAATTAGATGGAGGAGAGGTAGACTTTGAAGAGGACCTGACCGAGGAGGACCTAGAGCTGGAGTCCACTTACCAGGATGTGGACACCGAGGATTCCGATGTGACCCTCACCCAAGCCGAAAGTCGGCGCAGTTTGCCCCTGAGCGATGCTCCAATGCGCAAGTATCCTTTCAATCTGAAGCAAAACGAATGCGGGTGAGTGTGCGCATCAGCGAGGGGAATCCAGGAATCAAGGACTTCCCTACTTCCAGGAACATCCTGACCGTGCACCATACGGTGAAAGAAGCGGGGCAGCAGTTGCGCATCCAGATAGCCGCCTGCTGTTTCAACGAGCTGAGCAACAAACTGGTGGTTATTGACAAGCGGTTAGTACTTAGTCTTACTAAAACAGCAACTCATCTTGACATTTCTCCTTTTTCAGTGGCAATGTGTTTGTCTTTGACTTCGTGCACAAGCGCTACTGGCGTTTGGGTGTGCGGATGCCCAAGGCCAAGCTGATTCGTCCCTCGCCTTTGCACACAAGCGACTACATTGTGGGCAATAAGGTGGGTCACCTTTATATCATAGACGTGGACAACTCGATACTGGGCGCCCATGGAGAGGTGGGCAGTGCCCCACTGGAGGAGTTGAGCTGGAGCAATCGTCTGCAGAATCCCCGCTGCGCCAATGCACTAATGCGCTTTGGTGGCGAGGCTGTCCTGGTCAATCTGCACACGCTGGAGGTGTCCCATCAGCTGGACTTCGATGAGTCGCGTTACACCCTGAAATTCGCCGCCTTCCTGCCAAACTCCGATCAGTTCTTCATTGGCTTCTCCAACGATTCGCTGCATGTGTGGTCATCGCACTCACTGGCCACTTTGCGGATGGCGCAACCGATCAAAGCCCGCAATCGCAAGCTTAGGCTTCTGCCAGTGGGAGAATCCATTCCGCAGTTTGCACTTCGTTCCCCGGATGAAAGTGACGTGGAGGATGACTTGACGTTCGACTGCCAGGACTACGACTTTGCCGATGGACTGCTGCTGTGCTACTGTTTCACCCCCGATGGCAACAAGATGTGTCTGAGCACCCTGGATGGCTACTTATTGGTCTTGAGTGTGGCCACTTTCGATCTGGAGAAGCTGTATCGCCTGAACGACTTTACTCTCCGCCAAATGGCCTTTCTGGCGCAGCCCAAGGAGCGCATAGTGTTTGGTGTAACGGCCCGGAATCAAGCCGTCATGTTGGATTTGAGCAACACAGACCACAAGCTCATCGTACAGCGCTCCAATGCAATCAGTTTGAGTCTGAGTAGGGATGGCAAGCTGCTGAGTGTTACCTCGCTCTGTGGCGAGGTCAATGTTTGGTCCACCTGTCGACTGTTCAACGCCTTGCAAGCCCAAACCCGCTGCCTCAACCAGATGAAGTCCACGTTCAAGCAGCCGAAAGTCCTGCCGCCGTGCAGTGTCGCTGGAGGAGGCATGAACCAGGAACTGCGGCATCTGCTCAAGCCAGAGCGTCTGAGAGCCATGCTCAAGGAGTACGGCTGCTATCCGGAGAAGTATAGGTTCCTGATTTGGACATCCCTTCTGGAGCTGCCCTGCAATGGGCCACAGTTCCAGGCGCTAATCAAACTGGGACCACCTCTGATGGTCAGAAAACAGGCCAAGAAGCTGAAGATACGCAACGAGGCGCAGCGGCGTGTGTTGATCAAGATCTGGAGCTGCCTGGCCCAGTGGTGCAAGGTCCTGGCCCACGCTGACTTTATGCCGCACCTCATTTACCCGTTTGTGAAGCAGCTGCCCAAGAACAGCCTCGTTTGCTTCGAGGTGATCGCCACTCTGGTTCTGAACCACTTTCAGCTGTGGTTCGAGTTTCATCCGTTGCCGCCGTCCAATTACCTGGCCATGTGCGAGAATATCCTGCAGCACTGCGACGCGCAGCTCTGCAAGTTTTACAAATCCCAAGAGATCCTGGCCAAGGACTACGCCTGGTCCCTGCTGAGCACTGCCTTTTCGGAGGTCCTGGAGGAGCAGCAGTGGCTGTCGCTGTGGGACAACATCGTTTCGGAACAGCCCTGGTTCCCCGTCTTCCTGGTGGTGGCCTACAATCTGATCCATCGTGAGGTCATCATACGGCTGCCGGACAAGCGATCCGTACTCTCGTTCTTTCACGAGCAAAACCCCGTGGACATTGGCAAACTCCTGTCCAAGGCGCGCAGACTAATGGCCAAATGTGAGCTGGCCTTGCACCCGCAGCGTTTTATGCAACGCTTCAATGCCATTCCGAAGGGCGTGTATCCCAAGTTCCTAAAGTATCCCAGCGAGTGGATCGAGCAGCAGGAAGAGCAGACAGTGTCGCTGATGAAGCACAACGAGGAGATCGATGCCCGCATACGCCATCTAGAGCTGGAGGAGGTGCAGATCATGGAACGCCTCGAGAATGGCATCAAGCAGGAGGAGCACGCACGTCGCCTCAAGGAGATGGAGAAGCTGTACCAGGACACCATCCACCGCGAGGAGGAGCGCATCACCTGCCAGCGCAAGATGCTGCTCACCTACCAAATGGAGGTACGCCGGCGCAAGAGCGAGGTCATCACCAAGCTGCAGGAGTCCGAACAGCGGCGCAAGGTGCTGGAGATGGAGAAGGACATTGACCTCCTGATGCACAGCATCGAACGGGAGCGCCGGCGCCACAACCAGCAAATGCAGCTGGCCGAGGATGAGATACGCAACCAGGAGATGGAGCTTATCGCCCAGCGCTACTATTTGGATTCAGCGGGTGCCCCGCTGGCCCAGAAGTACTATGACAAAATTCAGAAGCTGTGCACTCAGCGGGATCAACTGCAGCAGAACTTGCGTGATGTTCGTGCTTATACTTCCTACAATCGAATTATTCTGTTTTCTTAAAAGTTTTCTTTTCTTTCCACCAGATGACCATGGAGCATCTGCGCACTCCAGCATCGGCATCGGCGCAATATAATCCCCAGCTGGGGGACATCGAGAACTCTATTTTGGAAATTCAGCGCGAGTTTACGGAAATCATAACCACAGAGACGACTACTAGGGGATGCAGAAGCAATTTCTCTTAAGTATTAGCAAACAGAAATTAAGGCCTTTTTGTACAATTAAATATCTAAGCTAGGGTTATTTACATGGCACCGGATAACAAATAAATAAACAGGGCATCCTGATTACTTTTTAGCCAAACTGGCAGACGAAGGCACTATCATGTGGGGCACATTGATGAGCAGGTGTATGCTGGATGGCGGAATCTGAAGCTGGTTGGCCACAACTACAAGATGGGATAGTCAGTCAATTGGATGGTTTTAGCAGGGAATGTGAGGAGCTTACCACCAGCTAAGCTGTGACTTCTCTGCTGCTGGAGTTCCTTTTCCAGCCGGGCAATCCTCTCGTGCAGCTCTAGGTTCTCCTGTTGCAGCTGGGCATTTCGTTTGCGCAGATCCTTGTGCTCGTTTCGCATCTTGTTGCGGTAACGACAGGCTGCTGCACGCCGTCGCTCCATGCAGTCCTCGTCCCGACTGCCATCCTTGGGTTTCCCAGCTGCCTTGGGCGGCGTGGAGAAGTTGCGCCTTGCGCCGTTGTTGCTGTGCAGAATGGCCTTTAAACGCTCCTTAATGGGCAGTTGTGATGTGGGCGTCAGGCTTGCGCTGCTGGGCTCGGGCGCTGGTGGGTTACAGGTGACCAGAATGGGCTCCGGCCTTCTATTGGCCCTATCCGATCCTGGTGCACTTGGCTTGGGCAGTATGTAGGGACGAATAGTGGGTTTCCCCCTGTGGGAGTCCGCTGTGGCCACGGGAAGGGCAGACGATTGGGCGGGCAACACCCAGGTGATGACCTGCGGCTGGATCAACTGCAGCGGCGGTGGACCCTCTGGACAGACTTCGAGAGGTGGAGTTTTTCCAGTGGCGGCCAGCAGCTGCTCCACATCTACGTTGCTGCAGCTGTCGCTCCTCGAGACCGGGTTGCCAGACGTGGTCTCCAGCGGATACACCTGCGGTGTGTGCAGGGATTCGCTGTCCAGGGGAGGCGCCTCCGGGCGACTGGGAGTGCCGCCGCAGACATTCTGCTCCGCAGCACGCTGGAAACCAATGTCGAAGGGATTCACGTGCTGCAGGTCCTCAAAGAGGCCCACCTCGTCGCAGTTCTTGATCAGGCGCGTGGGCGTGGGCGTCTGGTCGGCGGCGAACAGGTTCTCCTCCGACTTCTGGCCCAGCGAAAGCTCCAGGGAGATGTCATGTTTTGCCTGTGGCCGGAAGTTCTGGTAGCAGGACACGTCCCCCTCGGCGGCTTTTGGCTCGAAGTCGGCGAAGGATACGCTGGCCAGGTCCTCCATGCCTGCGGCGGTGTCCATGGTCAGTGGTTACATCAAAAGCAAATTGTTATTTACAAAACAACGATTTTATCAAAACACTTTTAGTGATGTGCGTCAGTCTGGAGCTGTCAAACAATCGATGGCACTATCGATAGTATCGCCACCATATAACGCCACTACTCTGTTTTGGTGAGATTAAAGGTGAAGTAAATTAATTTTAATAAATACGTAAGGTATCTTAATACAGAGATACCCCTGTTGCTTGTTAATAAGTAAGCGATACTGCTCTAGAAAAATCGATAGCTAGTAAATCGATAACAACGTTATTAAACTGTTGAAAAGCCCGCGAAATTTTTAAAATTTTAACTCAACTCGAGCTAAATGATTGGAATCGGTAATACCCATTTGATGCGTAAAGCAGCTTAAAGTCTCTCGTTCTGGGCCATAATTGCCTCCATTGTTATTATGCAACCACTCTCTAAGGCAACAACTTTTGACATTCAGCACTTCCGCCCCAAAATTGCGTTGCCATCGCATCCCAAAAATGCCTGCGAGTCTTTCGCAGCACGTATCAGCAATCATATGTGAAGAGGGGAAGAAAAGCCAAAAGCAAAAACCAAAAAAAAACAACGAAAACATTTTTGGCAGCCAAGAAAACCCCATAATTTAAAATTTGTATCTTTTAAATTAGATTTCTCATTGAAGGAAGCAGCAGAAAACCGAAAACAGACAGCACACAAAACACGCAAAATGTTTTCGCATCGAGTCCGGTCGCATTTTGGGAAACATGCACGCAATGAAACGAGCAATTTTCTAAAACTCAACTCTCAGCCCTACAAAAAGCCGCAAACTTGTCTTGTGGGTCAAGTTCAGTGTTCAAATCGTTCCCAAGCGACAAGATGGAGGACCCCCTCCTCATCCATCCTCCCGTTTCCGAGGAGGGCCTGAGCCTGAGCCTGGGACACAAGATGCACAGCATGAAAATTAAGAAAAAGTGATGCGTAATTACAGTCATTCTCCTTCACTGCAGCCAAGCGGGCTATTCCCGATCTCGATCCCATCCCATCTTATTCTATCCCATCCCATCCCATCCCAACCAAGCCACGCTGCATGCAAGAGACGCGCGTTTTTGGACAGCATGGTCCATGGAGTTGGGTTCCAGCCAGGCTCAGTTTGAGTTCGGAATCGGGTTCGGTACTGGGATCTCCGTTCTGGGCTCTCGACTCTGGCTGCCGGTAGAAACAATCAGTTTGAAGTTCGTTCGCATAATTATGGGCAATTTTCAAAGAACATGCGTTCCGATGAACATCTCTCTCTTGCTCGCATTCAAAGTATCATCCCCACCCCTTGACTCCTTTTCCCCACAACCCCCCTCCTTTCCAGCAACTCCTTTTTTTATTGTCCGTCGGCGGTTTGTGGTTAGGATTGAGCGGCTCACCCGAAAAGTTACCCATGATCTACATTTACACTCGTCCAAAGCTTAACTATAGAATCATATTATAGAATTATATTTACTTTCAGCCTATGTAATCTAAAATGTTACACAATTTGTTGTTAAATAACAGATTTCTTTACTGTTAGATTTGTAGTTTGAAACTTGATTAACACTCGTCAAATTATTATTATTATTAAACACGGAATCCTAAGTTAAAAACAATTAAGTTAGTCACACCCTATGTTATGTACAAAGTTTCAAAATTTGTTGATTCCTTTTCAAACGCAATAAATCCATGGGTAGGTTATTGAATTTACTGAAAGGTTACCTCTGCTGAATTATTCTTCTACTTTTGAAACCAGATCTCAATGTATACATTACACTCGCAAAATGGTTAAATACAGAATTTTAAGTTAAAATTATTTAAGCTATTCATATATCTACTTACTTATGAACACCCTACATTATTTGTAAGATTAAAAAATGTATTGATAAACATTCGATGCCTTTCCCAACGAAATGAGTTTCTTACAGAACTTTGACACAAATTTTGTAAATTAAATAATAGTTAGACTTAATGCTTAGCTAATTATAATTTTGTGGAAGAAATTTGTTTCCAACAAATCACTTGAAATCGAATGTTTAGAGTAAGTTTTTATAAAAACAACCCGATGTCAAGCAATTAGATTTACTGAAATGTGACCCCTACAGAAACCAGATTTCAAAGAATCATATATTGTAGACTGGTTTTCTATTTATCTCAATTACAACTTTCATTTTAGTTTAATTAATTTTTTTGTCATTCATTTTTTTATTCCAGATTATTAAACAAATAACCAAAGCTAGCCAAGTTATCATGTGCTGAAGAATTTAGTTATAATTAATAACCACTTATGTTTGTTTCAAATTTTTCAACTTACTGTCCTGGTAATTTGCCGCAGGACATCTGTAGACGAGTCAAAGACCGCACTGCCTTAAAACGGCATGTGCAGGACGCAGGATCCCGTATGGTCGTCGAGTCAGAGGATCCCTTCGAATTTTTTTAAACATGCAAAAAATGAGTTCCTAGAACGCCCAACATTTGTTTTCTCCTGCTGAAATTCAACTTTTCCCGCTGCGTTTTGGACACTTTGTTTGTTTGCCATTTCCCCAGCGGCATTTTGCATATAATTTATTAAATGTTTGGTTGCCTCATTTTTGGGTTCTTTCAGGGAGGACTTACTAAAAGTCGAAAGGTAGACGACCAAGCGGTCTTATTTATTTTCCGCCGGTATCTCAATATCTTTATCGAAAGGTGGACACTGAACGGTTTCGAAGACCTGTAAAACTCGTGGCTCTTTCGGCAGTTTGTACTGTATATACACATATATTGTTTTATGCAACTTCCACGGCCCGCGGCCCCGAATAAAACTTCCTGTGCCGCTGTGGCGCGAAATGATTTTTGCTTTTCCGACGGCACACACAGAATTGCCTCCGAGATACAGATACATTTTGCTGCCGCCGCCGCTGCTTGGCGCTCCAATAATAATTTCATAATTATGGGTTATCTGGCAAGTGGCATTCGTAAATAATAAAAAAACTAAGAGGGTAAAAAACTACGATTCGCGGCAAAATATAAAACCAAAAAGCTGCACACAGAGAAACAAATAAAGTAAAATGTGCCTTTTAATTGGTAGAACTCTGCCAACCTATAAAAAATATGTAATATCCAAGAAATACGAATTTTTTATGAACTGTTTTTAAGGCACTCAGAAAAAATAGTGCATGTCCAATAATTTTTTACTACAGCTATTTTAATCGTGGTTTCTTTTCTTGTAAATTTTATTTATTTTTTATTTTTAACTGGTATTTTTCTATTTTTTTATGGAAGGTATCTATAGACACTTACAATTCAAAGTTAATGCAACTTACTATGCAGCTTATCTGTCTTTACTGGGAATTGAATCTAAGCACTGGGATACCCAAGAATGATTTTTTGAGACCAAATAACTTGTGAACTTAAAAACAACTAAATCATAGTCTATTAAAATAGGTTACTTCCAATTAGAGTCATACTTTTAAAAGAACAAAAAACAAGAAGAAAAAAAATTGTTTTTCTACTATTTTAATTGTAATAATATTGTTTTTTCTGCGTGTGTGGGGAATGGAGAGTCGGAGTTTGGTTGCGCTGCAGCGTGGCCGAGATTGATTGTCGCTAATGGGCGTGCGGTTCCAGCGAAATGCTGGAAACCTCTTCGCCTTCGGTTTCTGGGCTGTCTGGAGTCCCTGTACCCTGTACTGTAATTGTTTTAATTGCCCTAAAGAGTTGCAGGTCGCGCTGGATCCGAAAGCGCGAAAGTAGACCAGGCGGCATTAGAAAGAATCGCTTGGTTTCGGTGGCTGTGGATGTGGCTGTGGCTGTGTGTCTTGAACCGGGGCCAATTAAATGTGACCTTGGAGTTGGAGCTCCCGCGCTCCACTCATAGGCAACTGGCATCGCTGCATCGATTATCTAACGGTGGAGCCTTTTAGCTCGTGCTGCGAACGCGCCATTCCCCGGGACCATTATGGATCATAAGCCACAAGGATGGCTTGTCGGCGCTGCTCTCATCACGCCGTGATTCGCTGGATGATGGATTGCGTTCACTTTTGATGGATCTGCCACTTTCAGCTCGAAATTTAATGCTCACGTCCGAGAGGCGCTGCCTAATTGCCCAGGCCGTCGTCGTCCAGCAAAATTGTGATCCCCAGATCCACAGATCCCCCCGCGATCATTTCCATTTCCGTTAAGGCCGCTGGCCAAACTAACTTGGTTCAAAACTTTCGCTTTTGCCGCAGACTCTGCAGACTTTTCCTTGGTCTTCGACTGCCGACGGCCTCTAACATCCTGTCCAGGAGGTGCATCCTTCGACTTGGGCAGCTTAATTGGCGTCTGGAGGCGGGACAGCTTGTGTCCAACATGTGCCAGGCACATTCTATGCGAAAGAAAGCTTAGAACTCATGGGGCGTGTTTGGCTTAAAAAGCCGCAAAGGAACAAAAGGAACTTTGCAAAAAGGGACCAAACTGGAATCCGCTGTAGGGCATTTGTTATAACTCTTTGGAGACCTCAAACTAACGGTATCCCTTCTTAGACATTTGTTTAATTGCATGTTTCAGCGAAACTTTAGTGGAATTTCAACATGCCATGCAAACTGTGAATCATTGTGGCGGGCAAATAAAAACTAACTCTATTCAACTCCATACCGCTTCATTAGGGAAAAGGTGTAAATATCTGGTAAATGGCTGAATCAATTTTCACCCTCATTCACTAATTGAAGCTAACAATCATAACGATTTCAAACTCAGGCAGATCCATTAACTTAAATGAAGCTTAAGTTCATCAATGAATTTCAAACTGCTTTGCTTATAGCCTGACGTATAATTTAAAACTTAAAATTTTTAAAAGCTGCACACGGAAAACCAAGTTTGTAGAAAAATTGCTTAATTTAAGGAATAATGGATTAAACATGGGTGTTGCATGTGAGGTGCTTTGAAATATTAACTTAGTATGTGGCAAGCAACTTTTAATAGTTTTTACATAATATTTTCTTGTTTAAAGAAAATTATGAAGAATTCTAATGGGTAATATATACAATCAACAGAAAACCAGAAGATAATTTGGTTTTAAAACAGAGTATTCCGTCAGCATTCCACGTCTTT